GACTGTCATGAAACAGCTGCTTATTAGTCTGTCGTTTTAATATTTAACTGGTCAATGTCAGTTTGTCATTAGAGTTATCTATCTTGTTTATGAACCGACGACAACTATCAAAACACTCAATCTGTATATTGCTTATCTAATCTCTTACAGGTTTCTGTAACCTTGTTTAAAATGTAAATTTCAGATTGTAAATCTGAGTCTATTGTGTCATCACGAAGTCAGCTGTAAAAGGAATTGTTGTTTCGAAGGACGCCTTCAAAATAATGTCGACCTACTCCGCTTTCATTTTCTTTTTTGGATCTGTCACACTATGAAACAGGATTTCTTCTTACTGGATTGCTTTTAGGACAACATTTACTGCCCATATTTATCGACTAACTTTATAATAAATTTGAAAGTATGCAAAAACCCATAGATGTATTAAAAAAGATTTATATTTTCTTACTAGATGTTAAGAAACGAAAATAGTGGACAGTAGTGTAGAAAAAAAAAGAAAGTCAACTCTGGTTCGAAATAAATAAAGTAATTAAACCCATAGCTCTTCGGAATAAGTAAATAAACAGAAGATAATACAATTGGAAGTAAATAAGTCCCTTTTCAACAGGACATGTGTAAAATAAGAGAATATAACTGAAATGTTACACTATCTTGTAACAGAAGATTAAGTAAGATTGAGATAAATGTTCAACTGAAATTTGAACGTATGTTACGTAATATCACTGTATTGAATTCTACTACTTGAATAAAAAGGGAAACATATAGATGACTTTGCAAAGCAACAATCTCAAACGATACACTCATTAATCTATTATGCGGTGTGTTGAAGAACGTTGTCTAGAAATAAAAAGACTATCTTCGTGTTCAAGAAGCATTTTCAGCTTTTAGACAAATACATTTTGAGGTCAATATATCACAATCTGTAGTATGCAAAATTAAAGATATTGTATTACTGCTACACTTACAGTTTCATAGCATGGAAATAAACTGAAAAGGCTATTATAATTTGCAAACTTTGGATTCAAAATAAAACGAAAAATGGATGCAAAACAAATCACAAAAAGTTAGCAGAACTTAACGAAGGCAAGACATAAAAAAAGGAGAGACAACCGTATAATAGTTAGTGGATTTTGCACTTTTATGTCACGTAATACAGACATTACTCGCTTAGTCACAAGTATCTGAATGGGTTTATTCATTGTAGTCAGAAGGTTTTTTTGTTCTCAAGGAATCTGTAAGATAAGAAAACATCACAACTATATTAAGCAACAACAGGAAGGGAAATTTCGTTCGAAATTCTTGTTAACACTTAAGTAGTTTAGTAGCGTTTTTCGTAGGCTCTTAAAATGAATAAAGTGGTTTCTTGACCTACTTCAGATATCTGCTATCAGATAAAGTCTCAAAACGGTTCTTAGCATCTCAGTTGGATTGGCTAAGGTTTTGTGCTTGTTGACACACGTCAGTAAGGCATATCTTTAACCTCGATGGAACTGATGTCCCGCCTGAGATTAGCACACTTGCCATGCAGTGTTGTAATGAGCGATGACTAACATCATCAGCAAAAGGTTCTAATATAGCATTATTGGTACTTTATTTGCTCGCAATTTATAAAATAAATATATTTATATATAGTCTTCCCTAGAGTTAACGTGAAAAAAAGTTTTGAACAAATGCAAATTGCTGTTTTGATAACGAGATGACTAAGTCAGAATCGTTATTCATAAAAGTTCTTCGTATATCAGCACTTCTTCACTTTTCTTACCTTTGAGTTACCAATAAGGTTAAGCTTGACGCTTAGCACCCTTATTCTTAGTCAGAAGCAAGTTTGATAATATATGTGTTTCAGATATCAGTACACTTGTGTTAGGCGACTTTTTATCAAAAGAAACAACTCGTTACTGATGGTAGTGCGAAAAGTATTATGTCAAGAGGTTTCATTGGACTGTGGTATTACCGAAAATATCTATGAATATTAGTCGATCCGTGTATTATCAGTTTTTCAAGAACTGCTTGAACGTTTGAAGCAATCCAAATATTTTTGTGATCAAACACCTCAGTATGGCCTTCAATTGGGATTTCAATGAAACATGATTCGCGTAATAAAATGCTAGGCTAGTAAATATCCTTTCCTCAGTAATTAAGTAATATATTGAACCTGAAGTGATCAAGGAGAAAGAGGGCGTTACACGTAGTACTTCTAATATGCTTGACACAAAACTACTGTGTTCAGAATGCTTCTTCTTAGTTATCTGTTTGCCTGATACTGACGATTAGCTTTCTAAGTGGATATTATCTGACTCGACAAAACTAATAAAGGTTTCAATAAGTAAAGGGAAGAAAAAAAGATACAATGGTAGAAGCCTCATTACCAAAATGAAAATGCTTAGACTTAGATTGAACAAATTGATGTAGATTCTTGCCATTTGACTACACTTTTTGACAGTCGAAATTATAACTAGGATTTCTATCGCCAGGAAAAGGCATAAAAGCTTCAAAACGACCAGATCGAAGAGCAAATATTCATCATTGTTTATGAGATAAAGTGGAAATAGGTAAGCCTTTCTGTAGTATAAGCATTTACTACTTAATAATATTGCACCTTAATTTGAGGTTTAAAGCCAATGCTAATATGAACTTTTCCTTAAAATAAAGTACACTGTGGCATCTTTAACAGCGAATACTTAACTAGTTCACTAGTTACTGGCCGGTCCTAAGCAAGAATGAAGTGGGATCGAGAGGCACTCGATGAAATGAATGAGAATGGAGAACTCTTTGCAAACGTCTGCGCATTCAACGATTTGGTGACTGCAAGCAGTGTGCATAAACACAAGGATATTCACAAAGCGAGCGACATGGATTTCACCAGAAACCGAGACACTACACTGAAAATCAGACCCACTTCATCTCAATCTGAACGAAATGGAGATGCAGCCTACTGAACCTGAGATCGGATTGAGAAGTGGAGCAGATGTAGGCGCACACCACTCAGTATTTGGTGCAAGAAACCTACCTTCAAAATCAAGTTGAAAGCCTTCAAAGAATTCGGTGGTAGACCACAGTTCAAGTTCAGTAGTCAGAACAGCAAGTGAAGGGCGAAATTACAAAGGACATCACATCAGTCTTCAGGACAAAATGGGAGATATTAAGCAACATACACGAGAAAACTCGCTTGGATGAAAACTGGAGCTCTGTGGAGGCGATGTGGAAAGAAACCTGAATATTCATGTTAGGAATGAAGACGAAACGAGTCAGGATAAGGAATGTATCTGGACGTACACAGGGAAGTTGATAGAGGAGAGGCAGGTGGCGAAGCAAAGGATGAACCAGCGCAGTGATGAGCAACAAAAAGAGGGACTGAACACAAACTACAAAACATTATATTGGAAGAAGATGCGAAGAAGAATACGCGCAAAAACAAAAAGACTCTTCTGCGACACACTTGCAAGTGAAGTAGAACAGGTTGCTTGTAGGAGAGACAGAGACCTGACAACATTATATCAAATAACCAGGTTACTAGCTGGGAGGGGAGAGATCAACTCAGATGAAACCAATGAAAGATAACGGAGGAAATTTATAGTCCACCAAAGAGAAGAAATAAAAAAAACGATGGGCTGACCACTTCAAAAAGCTCTTGAGTCAACCACCACCACCTGCAACTCGCCCAGAAATGCCACCGGCAGCGCAGCCACAAAACTGTCAGTGAATACAAGTTCTTCGACAAAAGCACAAGTCTTGAATGTCATAAAGCTGCTGAAATCATGGAAAGCGGCAGGACCAAATGGAATTCTGCTAGAAGAACTAATAACAGACGCAGAGACAATAGCGGACATGATCACACCACTACTGCAGAAGGTTTGGAAGGAAGGAAATGAAGACTGAAAGAAGGGGTACCTTGTCAAACTCCTAAAAAAAGGAGACCTAAGCCTTTGCAAGAACTGGCAAGGAATCGTACCACACTCTTGTCCACCCCAAGCAAAATATTATGTCGCATCATCCTGGAGAGGCTAAACATGCTCTGAACTCAAAGTTACAGCCGGAACAGGCTGGTTGGCTGGCTGGTTTCAGGAAGGCTCTAAAAAGCTTTAGTAAGGGTAGGTGTTTGTCACAGCTAATAATAATTAAGAGGGTGAGTATATTCATTTTTTTCAGAGACATTAAGGTAAATGTATGAAACGTTAAATGTTTAGTGAACAATTTGCAAGATGACAAGTCTATTTCTCATTTGCTTCCACTGAGTAGACGTGGTTAACAAATGACTAGTAAAAAGTTCGTAAAAATATCAGCAATTATTTATCGATTTTAGATTACCAACGGAACAATACCACATCTCAGATATGAACCTTGTTATATCTCAAAGATGTCATTCAGTGGGTTTACATCTCACGATTATCATCATTTACATGAAGAAGGATTAGTTTGTTTCTCCGAACTAATTTACTGTATTGCCTGATTCATTGAGTAACGAAAAATTCTATTAATATAACTCATCACATAAAAAGATTTGACAGAAATCTAAATCATATCAGTTAACAGAATATAAAGTTTTTTATACTTTGCTCTATCTATTCTTCAGGTTTTCTGGAAACCTCTGATTGATTCGAAATCCATCATGCATTTCACTTTATAGAGGATGATATATATTTGCAAGTACACGCATGCATACACAAGCGAATAAACACCCCGGTAAATCTAAAAAGGGCAAATTAACCTCTTTTTGGTTGTATATAAGGCTCATTTTGAATCTGATCATTTTCAATTTTGTGTTTGATCTGATTTAACCTTAGGTAAACATACATGTGAACATACAAGGTGAATAATTTGAACGAGGCAATTTTTCATCATTTATTCATTTAGCTAACTCATTTATTAGACAAGAAATAGACTTTCTGAATCTTTTGAAAAAAAAATTCCTCACATACATTGAACGATGTTTTCGTTGCATAAATTATTGCCAGGTTGATTGCACGTATATAACCAAATTTATACACTTTTGTGAGCAGCTTTTATCCAGTCGGATAGTTTTTTTCAGATTTTTTCATTTTTCGATTCCTGCCCAAACGAGAACTAAAAAATGCGCAAGTTTTAATTTTCTTATTTCTCATATGATCATAAATATTGGTAGTAGTATTATTATTTTACAGTAACATCGATATACATCAATCATAATAACCAAAAGAATATAGTATTAAACAGAAATGATACAGATGGCTGCCTATATTATTGTACTAAACATTACTTTTCCTTATAAAAATTGAGATAAATAAGTTAGTTAGAACGTCGGTCAATAAATCTTTCTCGAAAATGATATATAACTTATTTGTAATACATATATCATATATTATATACACCCTTACAGTTTCAAAATATATTTACAAAGTTTTTCGATAAATCATTCAAATAAACGTAGGATGTAATGATCACCCCACTACTTACTAAGTTCACTCACAACGTATTTCAATGAGCAAAACTGATACTCCCATTTCTTGTTCACTTATATATTCAGTTATTGTGGTAGACAATAAGAGTACGGTTGCCTTCTCTTTATCGCATTACTCATATCACTGATGCTTGGACAGTAATTCTGAGAAATTCTGTAGATTTTCACAAAAAGAATAATGGTTTTCCGATGTAAGCACTAATATTCAGTATTTAAATTCATGGTCTTCTTTTAGTATTTATATTACTACAAACACCAACAACCAAAACTTATGACCAAGTTTTCAGGATAACGTTTTGCTTATATTTAACTTCATCGTAGACCTACTAATGGACATTACCTTAGAAAGGTCTGATTTCATAGGGAGTGACCTACTACCTTGAGGTTATCTAGAGGACTTAAGGTATTCAGACGATGTTGTCCTGTGGTCTGAAGACGCTGACTTCTGTCTTCTGGACATGAGGAGCATAAATCTGACTGCTTTTTGCATATATTTCTCACTTTTCAAATGTACAATGATGCTTCATAATTGATCTGCAACCAGTCCTAGTTAGACAAATAGGAAGTGGTGGTGGAATGTATTGGCAACTTCACTTAGGGAGTTGCACCAGCCTGAACAGGCTGGTTGCTCATAAAACCTCAGCTGAAGTGCAGTAGGCCCGTTTGGCATTTCACGACTTGTGTCATCCGTGGCGCCAGCGAGATGTCCAACTGTCTATCAAAGAGTGAGTATACTGAGCTGAAGTCCGTTTTGCCTTTACATACGGTTGTGAGATATGTAGAGCGGTTACAGGTTTTTATCATGGGTGTTTAGGCAGCAACCACCACATTAGCAATGTTGAGGTCAGTCGGGGAGTACTAGGTGAGACAGGAAAGTCGATTGGTAAAATTGTGAACATCTAGAGACTGAGATGGCTTGAACATGTACTACGCATGTTCATCTACCGCCTACTTCAACATCCATGTCAGGAAAAGTTGGATTAGGTTGAAACAGATTTCAAGTTGGTCAGACGAAGGCCTGGGATCAGTCAGTGAAGTCCTTGACTGCTGGTCTGAGCCGTGTGAGGAGACGCAGACTGCCTGACTTGGGTTTCCGAGATGGTATGACTCTTATTGACATGGCTGAAGATCGGTTACAATGACCAAGGCACATTCACTCTTTGACTTCATAAAAGGTTTGAATATTCCCACTAATCTTTATCTTCAAATTGTTAATTGTCTCAAACAACTTTGTCTGCTTTGATACGACTCTTCTTCTGTCCATCTGTTCTTTGTTTACTAACGTGAAGGCCATTAACTTGAGCTGATGCACCTGTGTGCTAAGTTCTACCTTGGGTTTGTAAGCCAGTCAGTCAAACTTAAGCGAAGCTGTAGAATTTATTCATAATCTTCACCGGTAAATTCTAAAGCCTACTAAAAAACTCCATTTAGTGCGTGTTCATTTAGTCTAAACTGATAGTTAAACTTGTAAACACGATTTCAGGTGAATAGGCCCTATTTAGTGAGTTGACAGGTTCAAGATTAATGAAGTCATAGCTATTGCAAACACAACACACCATCCTTTAAACGATTTTTATTGTGATGTAAAATGTTAATAAACCTAATAATTTGTCAAGACAATATGAAAAAGTTTTATTGAATTACTTCCATACATTTTCAAAGGGTGAGATCCCCTGATGTACTCAAGTAAACTAATGGTGTTTGCAGAATATTATGGTGTCGTTTTTCCCAGAGGTAGTAGTTATTACGCAATCACATCAGTTGAAGTACCATTAAAAACCTGGAATTAGTGCATACTTAATTCACCGTAATTTGGGACACCTCACTAGTATGCACCCACGTAAATAGTCGTGCTACATCACAAACTGGCAGAAGTAGAAAACTGTAGATCGCTGAACACTAACCCAGTAGTTGAATGGTTAAAACGTTTACTGTGAGACTTGAAGGTCCACAGTCCACTTCCTGGTGCGATCATGGATGTGTACTTGTGGAGTGTTTAAAACAGCTGCTTAGCACCTTGATAGATGTCACTGCATGATCAATACTATGTCAAAAATAAAATTCATTCGAACTTCAAAATATATCATTTTATTTATCATGATTTAAATCAGCTGCATATATGTTAAGTAAATAAGTTATCAGTAAACAAATGCAAGCATACACATAAATTTGTGCAACACTAGTTCAGACATTGAAGTGATGGTGGTAAATTTCACAAGGAATTAAGTATCCCACATTCAGTACTTGTGGCAAAAAGTGTTCCTTGGGAATTTTAAAACTAGTTCTCTAATTAAAGTTGTAATTTCAAAGTTCTTGACTGAAATATTAGCAGAAATCTAAGACCAGTCATATTACTCAACTGAGACATTCTAATCTTTGTTCTCCGCCTTGCTTCTAGAATTTAATGAAATGAAGTCAGTGAATCAACTGACAGATACAGTACACTTTTATTATGCATGTCTACTTTTTATGTCGATTAACCAACTTCTGATTTCATGTAAAATTGATTTTCACTGAAGGACAATGGAATACATTGTCATGTCAAATCCTATCCCACTAATCAGATGTTATCATTACCAGACCGAATATAATCTGCAAACAATTCTCACTTATCTGTGAGATGTAAGTTGGCACAAAGAAGTAGACATTGTTAGAACTGTCACCTGCTTTCTGAAACATTAATTATTCACCTGCTGTAATACTTACAAAACCAGTTCCTACTCTAGTCAACTGTACTATTTTTATTATAATCCGATTATATGCTTAGTTTACTTTCATGCAGTTTAGGTTGTTAGATATTTTGTAACAGCTGTTTAAAGCATATTGAGAGAAGTACGAACAAAAATGAGTTAAAACTACGTAAGTCATCAACATCAGCCTGTTTTCACTCCTAACGGTAATCCAAACAGTCAATTAACATAGTAAAATTTAATTCAAAGGTAACTAACCGAATTTCTCCTGCCTTCAAAGGGTTAAGAGCATACAGCCAATCATGGATATCTGAGCCATCCTCAGTAATTGTTTGTATCAGTAGAGTCCTTGTATCCGTAATCAGTGTGAACATATTCAGTTTACTGGGAAACATTGATGTTGGCGACATTATATGCTCACCTTCAGAGCTGAGCTGAACGGAACCTGACTTCATTTCATCTAACATCCTATCTTCAGTTTCATAGGCCATATTCATGCTAAAATAGATGACAAATACATCATGATGAAAACTTAGGACCGTTCAAGCTTGCGTAACTGTATATGTATCTTGACTTATCAGGAATCATGACAAATTGAAATCTTAGTATCTGTAATTGCCTACGGTATTTGGAGCCATACTGAATCAAATGAATAAGTTGGGTTTAGAAGATTCTTACTTGACAGTACTCTGATCGATAGCAATAAGTAGCTCCAAAATACTTAATGTAAATATGTCGATAGTGATTCACGTCTAAAAAGATAACCACACATCGTTTCAAATGAGGGGATTAAGAATGGGTTTTTTTTGTAAACATTTAAGCAGTCAACATAAACTGACTACCTTTCCTATGAAAGCACAACAGATGTCGTGCTTTGCATTTTATTGTGTGTTATTCATCTCCATGGGAAACTATGAATGATTTACACTATTTCATCCAAATTATTTACGACAGAATTTCATTCTATTCACAAACAGTTGGCTGTTGCTGATTCTACTGCTCAAATTACATTTCAGTTCACATTGTCTATAGACTGTTATCTTTTCAATCAATTGTTCATTAATTAGTTGAGATACAAACAGCTGAAAACTGTCAGTTTTCTTCTTAGATGCATACGCTGGGGTATAAGGTCTTTGATTAAAGGCATTCGATGGTCAGATGGTAGAATTCCTTTCTCACCATCACTTGCTATATAAAAATATGAGACTTCAAAAGGTTGACATCATAAATAAATCAACACATTTCAGCGTTTCGAAAAATGAAGCAAGCTTTACTAAGTTTTCACTCATACCAGAGAAATAAAAAAGAGCACTTAAACTGGGCAACTGATAAATATTATTCGGGAAGCAGAAATTGACACTAACTTTTCCGCGACATACAACTAAACCCCATCAATCAGTTCTCCATTTCTAAGTAACGATGAATTTTGCAGATGTTGTTTTGTGTGTAGCTGCAGACAAAAGTGAAAGAATTCTGCTGAGTTAGCGAAAAATGGATGTCATTTATCACAGCATATGAATTTTGTATGCTTCATTGGATTACTAAAGTCTGTAATCCAACACATTCAACCTACCTTCAACACCATTAAAGCGGTTCATTTAGTAAATATATCTCATGTTACAAAAATAGTTGCAGCCAAAGTAGAGAAAACCTTTTTGTGTTGATGTAAATTTTTAAGCAAAACAGATAAACAATAAACGGAGTCGGAAGTAGAATGTGATGATGTTGCTAGAAAAACGTTTGCGTTGTCACTCAACCTACAAATTACCATTCAGCTGTAACTAAACGGAACAGAATACTCATCAAATATATATGAGCTATATATAATATTAGTCACTCCGATGAACTTCAACAAGAAACATTCGTCACTAAAACAGTACGTTCTGAGTATTCCTTTTGACTTGATTATTCAATACCAAAAGTTCTTGCTTGTTCATGGATGTTAATTTTTCATCGAAACCGGATCTGTAAGGGAAGAATCATCAGTAAAAATGGAGAACCCATGTAAATAAGAGCTTCTTGTCAACTCTCTGTCTCCAAGTTAAATCGTTCAGAGCATTCTACGTAGATGAGTTTTTCAGTCCACATATCACACTACAAACTTGACCAATAAAATGTGGTCAGTACTTAAGACTGCATAACGGAACACTTGTTATTCTCTTGTAATCATTCACTGTAATGTAGGAAGATGCATTTTTGTTTTTTGTGCATCATCACTTGATTTGAGAATAGCTAGTGATTTGCGTGAATATGTTCATGCCCTCGTATATTCACTAAGTTGGGTCATTAGTTATGCGCAAATCCCTAGCAAAGTCCCAGTGGTGACACACAAGGCTAGACTGGCATTTACCTACTTACTTAGTTTTGGAATTCAGTGAAATGCCTAACCACCAACTTAATGTTGAATGCAAGGTATACCGTGTGACGGTGAGAAGTTTCTAAAACATCATGACATGAAGAGACAGGATTTGATTGATCATTTGTGCCTTCGTAGAGTCTCTTGCTGATTTCTTGAAATGACAAAATTAGCTATACTGAGGTTAGCTTAGAGGTGAAGATAGAAGAAATAAGTTGGGTTAGGGATGTGGTAAAGTTGCAGTGAATGAGTTACATGGAGTATGAATCACATACAAAAAATTATCACCTGCGCTGATGCCTCAAGCTAGCTGAAAGCAGATGGGCTTGTTGAAAGATTGAATATGTCAGATGAATGCAGGATTCCAGCTATTGAAATAACTGGCTCTTTGTTTGAACAGTGAGAGAGGTCTAAACCTACTGAATATACGAAGTCAGCCACGGGAACTATATCCCGTTGATGTCTGGATTTCATTTTACATTTGACTGGTTTCGCCACGACATTATATGAATGAATGACCGTTTTTCAACCACTGTATTTGTAGAAAGTATGTCATATGCAAATTTCTATAATGATGCGGAAAACCGTGTATGTAAACACATTTTTAGGTGAAATAAAAACCATTAAACATAACCCTAAGAAAAACTTAGAATTTAAATTAAATTTTTCGTTCATTTTATATGATAGACAGAAATATTTCATGAAGAGGGTGGAATAGAATTTGAGTAAAATAATAAGAATACCATTATGAAATAAGTCACAGGTTTCCTCCATCATAGGATTAGTAAACCCTAAGCTTCCCGTTCAATTATTTAATTACGGAAAAACATTGCAGTGTTTTCGTCCGGTTTCATAAAGTATTGATAATATGGTTTTGATAATCGTAAGTAACCCCCAAACTGAAAGTAGAATTCTCTGTTTTCATGTCGTATAATACCGTTCAAAGTGAACTGTAAGCTTCGCTGTCATCAAAAATGTGATCGGCAAAAGAAACTCTTGCACTTACTCATATTCTATCTGTGATGTAGTAAGGTTAATAAGACCTCTTTCGGTCAAATCTCTCTCATGATTGTATAAATAAAGGAATGGTCTTCGAACAACAGCCCATCTACGCATCCAGCCGGCTGTCCTTTCCTCCAACACTAGAAGGTAACCTTTACGGCTTATCACTGGGCTGATACGAACCTAATAGTGAAACAAAAAAATTAAAAAGAAACAATCAAAATATGATCCAGTCAATCATAAAATATAAGTTCACCAGAAAATATAAAATATTGAAATCCGTATGAAACTCAGGCAAAACTAACGGTAATTCAAGCCATTTTTAGACCTGGTTAGGATTCAATCTGCTAGTTTAGTAAGAAGCAGATATTCAGTATTATTCCAGCATTATTTGATTGTATATATATATATATATATATATATATATATATATATATATATATATATATATATATATATGAAAACGTGTAACCATATAGTTTGCTTACCAAAAGTCAATTTTCGAATATTTAGGTGACTGATTACAAAAGGATATAATATTCACTAGATTTTACCGGGACTGTCATCAATCATCAACTCGAATTATATACATATATATATATATATATATTCTCTTCAGGTACTAAACAATTTATCTTACACAGACCTACAGGAGGTTAATCATGGCTCGAGTAGATAAGTGGTAGTGTCTTTTTCTGCAAGTTTCATAAGGAATATCATTTCCATCAAGGTTGCGGAATTGCCTTTCCTGAGTACCAACAAACTCGAAATCTAATTCGAAGTCATTCTCCCGTATTGCTCCAAACATCTAATATCAGTGAAATTTTCGAAAATCAGTTGGACAATAATTCAGAAAGCACTGGGCAGCTTATACTCGCTGTCCATTTAAAGTGATTTCCGATCTCAAAACGGCTGGATGGATTTTTGAATCAAAACCTATTAACCATATTTGACAGAAAATATATATTTCAAGGGAAAGTGCATCAACTAACCAAGTGCTGAACCGTCGAATAAATAAGTGAATGAAATAAGTGTTCAAACTATGAAGACCTAAACTTTGGGTCGCTACCCAATGCAGCGGTCTAGTACCGAAAGTAGAGAGACATTAACACATACGTGTGTAGCATTATTCTAAACAATTTCACTTGACACGCTCTTTAAAAGTCCTAAAAACTGTCATATGTTTCTCTAACACATTGTTATTACAGGTGAAAGGATGATGCTTTCAGAGCGCTGTATATAATGTATTCAATAGTTTGAACTATAAGATTTTTTGACAAGTAACACAACATCTTCGTTAACTTTTTCAAGTAGTTTATTATACAAACAAATACTCTTGTCATTCTGAAAGGCATTTCTGATCTTTGCAGGGAACCTGAAATAGACCAGGAAAACCAATTTTTTTTTAATGAACAGAGTAAAGTAAAGAAACCCAACAACAACGTTTAAAAGAAGTTTCCTCATGAAATCGATTTGCGGATAATTTAACCCTTATCTAACACAAAGATGAGTCAATAGAAAGCGTTGACAGCCTTTTTTTACTTTTTGTCGATCATCAACGATGCACATTTAAAAATATGGAATACTTGGTTTATTTACACCCTTAGAATCAAACTTTTGTCGCACAATCTCAAAGTTAGAGAAAATGCCGCCAAGCTGTTAAGGTTACAACTAATCCGATTATGCATTGCTCAGACCACTATATGAGAAACCTGGCTAATGCAAGATATAAATAGTTGTCAAAATATTTAAATTCTAGTGTATGTAGAGCGACATTTAAACTATGCTCTTTCCAAGAAATAATCCAATATTTAAAAATAAAGATTTATGATCTCAGGAACACGTTACTTCTCCTACAAGTTACTGACCATCTAATCTACCAGTGTCGACTTCACTACGCTTACAGGGAGTTTTTATTCATAACAAATTTTTATCTATATTCTATAGTGAGTGATTTCATTCATGAAAAAATAGCATTTAACAAATAAGTGGTATATAAGATTCTATTCTCATGCAAAAATCGGAACTAACCTCATCACATTCACCCACTAAATAAGGTGATGGTAAATACTTTTCTCCAGAAAGCATATTCTGGATAGATTCAGTTGTTGCCGATTTCGGTATACCAGAACCTAAAAATAATCACAAAATATTTGTTAATTTCTGATTTACTGAAGTATACAGTTAAGTATGTCTATCACCAATCTAAATACGCTTTCTTATTGAGCACAAACAAATGTGGATTATCACTAATTAACACTGTTCATAAAACTTTATAGCAGGTAATATTTTACTGTACACATAAAACTAGCCGTTTCGCTATATATGATTGTTGTGCAATTAAATGTGAATGCACAGAATTAACCTACAGTTATGCATTGTGACATTCAACCCATTATTTAAATTAGATTTTCGAAAGCATATAATATCAGGTAGTGAACTACCGATGACATAAATTTAAGCTTCGTAAAAAAAGATGTGACTGTCAGTTACCAAAGATATTGCCTGAAACAGTCAAGTTATGAATGAAGATGAATGAATTATGTTCATGAGTCTTACCTTCACACCATTCAAAGCCTTGCACAAAGTAACCTATTTCTTTCCTGATACTTCAAAATTATCAGCTGCATAACATGACTTTTCTATACGTCACCTGAAGATATCTACCTCGTCTTCAATACAGGCATTTCATGATAAATACTCAATCAACAGTAAACACTTTTAAGAAAAAATCCGTAAGTTTCAATGTAGGTGAATATTTTTAGCCTAAAAACAAGGGTGATTTTATTGACATTGTGCGTTCTGAATTGAATGGTTTAACTGTGAAGCTTTCATTATCATTCTAGACAACGTCATCAGCATGAACATCAGAAAGAAGTGAGCTGTGGGGTTTTCACCACGAAGGAGCCTAGTTGCTTGTCCTTATGACTTTGTGTGTGATTGGTTGTTTCTGCTGAAGTCTTGTCATCATCCCCTTATTTGTTTCGATTGATTCGTCTGCTGACATTAACTCTAGCCTTCACTTTGTTTCTTATTGATCGATAGGTTGGGTCAATGTCAGTATGTCTGTTGATTGCTGACCAACGTGGATGTCAAGTTTCCAACAGTTCTCTGGCATTCTTTGTGTTTTCTCTGTCCGCGATTTCCACATCTGCCCAGTCAGATTCGTATCGACAGTGGTCTGTATGCATTGATTTGAGTGAAGATATGTCATGACACTTCACTGCTGGTTGATATTCATGTAGACGGATACGAAGAGGGGGAACACTGTGTTCGATGTAGTGTTTTTCACAATTTCTGCACTTTATTCTGTACGTGACGTTTGGTTTGTCTTCCTTCGGTGTTGCATCTTGTGGCCTGCATAACAGACAGTGTATAAACATTGTTGGAAAGAGTGAAGACGTATTGTAGCACAACAAGCTTTCGGAGAAAAGAGGAGGACTACTGAATGACAGTTTTCTAAAAGAATGGCCATCCATGCAATTTCATCAAATGATGTTTGCATAACTCGTCGTCAACCAAGAAGTGATCCTCAGAAACCAACTACTAGATTGTATTACCTTACATAAAGAACGTTTTCGAGATACTGACTAGAATATTGAAGCCTTCTGAAATCACCGTATCTCACAAGCCCACAAAATCTCCTCATTGATAATGAAAGCTTCACAGTTAAACCATTAAATTCAGAACACACAATACGACCAAAATGTGCGAAATTGTCGCCTGCAGAGTCAACCGTTAAGTTAACACTATTTAATCAAAATAAACTCCTGCAGGTTTTTATCGTATAAATACTCACCAAGATGATAGTATGTTTATCGATCTAGTGAATCTGAACCAAATAAAAACGTGGCCTAAATACGACACTGAATAATGAATACAAATTATTTTAAAAGAAAAGGTTCCTTGATAAAAGTTTCTTTCCCAGCAACTGACAAATAAACAATGACCGGTTTAAGTGCACAACATGTCTGTTTTCCTCATGAGATGAAATATACTAACCAACGAATGTGCGCCAGTTATGCTGAGTAAAGGCTGATAAAAACTGATTTTTTTATGACTTAGCTTTACAGGTAATTACACTTCTGAACAACATATTAGAGTACTTAAAATAATGAAGCAAATAGTGAAACAGTAATTTTTACCACAAAACATTAAGAACAATTTACTACTCATTTTCTTCTCAAAGTAATCTCACAACTTCCATTTCCCCTTTTTAATCTAACACCTTTCTTTCCTTCTAATAGAAGTACAACTATCCGGATTTCTGTGAATCATTCCGCATGCTTTTGTTACGTGTTGATTCGATGAATACAGATCTCGGAGTCCATCTCAATCCCACTTGAAAACAAACTGTCTCAACAAATGAAAGTAGTAATGATAGGATTTCCGATTTCCCAATTGTGGAGGGTGTATTTCTGAACAGTTGGAAACAAATTACATTGGAAATGTTTTAACCATGGTATAAAGTATGGTGGAGGTATGCAGATGACATATTAAGTACGTTTGAATCAGCAGGTAACACATGATATTTGGTAAAGCAGGTAATTCGGGTGACCTGAGTTTACTGGATTTTTCTGCTACCAGTGTTTCTGAATGAATTTCTTGGTTTATGATACCGCTTTTATTCTGGAATGGTAAGGAAACATATTTAGACTTTCTAGTATCGCCGTGTTTTCTGGCAATACCGCAGAAGGCACAAATTCTCTCCCAGTCATGTTTTAACTATCATATTCTTATTTATATTCTTCTTATGAGACCTTGAAAACTTTTTGATAAAATGCAGAGAGTAGTTACGAAACAGTGTGGTATCTTTAATCAGATTCAAATGCTTGCTTTAGATCTTCTGAAGTTTATTTAGACTTCTGGCCCCAATTCTTAAAATTTTACGAAGCTCATCTTGACAGATATAGAGTGAGGCTATGAACGCTACCTGTAAAAGCTTTTATCTAAGCTACAATCTTCTTTTACTTGACTTTGCAGTCCAGTATAGGTAGTTTCCCTTCTGAATTCCGTACTTCATAAGTTAGTTAGAACTCCATCTACCACAAGGTTTACGTGTGTAAAAGACTGTGACCATGTTTTATTTTGGACAAAGTCAATATGTCATCTGCATACCTCCACCATACTTTATACCATGGTTAAAACATTTCCAATGTAATTTGTTTCCAACTGTTCAGAAATACACCCTCCACAATTGGGAAATCGGAAATCCTATCATTACTACTTTCATTTGTTGAGACAGTTTGTTTTCAAGTGGGATTGAGATGGACTCCGAGATCTGTATTCATCGAATCAACACGTAACAAAAGCATGCGGAATGATTCACAGAAATCCGGATAGTTGTACTTCTATTAGAAGGAAAGAAAGGTGTTAGATTAAAAAAGGGGAAATGGAAGTTGTGAGATTACTTTGAGAAGAAAATGAGTAGTAAATTGTTCTTAATGTTTTGTGGTAAATGACATTCTGTCAATGAGTTTTTTATCAAATTAACTATTCTTGTATGCCATTCTTATCTTTTTTAATGCCTGCGGCTAATAATAGTAAATTGTTGTTTGAAAGTTAAGTGCTCAAACAAACGATCCACTTCGCGTCAACTGAACTAGTCTTTTTGTGCTGTCATAATTCAGCTTTATAGCAGCATTGTAATGTCTCAGTCGGAACAGTGAGAAGTCCAATTCGAAAAATAATTCTTATCCTGACGATAATACTGAGGAAGTCCATTATATTCTGAACGATGAATATAAAAATCTATCCTTCCTGGTGAAAGTTTTTCTGTATTATGTGTGCCTTCAAACCGCCTATATTGTCTGTATAATGCAGCATATGCACAACTATCCACAGGAACAAATTAACTGGGAGAAAAAAATAGCCTACGGAAACAGTCATACGTATTTATACATAATATTTAGGCGAAATATGGCTTATCACAGAAGTAGGTATTAGGTGGGGATTTATCAGTTAATAAAAATTGTTACACTTTTGCTAATGGGATGATTTACTAACGCAAACATTAGATTTCTTGACAAGGGTTTTCTGTTTGGTTCTCACAGTGAAATTTATACATGCCTTTAAGCTGATACATGCATCAATGATACCAGCGGGTAGATGTTTTTTTAACATCATTAGTAATAAAATTAACAAGGGTAGATGATTTAGAGGTTTTTTTACTTTATTATGATACACCAAATAAAAATCAAAAACACTGTCATATCGTCCTCAAAAGCTTTGTGCTGTACTGCTCAGTTCATTCATTACTTTAACGTATCACGATCAATAATGAACAGTGGATTAGAAAAACTTGGGCACCGAGTCAATACGATTTATCGTATAAGGCGTATTTTGACCTGTGTAATCACGGCGTATTACATAAAAAAAAAAACAAAATAAACAAATATCTTGTACTGGGTGATGATTGAAGGTGAAATGAAAACTTGGACCGCAGCTAGATTAGAACCAGTGGTCATCAGGTTTCTGGTCCGATGCCCTACCAATATTTTGTATTATTCCTCAACCTTTCGACCTTGCTAAGAAAATCTGGATCTGACATTAAGTATGAGTGACTTTAAAGCCCACCCTGACAACTGCTGGGATACACAAATAATTTTTCGTATTTTATGAAAAACCACTTTATAAACATCTAGGCTGTAGTTGTTACGAATGTCCTGAAAGAAGTTGAGCATGGAGTCAGGTTGATTCATTATATAGGTAAGTTTTAATGTAATTTCAGCGTGTTTAGAAAATAGAAAACATTTTGATGTTGAGTAAAAATCCGAATATTCTGCTGAAGAAGCTGTGGCATACACGACGAAATGTTTTCGGTTTTCTTAAGACTGAGATCGTGTTAAAACTTACCTATATAATGAAAAACCACCTTTCAAACTGAAATACCGAAACTTGATTGCTTATTTCAGTAATTACTAGAGTGGTTACTTAATATTCAAGCTTTGGTACAGAAGATTATCTTTACGATCATGATATCATCGTGATATGGAACTAAGATCAATGCAATGCCGGCGAGTGAATTATCAAATCGGTCAGAGATGCTTGTTCCAGTAGTGCAATGGAATATGGAACAAAAATAGGATGCGGCAATTTTGGTTCGACTATGTAAAGTACGATGAGGTTGTGAGTCATTAGGGGGGAGAAAAAATCGATTACTAGTTCGGAAAGATGAATGTGTGAACATCAAACATTATATAATAATTAATAATAACAAAGATAATAATAGTGATAACGATAAAGGTACTTTTGATAAAAGTTGAAATATGAATGATAAAATGGATAATGTAACAAATGGAGTGGTTCATAGAATGTACTTAACTCAGAAAGGAACGTAAAACTGATTAAAATAGTAGATCAATAAAGTGTTATGTGATAGGACCAGACAAGTTGTTCAAATACAACCAATTTTTCCTTGACGTAATTAAGACGATTAAAGGAAATAACAGCGGAAACTATTCAAAAATGAATAAATTCCAAATAAATCATGTGGAATACGGTGAAATGAAGTTGTGTTTAGCCTTGGCTTTGCATATTATTTGAAACTGTCTACGCCAGTCATTAATATTTGACAAATTTGTGAGATGTCTAACCCATATTTTCTACTAACCGAAGAAGAGTACAAACAGATGTTTAAAGCTTCTGCAATGACTCGCTCTTTCTAAGAAAGAAAACCCCTTTGCAAGACATTTGCCTTTCCGAATGATATTTTATGACCTAAATATAAAGCATGAGCCGTAATGGCAGGGCCTTTTTCAAGTGCTTTCAGGTCATAGAAGTTTTCGATGGTTTTTTATAACTTCGACCGTGTTGGGTTAAACGTGTTAGTACTTGAATATTTACCCGAAAACCTAGTGTAAGATTCATAATCTTGAGAGGGATTTTTCCAATAAGAACGAAAATCTGTGGAATATTACAAAACATTCGTTCATTTCGTTATTCGTCCTAATTTACTACGCCGTGATCAAACAAATGAAAATGCACCTTATACAATGGATTTATTGATTATGCTGATTCATTTATTTGTTATATTCTAAACTCTAACAATTAATGTAAGGCTGTTGACTGGCTTCAAAGGGAATATTACTGGATGATAAGTTGAAAATTCTTACTGAATGATCTCAGATTCATTTCAGCTGCTTGATCAGAGTATACGCTTCCTGTCATTTCAATTTGGGGGTAGCACCTCATATCATCAGAATGAAAGTCACTATCTGATTTCAAGTATTGATTTGAAGCACTTGGAGTAGAAATGCCACTTGTTGTGGAATCACCCAAATAGGGTCGTTTGGTCTAAAGTTATATCAAAAAAGAAAATGTAAGAACAATATCAAGATGACCAGTTGATAAAAGTCTGCTCTTTGATTATCCTCAGTAATTATGCAATCAATACTGTTATCACAAAGATCTGATTGTGACTTTTGATATACAGTTGATATGGTGAAACAGAAAATAAAACTTAGGTTTTCAGAATTAATCAACCTTGAAAGCTTATTTGTCCATAGTTTTTTTAGACAACTTCCTAATCAAACTAAAATTTTTCACCGTAACTGTTATCTTTTATTTGCCTTCAGCGCTCATCTACGAAACAAATTATTTTGTTATGCGTTAAGCAAGAAGTCATTTATTGGTTGTTGTAAGATCAGTCAAATAAATGAAATCCAATGAAAATGATATCCAACATGAATTTTTATGACATGAACGTTAATAACACCGATGGAAGATGATTCTGAAACTCCACATTAGATTATTTATTCGACTGATATGTCACACGGTGACGCAGCATAATTTATTGGATGACGTTTCAAGCAGAGTTTATTGCTCATATTCATATGACTTTGATATGGTTACGAGCAATGAATTCGGCTTAAAACGTCATCCAGTAAATTTTAATGTCATTGTGTGGTATACCAATCAAATTAAAAATCTAATACGGAATTATACTGTAACAAAGTGTACAAGTTTTTTCTTACATTCATTCTGAAACTTTTTTTCACACTAAAATCTTTTACTGGCGATGAGTTGCTCGTGTTGATCTGCTTCAGAGAAAGCTAAGATGACTTGAATTTTAATTGCGTACTGATATCAATATTATACTTTCAACAAAGCCATAATTCACCAGAAAACTTTGATTGTGGAGTATTTAGCAACTCTCTACGACAATATGAACTCAAGTACTATCTAGCCTACAACTCTGTTCATTTGCTAATTGTATCATCCACCACGTAGTTCTTCACAAGCAAATGTCCTGCTTCCTTTACCCATTCATGCACAAGTTGAAACCAATCAAGTATTTACTCAACTTTTTGAAGTGTTTCTTAGTGAAAACAGTTGAAGCGATTCGCTTCTTTATAACGTGCGGCAATATATCTTTAAATCAAGTAATAACTTCAACTCACTATAATACCAAATTGCCTGATCAAGCATTTGCTGACAGACACATAAGAAGTTAAGGCATTTAAACACTGTTTCATGAATAATTGATCTTTAAAAAGTACACCCTGGACATCCATTGATTTTTCTTCATTGCATTGCTTCAAAATTTCCTCCTTGTTTAAGAGACCTGAATCTTGCGTATTGACAGTCTCACCAAAATGTTTGCTTAAATTCAGTGTTGTTGGCCTTGTTGAAGGGAAAGAGCTATAAACCAAGGAAATTGACCGGATAAGAATCAAAGTCAAACGGAAGAACATTAGTCATAGTTAAATTTAACTGGTTACTTTGTTTTCCATAGTCATATCAAGATAGTTTGATATTACTTGATACGACAATAATTTGTGTTCGAAACGTGGTGCAGTAAATAACATTCTTCCGCTATGTGAAACATCTAATAAATCATATGAAATTGGAAAAGCCATCCAATCAAGACTGATCTAACTGAGAGGTAGCAGAAACCGTCAGGTTGTTAATTAACTTTAGAAAGACAAAATTATCCATACAAAAGGAAAGGGAATAGAAGCAGAGAGGGTACTGCATTTTGAGTCTTACCGGCTTCAGTAAGCAACGAGGTGAAGCTCTTCTTTTTATAAACAGTATGCTGTTTCCTTTCAGAAAAATAAGAATACAGCCATTTTGAAACATAGGGCTACCTAGAATTGGGGTGGCAAATCCAGTGAATTCATCAGCAAGAGTTGATAAGTCCTAAAAACTCCAGTTAGGTGTAACATAACTGTTTGTTAAAGTGAGATAGCTTGAAGTTCAAGCAGGCAGTGCGATATTAGTTATATCATTTCATTAATTATTGCAGAATTAGATTACAAACGCAATAAACTATACACCAGGTTAACTTGTTTGTGCAATAGTTTACTTATTTGTCATTCATTTGAATAGTTACAAGCATTTCTTTTTGAGTGCAAGGAAGCTTTAATAACTGAGACAATGGCAGAGTAACATTGATGGGAACAATAAAAATGTTGGTGGTAATTATACTTCTGTTGTTCTTGATGATGACAACATTGTGAATAACGTAATCAGTGATATGAATGTCCAGTTCATTATCAGATCATGTACTTGTTCTGGTTGCTCTACGTTAACTCATAAATGGAAGGTTTTAATGCATCTAGATGTATACTTGTCTTCTTTTTCCTTTTAATGGACATTCTCTTTTCCATATAGTAAAGTTGACTCAATTATGGATGATATGTTTCCAAGATACTAAGATAAACATGCCCCCCTTTTCTATTCAAAAAAATATTTCATTTATTTTAAGAGGTAAATAATATATTGTATAAATGGAATACTTTTTTCCAGAATTGTTTCACTTTCTATTAATAAACTAAGCAAGGTGATAAGTGAATCCATTAGAACTGCGTGCAATTATTTTCATAGTATAATAAACCTACTAATATAATAATAATTTTTGTATACTTTGTTGTCTTGAAAAATTGGCATACAACAAGAACAGCATATTTTATGATATACATAGGATTTCTATTATTTCATCACCTTTCCAACTGCTTGAATACTACAAAACGTAGGATATACACAAACAAAGCAGAAATGCAAGATGAATAAAAGTAAAACAGTCCATTTATGAAAAGTAATAAGGAGCTGAGAAGTCTGAATAAAAAGAATCAGTGATTATATCTGTTGTCGTCTCTCTTTTTACAGGTGATTATGCAATTGATTCCTATTTTATTATCCCACCTGTACTGTCTAATGCAAACTCTTCTTCACCAAACCCGTTTGTAATCTAAGCCTTATATTCAGCTTATTATTGTGTCACATATACTAACATTATTTCTCCTATTTATTCGTCTAATTTGTTAAAATTTAGCAGTTTTACGAGAACAGTTATGACGTACGCTGTCCTGCACTGTTAAAAATGCTCTCATAGGTATAAATTTGATTTTTGAACAGATTTTCAAAGCTATTCAGTTTTCTTTTGTTGCCTAAATATTGTACCATGATACACACAGTATCCATTCGCCTCAAACTACGTTCTATACAAAACACTTAGTTAACGTCAGTCATTTATTATCAGGAATGAGTTCTGTCAATCAAGTCTTATTCTTTCCACTGATACTCACCCATTAAAACTACTGTTTGATATGTCCAGCTAATGGATATATATACATCTCAATGTTGATTTTCTAAGTAAGACCCAAAAAGCACACATAACGCTTTGAAATTCAGCCTGTTTTTGGAAAAATCTAATTGGCTTCTGTTAGGAAATGAGCATCAATGTACAATCACCTGAATATTGTCATCACTTTCCTTTTTGTTGTTTTTCTATTTTCTAATGAACAGAAATAAAATTTTATACGCTTTTCTCATTCTATCTGAAGCTCATGATTTTGATATAAATGCTTCTGAGTGAATGATGGTGGTTCCAATGATTTATTGATGAAGCATAATTCGAGATTTGTTATTCATACGCTAACAGATAAAACTATAATGTAGAGCAAAAATTCTGTAAAAGTAAGTTTTAACGACATGCAGTTTGACATCCACCTGTAAAACAATGTACTGAGTTGGAAACTAAATGTTCAGTTTGATGTCCAACAATGTGAGTAATTTCGTCTCTTAATTTTGGTTGACAGACTACGGTTCCATTATTTAAAGTCATTCATCTAAACAAATGAGTGACATCTCTCTCACCTTTTTTTATCAATGTAGTGATATGTTTGATCAGGAAATGTATACCCGTCAATTTTAACTCACCATTACGTATAATTTATATTAGGTCACTTTATGGTTCACCGTATGCATAGGCATACAGTACACAGGAAACAGTTAGTCATTATTTGCAAGTATCTGTTAGAGGAACATCAACTGAGTACAAGTTATTTATCGCTCTATTGAAAAAACAATTTGATGCTTGATTTATTTGACATAAGCTGGTATTGATAAATCACTGAAATGTAATTCAATTGTAAGTTAACTCAACGCAACGTTATACTTGACAGTTATATATTTTATCCCCTTATCAAACTACTCATTTTACTAGAAAGGGTGACGTTTTTGCATATGATACACCAAAAGAGAAAAACTACCAAATAAATTAACTTCAATAAAAAAGGCGATAGTCGAAATGGCTTACATCTTGCTATTTATGTTATTACATGCTTGAACAGGTGAAGCATTTTGCAGTTTGTCACTTGAGGAGATGAGGTCTCTTGATGAAGCACTCATTGGCTTAACTTTGACTGCAAGTGGACGATGATGGTGATTTGTATGTGATTCCTCTGACGTGTCTAGCAGGTCACGCAGTTTTAATAATTGTCGTGTTCTTTCCACCTGGTAGTATACATAATTAATCATAAAGTGATCACATCTATGTAAAAACTGAAAAAAATGTTTCTTTCTGTCAAAAATAATAGGTTGTGAAATGATGTGAACAGCAAACATACGTCGGATATCATAAAGCTTTTGACAGCTTCTCACTTCAAAAATGAAATTACTTTGCTATGTTCATTACTGCAGTGGAGTTCGATGAGTCAAAACAGTTCAATAAAAATAAAATTTATGATTTCATACGCCCATTAATTACAAACTGACTTGAAACACTAAGAAAGTAGCTATAGGATACAGAAGTATAAAGTACTAAAGCGAATACTAACACTGAATACAGAGCATCCATCGTTGTACGCTGTTAGACATTTACAGCTTTCTTTGGTATTGCTCTTCTTAGATTTGCTGCTGAAGTTTTAAATCCTAATTACTTAAAGGCAGAGTTTTGATATCGGCAAGACGTGAAACTAAATTTAAAATCTATCCGCTATAAATGTTTAGACTTACCAGTGATATCCGACTGAAACGTTCCAACTCCCATTGATGTTCTATAATCAATGAGTCACCACGTGGTCTCCAACCTTTTATATTTTCTTCACCTCTAACATAAGTAAGACTGGTATCCATAATTGATCTACTGTGAACATTTTGTCCTTGTAGTGAAAATGATATTAACAAATTTGTAAAAAAGGTGATAACTAGATGATGAACAAAACCATGCTAACTCCAGATGAATTATGTGCCTGAGAAAATAAGGGTATACTCCGAACATTTCACCTACTTTTCTAACATTCCTATGTACAAATATATGCCTATGTTTGAATAGTAGTGATTACAGCCTTTCATTTCAAAAGGAAGTGAACTTTAAATGATAACACTGAAAAGAAACTAAGACATCGGATGTTTTACATATTAAATGCCCAGGCGCTTCATTCATGCTTTCAGATACTTAGTTGTTATCTTCATTCATAGATGACCCAGTGGGCAACTATTTGAGCAACCTAACTGTTCAAAATGATCTTCATAAACAAAGTGAATCATTCTGAACTGATTTGATAGGATCCTTCTTTTTCATAAAATTGAATGAAGCAAGAAGAACAATAGTTAAAAAAATTGTGCGGGTATTTCGTGGATACTCCTCAACTACTTTACAATCTAAGGAATGTAATAACTGTGATAGAAACAAGGTCCGCAACCTGCTTTAGGAATCGACGAAGAAGAAAAGGATAACAAAGATGTAGTCTGTTCAAAATTGATGGAATTTGGTTGAGTTATTAGGACTAGGATTGGTAAAAAATGATATAAGGATCAATTAAGCGTAACAAAGGGTCAACAGATTTTAATTATATTAGATAATAAGATGAATACATTCCAGAAAGTGAGAAACGGTTTTGAAATGCATTGATAAATAAAATAAAAAAGAGGGTCATGGGGTTTTGAAATTTTATAGTTACAAATTACTTCGGTGAAATAACATTGACAATAGTATCTCTCTGAATAAATAAATTGGTTTTTATCCCTTTAATTGTAACTGCTACAGCGAAGCCTAAAAGGTTAGGTCTCAAGAGTTTATTGATTACTTTTAGCGATTTTAATAAGCCGACATTAGGCCCAGTATAAATTAAGTCCTAAGCGATTGTGTTATTCTAACTCTGTTGTCTTTTAAGACTTAAATTCTTCGGGGTATTTTCAGAAATGTGAACAAAAACCCTTCACTCTACCCTTCCTATGTACGCGCTTTTGTCAGGTTCATGTGAACTGGGAGATACAGTTAGTGGTAAGAATATTTGGAAAATTGTCTGCTCTGGATTATATAAATGAGTAGTTAGTCTGAGACACGGACTACCTTCACGTCTGGAATGGTCTTTTTCAGTGCAGCACTCAGTGCATGTAGCGATTTCATTCTCTTTGAAGGCTAGATAAGCTTTTCAAATGGAAAGAACATTGTTTTATTTGTTTCTGAAATACTTTAATTATAGCTACATTTTCCTGGGTAACTATTTTCGCACAGGAAGCATCAGACAATGGTCGACACTTTATCGGTTTTCTCTTCAGGTCACATTTGACTCATAAGCTTGAAAATAGTCCTTAGTAGACACATTTTATAAATGACTAGACAAAAGCTCTTAAGTTCTAAACAAATCTCGATCCATATGTCCTTCTGACGAATGTATCTATGTGTCATCCCATCTGTATGATGTATGCCAATGTCTGCTAAGTGGAATTTGTTGTTATGCTCGCTTTCTGTTGTAAACGCTATCTTACGATGCACTTCGCTGAAAACACGCAGTAAGAGGTATGTTCACCGTTCTCACATACTATCTGTATGCTTTCTTTAATATGTGTTATTGATTGTGAATGGAATCAGTCTTTTTGTAAGTGACTTTTTCTCACCAACAACGTATTCCCTACTCAAACTAGTTCAACCCACGCAGGTTATCATGGTCGAAGATAATTCACTTCATAACCGGTATTTTTATTTAAACTTCTGAGGTTTCATTTGTGAAAATTAACACTTATATAGACATTTTCTTAACCCTACGTCGTGATATATTAGCTTTCTCACTCTAGTGAATCCTTCCTAAAGATCACGGTGTAACGCGAATTGATAGAGGTAGGTTAATGTGAACCAGTAGGTGGTGACACAGAGATTCGGAAGTAGTGTGTTCGCCACAGAATCCTTAGGTCTTGGGTCCGATCTTTGGTGAGTTCATTGATGCCCATCGCTGCGACGTTCCATGCTAGGACATAACAGCTGTCCAATTCTCACTGATCTTCAGTGGTTCTCTAACTGGTGTCAGTCCACAATGGATACTACCTTGAAATCAATAAGCCCTCGCAAACCTAAAAGCTGAATCCATTTTTCTTGATTAAGCCTAATTAATTTTTTTAAATATTTTACTTAGAACACAATAAGCTCTACAAAAAATTGCCTCTTCAGGTCAAAATTATTCTAGCGTAGTTAAACACACATGTACATGTAACGTACACATGTTAAACACATATACACATTTTTTCTATCTTTATATCATTCCCACCCATTTAATAAAGACTGATATTTAGAAAAGAAAATAGCTTACTGCATATGATGCAAGCAGTTCACTGAGTTCAAATACGGTTAAACATAAAGCAGTCAGTCAGAGACCTAATTATGTATGATGGCTAAGAGGCAATGGATATGAAGCTGTTTCTGAGTTAAGTCTTGTGCCTGTTAGCAAAGATTATAGCCAACTTTGGGGTAGTTATTATCTTCTTGGAAATCAGAACACTTATTACACAGAAATTAAGTCAGAGACGTTAACACTGAATTACTTAAATCTCACTTGACCTGCTATAGGATCAAACTGAAATCTATATAATTCAGTGTAAACGTCTTGAATTTAATAAGTGAGTAATGCAGACTGTGGACTCTGATTAGATGCCAATGCCTTCAGGGTTTCAGATATATATTTTACTAAAACACACTGACATTCATTCACCTTGTATAACTAAAATAGCATATGAATTCTGAGGACTGTGATACTAAAAGATATATAATGACCTGAATTATAAAATACTGTAACTCACTTATCTACTAGTAAAGGTGATAACCTATTCACGTTATGATTCAAGCAGCTCGTTCTGGTTTTCGGTCAAACCAATATGATTACATTTTCGTTGTTACTTAGAAGTGTTCGATTGAAAAGACGCTTTAACAATCCTTTTAAATGTAGAATTGACCAACGAACTGAGCTTACTTTTTCTCGTCAACATGAGATTTTTATTTTGCCTGAACGTGCTAGTCTAATTGTGTTTAGGTTTAAAACAGACAAATATGGTCCCACACTCTTCAACTCAGAACTCAGTTTTATGATATATTCACACAGATTTACATTTATTTATCTTCTGTGTTAGGTTAGTAAATTATTTCAGTACATGAAACCCTTGTAATCAATGCAATATCGAATATGAAGTGGGCATTTCTGTCTGTAAAATGTAACGTGGCATAAAAAGCTTGGAAAGGGATAATCTCTTCTTGATTTTGTCTATTCCTATATGACTTGTTCTTAAAATACTTCAAAATCTTTAGTCTTTTAAAGTATATTTATTCTTTTTACTGTATGCAGGAACGGTTGTTTATATAAGATGAAAAATTATGGAACTACTTATGAAGATAAAACTTCAACAAAATCAGTATAAAGTAAAAAGCGTTAAAGTTAAATAAACATGGCTTTAATTTACCCTTTAATGAAATCTGTCCAATTTGTAAATCATAGACAGCAGTAACACGATTCGCTTCAACACTTCTGGAAAATGTACTCCAAATTGAACGCAAAGACCTAAGTATAGCACGAGTAGGATTTGGTGTAAGACGCGGACTGAAGAATAGCATAAAGAAATATCCAAATCGAAAAAAGCCAGATATGCCTATGCGGAATGTTAAGTAATTTATAAAATAATAATGTATGCAAATATTCATTGAAGGATGCTTAACTGGATATTTACTATTCTACTTCGATATGTTTGTCATTCAACGAAGTATTCATCATTTATTAGAGGTAGGTTATATCAAACACTGAACTTTTGTTTCATATAGTAAACTGTGGTTGTACAATCTATGACATTTATGTAAGACAAATTCAAGCATGCCTAATAAACTCTATGTAGTTAGAAATTCTTAACCCTTAGATAAACTTTATCCCCATGTTGTTAGTTGTGTCATTTGGTAGTATGTGTCCTATAATACTAGTAAATCTAAAATAATCGTCGGGTACCTAGACATAAAGTCTAAATCAGACTAACCTATCAAGCAGCAGTAAACTTCATAAGCCTCAATTTCTTAAAAAATTCGAAAATTTCGAAACTTAGTGAAAATATAAGAATTTCACTTGGATTATTTTTAAAGCTGTTCACACTTATAATGTGGCTGAATCTATACTAACAATGGAATATATCAAGGGGAACCAGTTACTTTCTATGAAATTTCCATCGGTAAATCTAATCAGAGAACCATTTAAATTTATAGACCAATGGTTAGCTGGAGTTTTTGTATTTTCGTACGCTAGTAGATCTATTTGACTCTGAGTGCTAGGCAACTATGGGGTCATAGTAACTCACACACACACAATGTCTTTAACTTACAGCAAGCACATATTCATTCAAGAACCTTATCGAATTTCCTTATTTCTTGACTTCCTTGATCTTCAAAAACCAGTAGATGCTGTCTTAGCAACTGTTGCATTGCTTCTAATACAAATGGATACTACTGATAAGTCTGCATCAATGACGTTTTTCGTAGAGATATTTTAACCTTTTAAAAGTTATAGGAACCCAAAGCTAAATGATTCGAACTAGTCCGGAACCTAAACTAAACGCTTTACTGAAGTTATAAAAATAGGGACTTGAGGCGGACATATTCTTTATTCAATGTAAAAACGCATATCGTCTGTTTGCAGACACTATCATACATCTATTAGTGTCACGAATGACCTTCTGAAATACCGAGTCATCATCCATCAACTTAAAAGTCTGCAGAAAGAACCAGCTTGTCAAACAGAAAATTCACTGAAACATTCAGTCAGAGATAGTGTTTAAATCGCTCCTCTAATGTAGATAACGATGTTATAAAATGTAAAGCTGACTAGAGGATGTAGTGAAACAACCCATTGGAACTGTACATGCATCAATTCTGAAAATCGCAAATTTCGAAAAAATTATTGAAATGTTCTATACGAACTACAGCTTCGACGGAGAAGCTTAATGCAAGATCACTAAATATGAGATAACCATTATGATAGGAAAATTTAGGAAGATCGCCAAAACTCCTCACTATGTGGATATGTTTTATCCATTCATCCGTCCAAGTCAGCAGAGAACTAGGCATTACTGCATAACGGTCCTATTTATCACAGCTCATATCAGTAAATCAAGTAAAAAGGCAGTGAGGTGGAAGATGAAGAAAATAAAATTCAGTCAAAAAAAATGTAAAGTACTAAAATAGAGAAAGGAATAATGAAAAAAAATGATAAGATTTGATACAGCGTTAAGATGAGGATAATATGTGTGTATATCAACGCCACTGATATGTATTTTACAAACCAAATGACGTCGTATGATATGAATATGTTCAACTTTAGGAATTATATTTCATATAGGTAGTAAATTTCTATCCATACATTCGAAAAAAAGTAACAGTGATTCACTTAATTTTACCTAGTAACCTTGTAGTCTGTAACACATTTCCTGAAAAAAACCATCTGTGATGCATAACAGAGTATAGTGATCGGGCAATACTAGATTCATTAAACTTTCTCCTCTACGACATAATGAGAGGGTAATGAACTAGTATTTTTTAAATTGAAGAGTCAGATTATCATATATAGTACCTGTTTTTCATGCAATATCTGTGAACTTGCACTAATTCAAAATTGTTTATTCAAAACAGTGCAAGAATATACTCAAATTAGCGGATTTTGTATATTCCTTAAGGTTACCCGATATAGTGATGATTTTTTCACCAATCAGAGTTAACCACAACAAGAGTTACAGAACGAATTAAATCATGACGTCTCCTATCTGGAAGATTTATACCTTCATCTCGATAGCCAAATAGAACATTTTGTTTCTTTTCAGTGAAACAGGGTGTGGAAGAAATTATTCTTTAATTCCACTTTATTTTGTTTGGCATGAAAGTTAAATATATGAACAATACTACTCAATTGTTGATTACAATTCCAAGTTAATTTGTCCGTCGAATATTTCATGCAGTGAAACAGTATTATTTACTGCATTTATTTTGAACAGAACTGATTGTTTGGATTCATATCATGAGCAAATGCACATCATTCACATTCAGTTTTTTTAAGTGTTATTTCCTTCCCTTTTCCATTTGTGGTACGGTTAGTTTGAATTTTCCAAATACTCAGAATGTGTACTGAGTCATTCTTATTCCATGTGTTTAATGTTGATTCGTAAACAAAGCACCACTTATAAATCTCTTTTTCCGCCCCAGTAAGTTAGTTTTAAGGAGTATCGCTCTATCCTATCCTATTGTTTCGTTATATATACTTGCATGCATTGCGATAGCTGTGTTTTTCTCCATACTCCTTATCTTACTAGAGTGTATTATTTTAGTTTTTGTCATGTGTTTTTAGTTTGTTATTCTAATTGACCCAGTTCGATTGCTTTGGCCTATATAGTTGACTTCACAGTTTTCATATGGAATGTTAATGTGTCATCTATGTATCTTCGTCATATTTACGAGAAGGGATAAATATCCTAAGAGCTGTGTGTTCCCAAGTATACATATGTTCGCTATTGTTAGGGGTATTGATGATATAATAGCTGATTCTGCCGTTTATTTTTACATTTTTTCTTGAAACTTGAAAACTGTAGAAATAAGGCATAATTGTACTCTAAGTATGATTTATGTAGTGGGTGCCCTAGATCTGAGTGTGAGATTTTGGTCAGAAATGAGCTCAGTTCAAAATCCCTTTAGAGGCATAATAATTGGTTCATTAGCTTTTAGGTTGGTCATATAAAGAGGTAAACTTTTTTTCAGCATCTAACAAATGTATGTTCAACAACATACTAGGATGAGACAGTGTGAAACACCATAAAACTGACATAAGACGCGAAAGGGGAGATTAATAATTGATGCTTTGTCCATCGAATCAACATAGAAAGTATACAATAGGAATGACTGAAAACCAATTTCCGATACTTGAAAAATTCTACTTAGCACACTACAAATGAAAGAGGGGTAAAATTAGAAACATAAAAACATGATGTGAATGATTTGCATTTACTCTTGATAAGAATGCAAACAATCACTTCTACTCGAAATACTATGCAGTAAAGAATACAATTTCACTGTGTGAAATATCAGACAAATAATTTAATCCAGAATTGTAATCTACAACTGTGTCCAAGTTCTACTCGAACATTACTAAGTTGTCAATATATTTAACCTTCAGACCAATATAGATTAACTACCGTAAGATAATTCAAAAAGTTGTTGGCCGCTAAATTAGAGACGTTTTTTAAATCTCCGGATGCATAACAGTCGACACTGATATTCAATTCATTAGAAATATTGACAAATACCTTTTTATTCAAACAGATTTAACTAAAAATATATACTCACTTTGGGACTAGGAGTTTAGATTCCCGAGGAAACACAATCATTGCTATGTCTTTAGTCATACACACAGGTTGGCGGCAACCATCTACCTTTAAATAAGAAGATACTGTCATATAGACACGTCTGCCTGTTGGCGTAACAAGATTCAATAAATTCGAAGCATGAAGAGATGAGTCCCATGCGGCCTCAAAACGAAACGATATTCTGGAAATAATTACAAATATAAAGATTAAAAAGTGTGAAATAAAATTTATTTGATTATCCTTGTTATCACTTAACAGTCCAATATTTTCATAATTTAGTGTCCATTTTCAGGTCACAATTTCAGGTGAAAACGTTCGGTAGGGAACTACGGAATCTCTCCCTGAATGCTGAGATAATGATAATCAGTCAAAGCATTGGACAGCATTAGCTTAGATCGTAGATAAGCTGTCACAAACCAAACTTTGTTTCAGTAAGATATCAGCCAATTCTTTATGTGATGGTAACTCTATGAGGTTGAATACCGCCTTCATTCTAATTCACCATACAAGGTGTTCGAAAAGAATCTCAATACACCTTGTGCACTACATAGATGCCTTTTATATGTTTATGTTCTAGTACAAACTAACAGGCTGCAGTTAGGACAGACCTGACAACATTGTATCAAATAACCAGGTTACTGTCTGGGAAGAAATCAACACAGATGAAACCAATAAAAGACGATGAAGGAAATTTAATTACCAGAGAAGAGAAGCAAGGGAAACTATGGGCTGATCACTTCAAAAAACTCTTGAATCGACCACCACCTGCAACTCGTCCAGATATACCACCTGCAGTCACAGAACTACTAGTGAAATCAGGCCCTCTGATGAAAGCAGAAGCCCTGAGCGCCATAAAGTTATTGAAATGCAGGAAAGCAGCAGGACCACATGGAATCCCGCCAAAAGCACTGAAAGCAGATGCAGAGACAACAGCGGACATGCTCACATCAGTATTGCAGAAGGTCTGGAAGGAAGAAAAGGTACCTGCAGGTTGGAAAAAGGTCTACCTTGTCAAACTCACGAAGAAGGGTGGCCTAAGTCTTTGCAAGAACTGGCGAGGAATCATGCTCCTGTACACTCCAAGCAAAATATTAAGCCGCATCACCCTGGAGCGACTAAAGGATGCACTGGATTCAAAATTATGATCGGAACAGGCTGGCTGGCTGGCTGGCTGGCTGGCTGGCTGGCTGGCTGGCTGGCTGGCTGGCTGGCTGGCTGGCTGGCTGGCTTCAGGAAGAAAAAACCATAGGCGGATCAAAGTGAAACACTGCGCTGCGCATAATCATAGAACAAAATGTAGAACGGCAGTCAACTCAACTCTAACTTCATCGATTGTGAAAGGCCTTTGATAGCGTCGACCGAGGGGTAATTTAGAAACCCCTTCAACACTGTGGTTTCAGTTCCACAAACCTTTACCAACCTCATTCAACAGCTATTTGCTATGTGAGAATGCTGAATGCCAAGTGATTCACAGTGGAAAGCTCAGCTCAGTGATACCTTCTAAGTGAAGACAGCAGGGAGTAAGACAAGGCTGCCCACTATCATCGATGATCTTCCTGATTGCGGTCGACTGGATCATGCAGCAAACCGTGGGAAACGAACGACGAAGAGACCATATAAGATTTGGATTTCGCCGCCGATGATGATTTATGTCTTATCTCGCATAAGTTGACAGAAGAAGCAGAGAAGAAAAGGTGAACGTAGAGAAGACAGAGGTGATGAAGATACCCAACCATCACCACCACCAACAACAACTACAACAAGTGCCATTCACCATCAAAAGGAGAAACCTGAAGGAAGTAGTCTCTCTCACCTACCTAGGCAAGGTAGCACCGTTTCAACTACAGGCGGCAGCAAACATGAGGATGTCGAAGCCAGGATCGGAAAGATAGCCACACAGGCCTTCATTCACTAATCTGAAATCAGTGTGGAGATCTACTGCACTCCACTCCACTCAGAATAAAGCGTGAACAACATCCGAACTTTCAACTTTTAGCCAGTCAAGTAAGTCAGTGCTCCTATGCGATGGTTGAGAGACTTGGTGCGTCGCGAAAAGCATTTCCAACAAACTACAGACATACATTATCAGCTGCCGCCTACGCTGACTCGATACTGAAGATCAGATTGCCGGACTAATAAGAATCAGGAACAAGGAATTGTGGCTGGTAACAACGGACCAATCAAGTACCCATCGCCTAACAAATATATAGAAGAATGTGGACGTGGACTGGATATACACTGAGAAAACCATTTGGAGATATCACTCGCCAGGCCAGGCCCTCGAGCGTAACTCGCATGGGAAACGACGAGTTTGGCGTCCAAGAATGACATGGAGGAGATCATGTGAGGAAGAAACGAAAGATTGTGGGCAGTGGTTGAGCAAGGTTCAAAAGACTGCAGAGAAGAGAGTGAAATGGAGTCGTGCTACTGAAGCCCTACGTATCACTAGGAACTCAAGGTACAAATAATAATAATATAATACAAATGAAACTGATACTGGGTGATGAATAAAGGTAAAATGGAAGTGTAGGTCGTAGCAGGATTTAAACCAGCGGCCTATGGGTTTCCAACTAGGACTGGTTGCGTCCCAGGATTTCATTTCATTTTCAGTCATCATCATGCGGTAACCCTTGTCTGCCAAATCACGATTATCTCAGATACTCTCATTGCTCGTAAATAACACTGCTTACATGTTTACTAAACAACCTACTCCGCTGAGTGAATTGCATAAATTAGCCAATTCGCTTATTTTAGAATATTTGTTGGCCTCAGCTGTCTTGTTCCAGGATAAATATCCGCACATTTATAAAGCGTTAGAGACTACTTATGAAGTCCTGTAGCTTTGAAGAATGTACTGCACTATAGTCTACTCCGTCTGACAGTTTAGAATAACCACTGAGAGTGTTGATATTTGGAAGTAACACGTCCTCAGTCATAGACATCTTAAAATTGTTCAGATATGCTGAAATAACTAATTAACGCATAGTTTAACCATGTAGTTTTAGAGCAGGATTGTAGCTCACATTATGGTGTGAACTCATAATACTTGAGTTAACTATGTCATATGCTACACATGAAGAGCTGCAATGTACCAAAAAATAGTACAGCGAATGCTCTTAAGATTAGGTATGAAGAAATGTAGGCGTAGCCAGAGTAAAGAGTAATGGAGATTTCAAAGCAATTGGCTACTGATTTGAATCACAGATTGATGTTTAGACCTCCTACTTATGACTGTCCAGATGTTAGCAGCCAATATCAGCATGGCTGAGGAGTGAGACTTTAGTCATACAGTTGTGATTGGTCCTTGGATTGTAATATATCGAGTGTTTCGTCTGTTTTCCTGCCACATCTTTCTTAAGTGTGTTACCAGACGCATTTATTTCTTTTCGTTTGCATGTTCGCTTCTGTGATTTCTAAAAAAAGAATGTGAGATTGCGTGGTTGGTACTATGAACCCCCCCGCTAACTGTTTGTCTGTTTATTTCTTTTCAAAAAACTGTTCTGTATGGCTGTATTTATGTAATATAACCATTCTTCACTGAGTTAGTCAATTAGTAAAGAAGGTTACTGGCTTACAATCCACCTACAGCAAAATCTTTTCAGTCAACTCCACAAGTAGCAACCAGAAGGTTTCTCCAGATAGACCTAGATATTAGTTGGTTAGAGGCAATCGGCAGGAAGCTCTAGACCTAGTCTTTGTGTCTGTTGGAACTTGTTGGCAATGCGCATCTTCAAACTCGTTGGGACTGATGTCTCACCTGGGATTCGAACCCGTGTCACCTAGTGTAACAGATAGGAGATTTACCACTTAGCTACTCAAGCAAAGGTTAACCTTCTACAGATGTATTAGGATGAGAATTATCATCATACCACTAAACTCTCCACACACAATGAATCGGCGTAAAATTCATATTGACTTATAGTAGACTTGCGAGGAAAACATTACAAAATGTACAGGTAGAACTGATTTACCGATCATTGCTTGCTTCATGTGTCTGTTGAGCAGGGAGTAAAGATAAAGACAAGATATGCGTATGTTCATCAGAATCCAACCATTCAGGCGTTTCACGTACTCGTCCGACAACCACTTCATGTATTCCATGAAATAAACTTGACGGTGAATAGCTTAGATGTGCATCTATCTTGCTGGATTTCTTTGGACTGCAAACTTCGTGTAATAAGGTTATAGCTAGACGTCGTTGAATTCCTTGATGAATAAGAAATATTCCTTGGCAAGGTGTTTCATCTAATCGATCGACTGGTACAGGTGTATAACTAAAAGCAAGAAGGAGATAATTAGAAGATTTTTCTGGTACATTTTATGAATGTCATTATAGTTCGTCTATTGAAGTATCTAATTATCATGTAAATAAGCTATTTGTCAGATTTGAAAAGCTTGTATGACGATATTAGTTAAAGGTGGTAAAAGTATATTCAAATTCTACTGAGTTAGTTAGGAGGGTTAGTTTCACCGAAATTACTGCTTACATACACACAACATCACTGAAAGGTAAAGTGTTGAGAGTGTTAGCTGTATTGTAGTCACTTTCAATCAGAAATCCGTAGTAACTAGAAAATATTGACTGGGTTATTGGAAGCATTAGCTCTACCAAATAAGTCAACACTTTTTTGCGCTGTATTAAAAAATATTAAGTTGGATGGTGAATAAAGTTTCTTTTAATCAGACTCCCTGTTTTCCAGCAGTTATGAAGACATGACACCTAAAATGTTGAAGGGTTTCTCCCTTCATTGTCCATGTGATTAGAGATCCATATGTTGAACAACTTTGGCTTTTCCACACATTATATAGTCAGATATAAAGGCTTCAACCAGTGCAACCATAATACTTACAAACCCATTGAATTCAAATCAAAATCAAATTTCCTTCAACTTTCGTTAAGATACTACTACTTAACAACTTGAGGAATCACAAAAATCTAAAGTTGATCTGTTCAGTATTAGTATATTTCTTTAGTTCATGACACGTTTGTGTCAGACATCACGGACTGGGATCTAGACTAGGTGGTTTCCAACGGGAACTCTGTTGACATCAAAGTTGGTAAGCAGAAAAACTACCCGGTTATGAGATTTGTCAACGGGGACCGTGCAATTTGTAAATCATTTCTAAATTGATTATCTAACTGTTATTGGACATCTAACAAAATTTTGTCTGTTGCGTCCCATTTATTTTCAAAATGCCAATTAACTCTAACACACGTTTTGATGAACGTAATTTACGATTGCTATCACTTATCCTATAAATAGATTTTATCAGGTTAATGAGGCTAACACTTTAACGAAGTTGGAAACTCATATGACACTAATTGAGATCAAAGTATGGTAAGATTAAAAGCCAAAGTACTTGTCCAACTGAAAGATATATATCAATGCCACAAGTACTGCTAGTATTACAGCTATACGATTTTTAATGGAAATGTATCCTTTTAATTTATACCCTTTTTATTATCATTTAAAAGTATATTTATTTAGTTATTGTTACAGTACGCATATTTACGTCCCGTTTCATTTTGAAACCGTCATTGATAGAAGCCACTTTAAAACAAGGAAGATTAGTTTGTTAGGTAATTGCATTCTCCTCTGAAAAATAGGTACACAATATTTTGTCTGGCTAAATTCAGCATACACCCAAACGCTTGCTAGTTCGACACCCAAGATAAAATCAGTTAAGATATATAATCATTTTAGAGGCTATACCAGTGATGAGCTACTACGTTTCACCACTATCTCTTAGACAATTGGATCTTATGTAATGAGTTTTAAGTTATCATCCGCATTAATGAAATGTAGCTAACTTACTAACTGTTTCAGTAAGGCTGATGATATAACTGAGAATAGTAGAGAATATTTGTAGCTCACGTGGATGTTAATGGTCCAGCTCAAAGAACACAACACAATCAAGATGACTGGGAATCCTCATACCACGAATGCAGAACGAAAATCAGCGCTGTGTTATTAGCTACTTGGAATTTACATTTTTAACTGGTTGAACAACCTCTTGGAGAACTAATTAGTATATGACTTGAAGAATAGTTTCAAAGGTGCCCTAAATAAAGCCTGACCGTATTGTTGTGATTCTACCAAGTAGTTAGCTCATTGTATTATAACAGAAGTGATAAGGTTGACTGTCACTTAGTTCCTACTATTAAGCTTTAATGTGGCAGCAAACATTAAAATGGATAAAAAGAGAATAGGAGTATTTCATAAGATGAAATGATGAACTTTATGAGGATATGAGAATATAAACTTCAAAATATAACCTGATTATATATACGAGAGTAGAAACTTAAATAGTATTCTCCAGATGCCACCCTTCACATTTACTTATCTCTTCAGTAAGTAGAAAAGGCGGTTAGATACCAGAGGGTGTATTGCAACGTCAAAATATGTACAAAATACGATGATTTATATATACCTGCAATGACTTTGACTATTTTTAGTCTTTTCACGTAGGCTTATCCTATTGATTTCGCCTATTCAAAGAAAATCTGATATCTGCACACAGGTTCATCTGCTTTTTCCTGAAAACTAAAGGTACAACGATCTGTTATGGAAGACCACGAATTTGAAGCTTCTCATGTAAATCTGGACAATTTTATTTCACACTAACACTTCAGATTGTGAAAAATTTAAACTTCAATATAGTCATTCGGGCTGCATAGGTTAAAGAAAAATTACGGAGTAAATAACAATTCATTCGCGAACAATATATTGAATTTAAACATTACTATGCAAAACTCACTCTCCATTACGATCCAACTCCAATATTTCAAACCATACAAGTATATCAAAACGTTGTACTAATTCAGAGCTGTAAATTAAAATAGTTTGAGAAAGTGATCAAAGCAGTGGTTCATAGCTACCCATAGACATTTTTATTACTTTAATATTAAAAATGAAAACAGTAAACGAAGTTGATGCGCTATTTAGAAACCCTTTAAAAAGAAACTAAAAACAACTTATTAATAACAGCTATCTAAAAATTCATGTATCAATTAAAGAGATTTACGTGTTTTCACAATTATTTCATGAAAATTGTAAATTGACATTTACAAAGACAAGTAACTTTAATGCAGAGAAAAATTAATGTTAACCAGTAGAAACCATATGCGTGGTATTGTCCCCAGCGTCATTACTGGTGATATAAGGGTTATAAACCTTTTAGCATCAACTCAACAATTAGTTTCTTTCAATAAACTTTACAATATTCTTGCTTCTCTATCCATTAATTCATATCTCATGAGAATATCTAACTAAATGCGTAATTTACTTGTAGGACAATTATATATCTTATCAATTTTCTCCTTAACTCACTGTCTTCACTAATCTACACTAATTACTTCATTTCCAGATTATACGTGTTGATTGCTAATATTCTTAGTTGATAACAATTGACAGAAAGCCTTTGATGTAGGTTTCCTATCTGTTAACACTCGCAGTTAGGGGGTATCCATAACCTTGAGGAAACTGATAACACTCTTTAATTGATTCCATATAGTTAATTTGATAAACAAAAGCGGAATAGCACATAAGACAAGACAACACCATACTGAACAATCCATGTACTGATTCCTCATCAACATCCAAAAATCTGAAATATCTAATACGAAAGTATGAGTTAGCAAACTGCATACTCCTCCTCCTAAATTACTGATTTCATTGTCTGAAATAAAATGACCACACTGAATTCAACTAGATTATATGACTGGAAATATTTTCATTTGCTCATAATCATGAAGACTGCAATTTGATTAATGAACCGAATATAACGTTAATCCATGCATTACAATCTGCTACTGTTGGGTACAACAGAAACATCGATTCACTGATACATTGTGGATTCATTGTGATGTCACTTGGATGATCTTTACTCAGAGAGAAATGACTGGAAATCAAAATGATGTAAACATGCAACTAAAAAAAGAAATGGTTACCTTGACTTCAAAAAAAATTTAGGAATGTTAGCCACCGTGACGGTGGGTGTTCTGTTATGAAACACTTATTTACTTGAAAATTAAAAAAGCCAATAAGTTACTGATGTATCTTTGTATGGCTAGTCTAACAGCTCAGATGGATGAGTATTAAGGCTTTTGAAGTTACTCTTGTGTTAGCTTTCGTTCAACTTCCATGACCATCCTCTGAATACTAAAGTCAGTCTACCAAACAGTGTTATCTCAGTTTTATAAACAATTAGACAGTGGCAGCATTTTTAGCATTTCCTTTAATAAATAAGGAAATACTGCCTCCAAACTAATGATAGCATAACTAAGACAAGGATATCTTAAAAGTCTTTATATAATAATTTCTAAAAGTGAACTGACTTACCTATGATAACTAACAGGTTCCTTGAAAATAGCTACACACTAGACAGAAAATAGAACTATTCAAAATAAGTGGCTTAGTTTTTCTGTCTTGTCAGTTTTGATAGATTATTGGTATGATGTTGCATTCTAACCTATATTCAGACTTATCTCTATCAAAAATTTAAACTTCGTTCCATTTTGAGATGTGACAAAGACATGAATTTGTATGTTTTTGTGCAACTTACAAACAGTTTGAATAAAATAGCTATTCAGTATCAAGCGGTTTTTTTAACTAGAAAGACAATATAACAAGTAGCAAATGATTGTTGAATAACATATGCTGTGAAAAGTGAAAAAGAAGCCAAGAGATGTGGGCTGTATGTTAACTATGGTTAACATACTTATTTAAAATAACTGGCGCCAAATTTCACTTTACATGTGCACTTGTTTCAATAACAAAAAACGTGAGACTTCACATGTCTACTAGCTTAAATGTCCTTCTATAACAATCAGCTTTTTGAATACCTTTTTCATTATTCATGAGAAATCATTACAATTCTGTTTTCAGTTTAGATATTTAAACTGTTTTTATCTTTCTGATATTTGAAATCTTAATTAATGTCGACTACTTTTTATTCTCGTGTTGGTAAATTGCGTCTTCATATTGTGTTATTCGGCTACTATTTCCTATGGCTGCTTCTTTGTTTTACAATAAAATGTAGGCTGGTCTACATCCCCTCTCTGATATAACTTATTTTAGATTTGAGCATATATCTTATAGAATGCTAAATTTTGTGTATAAAACAATTGAAAAAATATTTTGTAGTTAAATGCAATCAGTTAATCTTAAAAAGTAGTAACCAACCTTTTAGGTAGTTCAGAGTTGGACAAACGTAGAGGAGGCACTGGTGCAGAACTTGGAAGAGTTGGTGGAACACCAGGTCGATAACACCTTTGAAAAAAATTATGTTGTAGCAATAAAATTTCTGAAAAGTTACATTCAATTTAATCATAATAATTGTATTCAAAGTAACATGTAATACTGAAAATCAGAAAGATTCTTTATAAGTTTTTTTTAAATACAACACGAAGTGAAAAGAATATTTTGTACTATCAGGTTGAATTTTTACTTTATATTTTTCTTGTGATAAAATAATCTCAAGGTCAACTTAATGTGGAATCAAGATTTAAATTTATTTTGAGTGCATAATTATGGTTGACAATAGCTCAATTATCATTTATTTTCAATAGAACCTTTTAAGAGAACAGTCTATAATCTGTAAGCTGAGATCAAGAGATATCGTTGTGCACACAAAAGATGAAAATGTTTTTGAGTAAAAAAATTGTTGTCATTTGGTTAGGCAATTTAATATAGGGATTTAAACATCCCTTTTACCACTCTATCTTGATAAATGAATTGAATTACTTTCCTTGATGTTTCTAACAAATCTTCGAGAATATATTCTGTAAAATGATAGATGAGCTTAATCTGAAATCGTGGAGTAGTGAAGTTATTTTTGTACTATTACTTAAATCAGGAAACAGTAGCCCATATGCCATTTTGCTCAAACATAGACATTAAACCATATGATTGAACTTTTATACTATATGTGAAGTTAGATATCCGAAGACAAATAGCGAGAATGTAACTAGATATTATGCTTATTCACTTTTATCAAGGGCAACCGTACGAACTCAAAAAACGTAGTGATAACGTAGTAGATGATATCATCTAAATACAAAGCTTTTCATCACTGAATCGTCTTATTTCTACTTAAATGCAGATATTACATACAATTTCTGTAAAATAAATACACATTCCCAGTAAATATTTCTCAAAGCTTACTTCAAAGCACTTTCAGTTATATTCACTGAAAAATCTTCGTTATTTCTTTCAGTTAGATGCCCATAAATGTCGACTTCCAAAGGGTAATTTCGGATATAATCGAGAAATGCTACTGTACTTTTCACTTTGAACTGCACGCCAAAAAAAATATGACACAGAAAAGTATTGAAGACAATAAAGAATATCTCAAAACTAGGTGAATAATACTCGATTAAACGTTGAACATATACTTTCTTATGGTTCCGTAATTACGGTTAATTATCACGTTGTTCTAATCTAGTGACATTTGACGACCAAAAACATGATATAGAACTGGTAAAAACAGAAAAAAGTATGTCTGATCAACGACTTAAGTGCATATCATCAACTCAGTATTTCTGATAACCACCTATCTGTTAAACGTCCAGGACATTGTTTTTAAGTTGGATGACAATATGCGAAACTATACTATTTCAAAAAATTAACGAATTTCTTAGTATAATGCAGCATGTCAAAGTTCTAAAATATGCTACACTTTAACAGGTCGTCTTAAACTAGACTACCTCATTACACAGTTGAAAGTCAGTACTTGGTATGGTAGACGTATACACCGATATAATAGTATCCAGAGTGTTTCATCAAAACGTTTTGTTGAAGCATGTCAGTCATGTGACAAAATTTAGTGACCTTTTTCCCAGTAGCAAAATCAGCTTCCAAACGAGAAATTATTTTCATAATGCCTTTTATGTGGAAGAAAAAACTGTAAAAAGCTCCCACCAATCACTTGACTTCATATTTAAGCAACTATCTCTTTGAATGCAGAGTTTACGTATCAAACAAAAAGAAAATTCATCACTACAGAGTAAGGAAGATCGTGGGAAATATTAGTATTACTCTAGTCACTACGTTATAGTTGTTGTGGATCAGCCTAGTTATTAACCATAACAACAGACGATAAAGCGGATAAATAATTTTGTAAACAGGTATTTCTCATTTACATTTTGTGATTTAGAAATGTTAGCTCCACCAATTTCACTCTCGTACGGTACTGTGTCAGTTGAAAAAACTTCGTTATGCTGATGCTGGAATCTGAAAAATATAATGAATGAAAATAGAATTCGTTAAAAAGTTTTGAAGTGAAGTGCTGACTTTTTAAATAAAAATGATACATGTGATTCTTTCAGTATTTTTAGACAGCATGTATTGCTCGCTTAGAAGAACAAATTTCATTCTTAAGGGAAACCTATGATAAATTCTAAGATTAACCAGAATCTGTTTGAATCCTCAAATTATGAACGTTTCACCGTACTATGAGATTTGTCATGTAAGATTGAAGACAACAGCTATAATTTCATCTTTCACCAGAGTTATAGCCCTTGTCCCCTACCTCTGATATGTGACATTACATGGGTATATTCCAATCCCATGGCTAGAATACTTTCCGTACTTTCTTAGCTTTCACTTTATTTAGCCATTATAACCGTATTTTCAAGCTGTTATACATTAATATGCATAAACAAAACTATTCTGGCTCTTGTTTGACCAGACTAAGGACATTTTTAGATGAGAATATGTTCAACTTCTTGCATCGTCATTTCAAACTCAAGTGAATTTGTTTTATAACCCTGATATGTGAACTCCAAACTTACAACAGTTACATGTGGGAAAAGAGTAGGTATACCGAGTCATTACACGAAACTTGTTGATATTAGATTGTCAAATAGACAACCTATGCAACTAGTGATATGCTAATCAGAGATGCTAAACGATGGGTTATTCTTGGAAAAAGAAACTTTTAAATCCACTTCATCTAGAATATAATAGATGTTACCACTTCCACAGCTTTGAGTAGTCGATAGTAGAATAGCACTCAGTTTTCTGAAGAAAGGTTCCAACTATATAAGCGCCAAAACAGCAGCAGCCAGACAAGATAAAATGTCTATGAACCGCTTTTTTTTCCATGGAGCTAGTGGCGGAAGGATACTAATCTGTCAATCTGAAATAAAACTCCCCGAGGATTGATCTACTAAAAATATATACTTTTCTAACATTTAGCAGAGTACATAATCACTACTTTTTGAGTCAAAACCATTTTTACAACCATGAGTGAGTAGAATGAGTGAAAGAAAGAGAAACCGATAGACTAACCAAAAACTATTTATGCATGGGTTGCAGATGTAATCAACACATGTTCATGGCCTTTCAGATATTTGAACGCTATATGCTTAAGATATCATCTCAGTACAGGGTGACAGTAGCACAAAATTATTATTACTGTAACATTTATTTTTACTAACCTGTACTGACAGAAGAGGTCAGTGAAATGTGAATCCAACTTTCTAGCGACTTTGATATCAATTCGAAAACGGAATTGTTCACCAGGCTTTAAAAAGTTGGGGCAATCATCAACTGAAATTTGTAGTAGTAGTATTTATTTGATTATCAGCTGGAGGTAAAAAAAAGGAGGAATACGCTAAAATGCTTTATTTTTTACACTTTTACTTAAAAAGGAAAGCTACATCAAGCACGAGATACTTCAAAAAGCATCAGTAAATAGTTTCTACTGAAAATTTAGCCAGTCATTCAGTAGTACCCACTTCGGGTTAGGATTTAACTTCGACTGAGTATTATATCACGAAAAAGATGTTTTATATGCTTACATGAAGAATATGGTTATTTTCACTGATCTTATGCAGGCGTTTTGCAAGCTTATGAAGACATTGGTGAACTGATTTCCAAATCTAATGACACTCTCATGAACATTAAATTGACAAATTTCAAGCTTTTAAAAATCGGCAATAATATTTTTCAAGATTTAAATCTGAATCCAACATAATCGAACTCCAAGGTGATTAAATATACTTAACAAAACATGAACCATTTTTTGGCATTGCTATTGTCAGCATCACAATCATCTTACACTGGGTAAGGATAACACTCTGGCATGAGCAGTTATCCTAATAAATCTATTTTTATATATGTATTGATGCAATCTATGTCGATTTCCTAAATCTAACTTAACCTTAACATACTTAGGAAATATACAAATGTTTTTCAAATGTATTGCGATTTTCCTACGAAAGATAGTCTACGTTGTATCAGACGTAAATTATAAGCGATAACAAAGTTATGTAATGTCACAACTTTATCTATAGATTCATTTTGATAGTAATAATGATAGTTGTTGCTGCTTTGATAAGATTACTGATGCCATTGAGACTTTTTCACAGCAGCTAACGCAATAACAGCAGTCAATCATCCTTTTCCAGACATCAACGGAGTGAAATAATAGGCCATAATTCATGTCAGTTTAAAATTACCTGGCGATTTTATACTACTTAATATACTTATTTAGTGCGTTGATTATCCAAGAAAAAATGTAATTTTACATTGTTTTATTGGATCGAATTGTTCAACCTTTTTTGGCAAACGGACCGCTATGCGGATTCCCCGATATTGCCTAAATTGTAATTATGGTAATTCATTTGGTTTTGACTAGCAAAGGAATCCAGGACGGCCGTTTCGTCCTACGTGGATCCCGTCAGCTGGATGCACCTACATCCCAGCGGGACTCGAGCCTAGTACCCATCGCTCTAAACGCCAAGAAGCTACCCGCTATGCCACGCAAGAACGATAGCCACCTCTCATAAAACGGGTGTGAGTTTTTGCTATTTATTGACTGGACGATTCGATCTAATAAAAATACGGAGAATTACAAGTAATTACAGTAATAACTATTACACGTTTCAAAAGCAGTGACTGTCGTCCCACGGTGGCATAGTGGGTAACGCTCTGGCGTTTGAAGCGATGAGTATGGGGTTCGAGTCCCAGTGGGGACAAAATCACTCCTCACTGGGGTGCAATTACATCCAGCTGAAGGGCCCAAAATAGGACGGAATGTGCATCCTGGATCCATCTGCTAGCCACAGGCAAACACATTAGAGCTAAGATAGTCAAACCCTGAGGATTTCTCCCAAATTACCACGTATAGGTTCAATAATGCACTCACCGAAATGCATACGGAAATATCACTCGTTAAAACCTTTAATCAACAGATAGAGATTTGAAGGATCTAGAAACTATACATAGATAACTATTTTGTAGATATCTCATTAAAGGAGATACTGGTTTGAACACTTTTTAAGATTTAGATGCCTGTGAAAAGAATTACGGAGAATGTTTTTTCGAAAGAACCTAGATCACACAGTACGCTTATTTCCATGACTGCATTTTTGTTCAGTATAAAGGAAACTGAGTTTGGTACCATAGAATACTTCTCATATGTTTCGATTACTGTATGATGAAAAAGTTGGGAGCTAAGGGGGATGATGCACGATCATCACTAAGTAAGGAGGTATATATCGTGGTTCAAGGATGCAACTAATGAAGACAATCTTAATATGAAAACCTTACATCTGATATTTAGTTTCTAGTGTTCTCATAAATCAGTTGAGAACTATGCAAAATAATTTGATGCGCACTAATTTTTCATCACTTTCTCAACCTGTTTAGTATCAAAATCAAGTGTAGCGTGACTTTTTATGGTAGTCGCAATACTGCTTGTCAAGATAATTGGTTCTTCAGAGTCAATTACCCAGGCGGTAAAAACTGCAGGGAGTAAATCCCCACATATATGTAGATTCCAAAAATATTTATACAATGCTTTCATCTCATCTAGCCTAAAACATAATCAACCTAATCTGAAAAAAACTTTGACAATAAAACTGGTAACTAACCCTCTACTCATTAGGCTGAATATCTGACCCTTTTTGCTAAGAATGCCTCTAATTCACTGCGCTTTCATGATTCGTATTTTTATGGCTCTAAATAACGTTTCTCATATTTGCTAATTCCATCTATTTAAACTGCGTTCATATGGCAACAAGTTATTACTTACTAATGACACTTAGTTCTAGAATAAATGGCTTGGGTTCGAAACCCAAAAATGCAACAGAAAATATAAATGGCACAGAAAACCTTGTCATAGTTTTACATACTGCTATATCAATTTAGGTGATCACAATCCACAACATTGCCTGGTTATAAATGGTTCAAAAGAGAGCAGAATCCCATTACATTAAGATCTCTTCCCTTAGAAAGTCATCATAATCATCCAAATATTAAGGAAGACGTTCGAAGTAGCTTCGCTTAAATTCAGACTAACCAGGAATAAGACATATCCAGCATCTGGTCAAGACTATGCCCCCAGATAAACACAAAAATGAATCTAAATTTCACGTTAGGCAAAGCACCGAAGAAAATTTATCGACCCTAGAGCCACACTTCAATTGGTCAGACTCCAGTCTGAACTTGAAAACAGGTGTTGGTCATTCAATTGTCCTTGAAACCATGTAGGCGTCTTTAAACCGTAAATGATGTGAAACGGCAGAATCTGATGACTCGCTACTTAAGGTTTCTAATGATGAAGGTTGGAAACTAAAGAGCAGAATAACGGAGGTACTAGCTATCGTAACCTTTAGTTCCACCATACTGGTCTAGATCGCTAATTATTAACCTTTAGAAGGAAAGAGAGGAGTCTTCATGTGACAACCATAGAGAAGTCGCAATTATTGACAAAGTAACTAAGATACTAGGGTTCAAAGTTATCTGAAACTTAAATGAGGCTTAATAGCGATAAACTCAAAAACATCAAGCAGGTTTCAGACCAAGATGACGGTGTGTCGGTCAACACTCCACCGTTCAACAGATTCTTGGGTACAAGTATAGTAACAAGCACTCTATACTTGCTAGATTTCTTGACCCAAAGGTACCATTTGACTTCTTTAACTAAGAGATGTTGTGAAAATATCTGGCTATGAGAAGTGTACCAAGTAATTACTTCAGGCTAATTAAAGTTTTCTGCTTGAACTGCAGCAGCCATGCAACAACTCATAAACGGTCTTCGTCAGAATTGGTACCTGTCATCGATGTCCGCCATCACTAATCTTGTTCGACTTTGCTACATAACTCTAGTAACATCAGGTTTAAGACTGACTTATTCCCAGGGTGTGCTTGGTTTACTTAAAGTACACAGAATACACCTTCAGGTGTGACAAAGATGCTGACAAGCAGAAGAGTCTGCTGACTGCCATGAGCACAAATAGTAGTATATTTTGCAGATATTTGGCACCTGTCAAATGTATGATGACTCTTCAGGACCCTTATGTACAAGCTCGTAGTACAACGATAGAGAGTGAAGTCATAGAATGCATTGTCAACAGCATCAGCTTAAACACAATGGTTACTGAAAACATCTTGAAGTCCACCGGCAAGACATCCGACTGTTTGTTTAAGGATGAGAGTACTGCACAGCAGTCCAGTCTGTTCTTTTATACGGCTGTGACAAGATGCTGAAAACTTTTGACTGCAGGTTAATTTGTGGCATTACTTAAATGGAACCACTGAATGAGTAACTTTAAGGTTGAGTGGACGGTGTCAGCTAAGGTAAATAAGTCAATCGATGATGAGGTTGGGAACCTTCAACTACTTAGGTGGCTTGGATCCCTGTCACGTATGCTAAGCCACCTTCTACCTTGACATGTATTACTAGTCAAGGCAAAACTAAGTTTGAAGGAGGCTTACAGTGGTTAAAGTATGACTTGTACTCGATACACAATCTCTGACCGTAAACTCATCCAGTACTAGCATAGAAAAGAAGAAATGTTGGCAACACTATCTAAATATTACTATCCACCTAGCAAAAATATAAAAAAACTCACTGAGTGTTGACTCGTGAAAAAATTGATTACGACGTTCGCATTTACATTCATACTTCATACTATCATTCATGTGATTATCAGAGTTTTTCTGTTCGTTTTCTAATATTTTTGGAGTTGGAAAATCCCCGGTAGATTTATTCGCCTCTTGTTCACAAACATTATCTTCATCAATAAAATATTCGTCCACCTTCTTATCATTCATATGCAAGGTAGGAAATCGCTGTTAACAGAAAAATGTGACTCAATAAATCTTCATTAAATTATAAACTTGCAGCTGGATAAATAGAATGTTCATTTGCAGATTCTTAGAATAAAAATTACTTTACCAGCTGAGAACTCAGCTGGATGGCATTTTGTTGAACAGAGCATTTTTCTATTCTGTGACAACATTTACCTATTTGAATGAATTCTTTACTGAATTAAATTACATGCAAAATATCTAAGTAGTTTTCAAACTTTTCCCAACGAAAACTCTTAAATTACGTGTTCTTACCCATCTATCAACATGATCAATTCAAATGACGTTGACGGGAATGCTTGTGGTTTCAGGAAGAATAACCAGAAAGCAGGAAGAGGGAAAGCAGATAACTTTACGTCTAAATCAATTGTACTGCTAACTGCACTAGTCTGTCACAACAGTAAGATACTTTTAAAGAATCATTAGTATCTCCGTCAATGCTTCCACTTAGAGATTGAACTGAAGGACGTGAAGAGGTTTCACTCCATTTTCTCAACAGGTTCCTGTGTCATTGGCAAGGTTTTTAATTTATTGAGCAAAGTGAACAGCTAAGTGTTCTATGACCCTCAACCAAATGCTTTTTGACGTTTGAGGTCACAATGTAAGGCTAATAAAAGCTTAAGTATGAATCCAGTTATTTTTTACGACACTCGCGAAGTGATGTACGCATACACGAAGTAGAAAAAAGTTAAAAGAAGTTCCTGAATACAGGAAGAAGCCTATCCTTTTGGTGCTCAGAATCATCTTTGTACATTTGGAAACTTGGTACATTGAAATCATCAGTGGACTAATCATGCAAAATTTAATGATAACGTTTTTCAGACACACAAAAAAGAAATCCGATGTAAGATTTGAACATGAAAACGGTCGGTTTTGTCGTAACTCATATTTACACTTGTTTTCAAGACCTTTTGCTCTAAATAGTTGTGTAACTGTAACTTTTGAGCTCAGTGAACTTGGCAATCATGCTGAATATGCAACAGATTAGTAAATATTGTTCTCATTTTCGCTACACGAAAATGGCTTTCATCCGTCCACCTTTATCTAGTCGATCACTAATGTCATTAAATGCTTAAAAGTGTCTTTAAAGGGTAGACAATAGTAACATCAAGAAAGAAGTGATAAGTTTACGCAATTTCAACGCAACTAGTTGAATAAAAGGTACGTTTTATGTGTCTTGCTTTCTACACACTATTTCTCAGAAAGCTCTCGTAGTACCAGAGGACTTCCACGGTGCATTATTCCGTAAATAAATGAGGAGATTCCTAGTTAAATGAAGTGTGATGATCATCATGAATAAATAAGCCAAATGAATTATTTGTGTAGTCATCACTTCAGTTAAACATGATACTTTTTGTCAAATCCTTCCAGTATTACAACTAATATTTCAGATGCAGTAAGCGGCATACTTAAGGTTTGAAATTATGTGCTATCTTAAATTCTAGGAATGTTATGATATTTTTCAGGAACCCAAGAAAAGTAATATTCTGTCTTCAGGAACTTAATGCACAGGGAACTAAAGTGAATCAGTCAGTTCCCACCATATATTCTGGTTCATTTCAGGTATGTGCTTTGTAAAAGGAATGGTGGGGATTTCTATTATATATGGAGACAATAATATTCATCGGTCGTTCCACAAAAGCCAGAGGCTTTCCAAAGTTACTACAAAAAGTAAAGAACTATACATTAGGAGGGATGTTACTGTGTTATTTCCATCATCACTACATCGGTACAAATGACAAATTTAACTAATATGCAATTGATTCTAAAAGTCCGTTGTCATTGATTATATGGTCTTCCATTAAACTTTCAGAAATAACTACATGAAATCAGAAATTGGCCTAATTTAGTCACCACATTAATTATATGCATATTAACCGGTGAGTAATACTTATCAGCTGAGGATTTTGAAAGGTGAAGTTACTCCTTATTCCTCAATAATTCCTAGTAGCTTGAATCTACAACAAGCAGATAGCAGTGACTCAACTGGAAAATAGTATTTTAAATTGGCGTGGCATATAAATCAAGTTGAATTTCTGCGTGAAAAGGTTACTGCAAGGTTCCAAAATGTTCTGGCCAAAGTTCTGTTATTAAAAGCATATTCTAGAGACTATACAATCAGTTCAGAAAGTAAACACATTCACGCTGCACTCGGGAATTTCCAGAAATAGATGAATAGTTTCTAAAGAGCATCTTTGGTTGTTTAAAAACCTTAAGGAATAAAGTTCGAGTTTGCTTCCACTTCAAAAAATGGACCGGAAATATTTGTCTTAAACTGTGTTTACTTGTATTCACCTACCCATTTGATATACTGTTGATTATCAAACTGAATTTCTAGTTCGTTAGCCAGATCTTCATCAGTATGAATCTCCGGTTGACCTCTCGTTTGATCATCTCCTTTTTTCTCCAAATATTTCAGATCGACAATAGGCTGAACGTCTATGTTAAGAAAACCAGTTACTTGACTGTGTTCATTTAACAAAGTTACTTGGTTTGTCATTGGTATACCGTAGTACAAATTGGTCACATATAAAAGTCCTCTAAGAAATAAAAACAATAAGGAGGTACGGAAAAGTAAATATAATTAGTGTATGATAATCACTTAGAACTACTACTGGAATATTTTTCAAAGTAATTTTTCGAATTAGGTTTTCAAAACCCGACTGCATAATTCAAAACTTAAAATAAAAATCTGTCTTCTAGTCACTGGGCAAAATTATACATCAAAATCTCAAATTACGGAATGTCGCCAGTCTGTTATTTATTCCTTTAATCTAAAGATTAAAGCCTTTAAATTAATAATGTAAAAACCAACATCTGTCTTACGTCTAAATTGAGTGAAGCACTTATGCGACCACCATGCGAAGTACGGACTTTTTGTCGAAAGCTGAGTTTTTCTGTGTACCTCACGTTTTTGAATTGTTGGTTTCCTGATATATGGCTAAATACTAAGGTGTTTGTTGATCGTTCTTCAGAGCTTCAGTAACTTGTAAATAAAATTCCCTAGTAGGTGGAGTGGAATAAGGAATCATTACCCAAACAAGTTCACCTCCTAAAAACCGCATATTTTTGGGTTACAGATACTACCTCAGTTAAAGTAACTTCTAGTTCAGTTCCTGCTATTGTGGACATTCATTCTCTTCGAGTGATCAATTTAATAAGAAATAAAAAAACTATAAGTTAAAGCCAACTGTACCAAAAAGATTTTTAAACCTGATTAAAAACTTTTTTTGATTTTGGAAACAATACAACCGCTTCTAAAAAAGATTTTCATAATTTAGACTGACTTGGCATTTATTTGCTTATCTAAAATATCAGCATTCTCTATCATTTTGTTTACCAAATAAATAAAATGTTTGTATTTGTACAAAGCCTCCTATTACTCCACTTCGTAGAACTGCTTCTGTTAAAATACACATTGCAGCTCTCCCTTCGCCTAATGCCTCTACATTAAGCGAATTGAATAACTTGTATGCTTAACAAAATTCCTCAAAAGCCTCAGAGCTGTTATGCTTCTTTTATGATCATCAGGTCAGAAAAAACAAGGGAAAAACATATTGATCTAACACGAAGAACGTGGCAGAACATTAGAATAAAAACAGTAGTGAAATATGTAGGAAGTAGAATTATAGCGATATCGATACAGTTTAATCACTTAAATATTATCGGAGATTATCAACTGAAAATCCTGGATGGTAACACTGTTGATCAAAAGTCACTCATAAAGGACCTTAATATACATATAAAACCAGTGTATGGCTGCTACATTTAGTGGTGTGATATTTTGAATGGAAAGTAAATAACTACAGCTGAAAGATAACTATCCCAGCTTTTTTAGCCTAATTAACTGGCCATCTTAAATTACTGAGTGCCTTTTCATATCTCTGTTTCTTCACTTAGTTTAGATATCGTAAGGTAAGGTTTGATTACATAAGAAACAAAACTCACTTAGACCTACACAATGGAAGTCCTTGAACTACACAAAGTGGATAAAATACTGTTTATTGACGTTCTTACCAAGTGTGACTTGTTTCGACACTTCTCTTCACAAGATGTCTTCGATCTCCAAAGCATAAATCTACATCTGGAGTTAGGCCAATGTATATACTGTCAAAGTGCCAGATGCTTGCAAATGTATGAAACCTTACAAATTGACTTCAAAATATGCAACAATGTTGAAATGTTACTGTAGTCATGTGGAACTCCCAAGAATACTGAACACCAGTAAATGCTTAAAAACCTTTCATACCTTTTAGCCTAATTTATACAGGTTGAAGAGTAAAAATGGAATAAGGACTTCAATGACTATGGCATCAGAAGCATCAACCCCCAGGTTTTCTGACCAGTACTCTGCCAACCTAGCTAGGTTAGCCAAAAACGGATTAGGTCTGAATTTTAGTTAAATCATCAAGCACTTTTCCTGGTGTAAGATTACGGTTCTAGAAGCTGCTTCCCCTTGTGATTTAGCATATTCTTACCACAGTCTCTAGAAACAGTCTTTCAAATTATCATGTTTTGTGCTAACGTTTTCAAATTATTCTTGTGATTATTTTTCTAGGACAACTGCAACAAAAACTTAGCCACCAACTACAAATGTTTACTAAATGCTTAATGCTACTTATAAGTAGTAAGGACTAATTGAGAAGTATTTCAGGGTGTAAAGAACAAAGTAAGCGACCTAATTTTTTAGGGAAACGATAACATCACCGCATCTACATATCATGCGAATGGTATAGTTGACGTATGAATGACTTGGCCCACTTTAATTATGAAGGGCACACAATTAGTTTGCGATGTTCAATCAAATTTTTGTGCAACGTGTTAACTGAAGTATTCTTATAGCTTTGTACATGGCAGACTGTTTATGATAACATTTATTTCACCTCAAAGAATACGACCAAGTTATGAGAACTGATATTATAGGAAAAAAGTAGGTATTGTAGATCAGTTCACTGTCTGTCTTCAAGACTTTTATCAGAAACATTAAATGTAATAGGAAAATAGGAAAAATCTGTTCACTGTCGATGACGTTTTAAATGATTCTCGTTACAAAATATCTTCAGCCTGTAAAGTGTTTAAATACAATGTCATACCTTCCAATTTTTTGGTACCACGGAAAGTGGTTTCGAAATGGATCTGTTTTAATTTCTCGAGTAGTCAACTCATTACCAACAGAATTATATTCTCTTCCACTGATTGAAGTGGATTCTAGACTTTTCAGAGTTGGAGAAAAGGCTGTCTCATCTTCATAATAGTCGCGCATTGATTGAAGACGCCGTCTAAAAAGATATATATCAAGGTCAGCGGAATCTGTGTTAGAAGAGATTAGCAGTTTGGAAGTATTAATAAACTCATCAAGTTTACGGGAAAAGGAATATGTTAACGTTGAAGTGGTATTCTCTTATTTTAGCAGTAGATAACAAAGCTAATCAGAATCTTCACATCTCTCTGTTTTCCTGTCTGTTTCTGTGAATTTTTTGATGAATGAGTATTTAGATATATCTGAGACGTGATGTGAGTGAAGTACGGTCACACTATGCTCTGAAGAAATAAACATCGATTGTAGTTGTTTCTGCTGATGAGAAGTACTTTTGTGTCTACAAATCAAATGGCATATCACTTCAGCAGTTTTATCATAAATATTTACTAGCATGATAAGTTGGAGAGGTAGTCAGTCATCTTACAATGGTCAGTAAGAATAAAGTAGAGGTCAATTTTAATCAGTGCACTGATGTAAAAGTGTTTTATACTCGCTTATTTGATAATTGCATTGTACTTATTAAATACGGATAACGACTTCACTGTAATTCAGCAAATTTGAACAATACTGTATTTTGAAGTTTCTTTAAGCCTAAATCATACCACTGTATTGTTAAAGTTGTGATCAGACAAGCTGAAAGTATATAATAAAAAGAACCAATTTTAGACATTATTATTTTCTCAATGTTGTGTAAAATGAAATATATCTAGCGATAATGGTTTCAACCTACCATAGGATTTTTATAACTGTCTACATTTACTGGGTTTTTTTGTGTAGCAGAATTATTTACTAAAATACATTATTGTCACATTTATAGTTTTACAGAAGATTCTGTTAATTTTATGTTACTTTAGCAGTTTTCTAATCATGTTTATTTTATTAGGATAAATAACTCGCAATACTCTCAGGAAATATTAGAAAAACAGTTTTGATTTTAGAAACACATGCTATGATCGTCAGCCACATTATTAGTATGTCATCACTCACTATATCCTTTTTTTATTTTTGATAATCATTTTTCCATATGCTACTAATCCATACTCTGATAAAAGCTACAGTCACGCATGGCTAAGGCGCATATGCGAATCACCTCATCATTTACCAACATGGGATGCATGCTTTGTTTCGAAATATACTTTAAACATTAGGTTGCGTAGATAACTTTAAACAAATTGAGAACAACCCAGTTTTCAGTTTGTTGCTTTGGTCGTGTTGCTAAAAGTGTAATTACTGCTGTTGGCTTGATCAGTTATTAGGTTCAACAGTTATTCAAAATCAAAATACTTTGTCAACAAAAAGAAGATCCATTCAAACTGATTTTCAGTTATGATATAAGTATAACTGAATGTCACTATCGCTATGCCTTTACCATGTTAGCTTTACCTGGCATGACTAACATAAGCAGTCATCATTTCGTTTATACAGTATAAAGAGTGAGTCATATTGAGCATAATTTTGATTATTTTCTTACCTACCTCACTTGGGTAATTAGTACACTAGTTACAACTGGCAAGCCCTGATAAAGATAGAAGGGTGGGTAGGCCTAGCAATCCTACCCCGTAAAACCAATCCAATCGCTTAACAAACTTCAAAGCACAAAGAAAACACAAAACATAGAATTAAACTTATCCTTCACTGGAATCGAAGAGGCGAAATGACGCCAGTTGGTGAAAGACTTCGGAAAACCAACTAACCGATGTGTCTTCTCTCTCTCGACAAAGCAACAGTAATCATGGGACATGGAATGTCCGAACAATGTTTGAAGCTGGCTGGCAAGGCTGCTTAGATTGCAAGAGATGAGAAAATATAGCATAGAAGTGCTAGGCTGCTAATCTGCGAAAGCAGATGGAAAGGATGTGGACTCTCCAAACTGTCAACTGGAAAGTCAGTAATCTACTTCGAAATTGTCACTCATACGGCAACCACGAACACACAGTTCTGGAGTGGCTATCATGATGTCTCTAAGAACATCGAAGGCTCTCATGCAGTGGGAACCAATGCTCTCCTGCAGAGTCATGACAGCAAGGTTCAAATCAAAAGAAAGGAAAGTCACAATCATACAATCCTACGCTACGCACCTACAAATAATGCAGATGAAGAGAAGAAGGAGGAATTCTATAGAAAAGTTCATTCAGTAGTAGACAACACCCCACTCCAGTTGGCAGCATCAAAATTCTAATGGTTGGGGTGAAATAAATCCCAAACTCGGAGCAGACAACACAGAAAGAGAACTCATCATGGGTTGAGAGGCAATAGATGAAATGAATGAGAATGGAGAACTGTTCACAGACGTCTGCTCATTCAACGATTTGATGATTACAGGCAGTGTGTACAAACACAAGGATATTTACAAAGTGACGTGGATTTGATTTCTTCAGACACCAAGAAACACTACACTGAAAATCAGACCCAATTCATCTCAATCTGAAGAAAGCGGAGACGCAGCCTACTAGACATAACATCAGATCAGGAAGGGGAGCAGATGTAGGTTCACACCACTCACTATCTGGTGCAAGGAGCTCACCTACAAAACTAAGTTGAAAGCCTTCAAGGAATTCGGTGGTAAGATCACAGTTCAAGTTGAACACCCAGAACAAAAACTGAAGGACATGACTACAGAGGACACCTTCACATCAATCATCAGGACAAAGTGGGAGATATTGAGCAACATCCGTGAAGGAACCTGCGTGAAAGAACATTGGAACTCTGTGAAAGCAATGTGGAAAGAAACCTGCATAACCGCATTACGAAGGAAAAAGGAGAGGTAAGACAAGAAATGGATCTCGACATATACTGGAAGCTGATAGAGGAAGATGCTGAGGGAGAGGATGAACCAGTGCAGTGCAGTGCACGGATGAACAACGAAAGGAGGAACTTGACGCAACCTGTATAACACAACACTCGACAAAGAAGTGAAGAAGAGTGCACGCAAAGACAAAAGACAATTTTACGACACATTGGCAAGAGGAGAGGAACAGGCTGCGGGTAGGAGAGACCTAACTACATCATATCAAATAACCAGGTTACTATCTGGAAGGGAAGAGACCAACACAGATGAAACCAATGAAAGATAGTGAAGAAAAATTAGTTATCGAAGTGGAGAAACAAAAGAAACGATGGGCTGACCACTTCAAAAAACTCTTCAATCGATCACCATCAACACCTGCAACTCGTCCAGAAATACTACTAGCAGCCCATCCACATAATTACCAGTGAACATAAACTCTCCAACAAAAGCAGAAGTCCTGAACGCCATAGATCTGCTAAAATCCGGACAAGCAGCAGGATCAGATGGAATTCCTTCAGAAGCACTGAAAACAGACACAGAGACAACAGCGGACATGCTCACACCACGACTGCAGAAGGATTGGAGGGAAGAAAGGAAAGGTACCTGCCTGTTGATTTGGAGAAGGGCTATCTGATAAAGCCTCCAAAGAATGGAGACGTAAGTCTTTGCAAGAACTGGCGAGGAATCATGCTGCTGTTCACCCCAATTCAAAGTGTTATGCCGCATCATCCTGCGCTACGCATAATCATAGAACAGAACGTAGAATGGCAGTCAACTCAACTCTACCTTCATCTAACTTCATCGATTGTGAAAGGCCTTTGATAGCGTCGATCGAGGAGTAATTTAGAAACCGCTTCAACACTGTGGTTTCAGTTCCACAAACCTTTACCAACCTCATTCAACAGCTATTTGCTATGTGAGAATGCTGAATGCCAAGTGATTCACAATGGAAAGCTCAGCTCAGTGATACCTTCTAAGTGAAGAGAGCAAGGAGTAAGACAAGGCTGCCCACTATCATCGATGATCTTCCTGATTGCGGTTGACTGGATCCTGAGGCTAACCGTGAGGAGCAAGAAGATGAGCATATGCTAAACCGATGAAAGGACCCCAGAAGAAGATTTGGATTTCGCCGATGATGATCACTTATGTCAAATGTCTAACAAGCTTAAAGACCTAAAGGGAAAAACCAACAAGTTGACAGAATAAGCGAGGCAGAGAGGACGGGACTTCAAGTGGAGAAAGAGAAGACAGTGGTGATGAAGATATCCAACCACCACCAACAACAACAACTACAACAAGTGCCATTCACCATCAACAGGAGAAATCTGAAGGAAGTAGTCTCTTTCACCTACCTAGGCAAGATAGCACCGTTTCAACTACAGGTGGCGGCACAGATGAGGACGTCGAAGCCAGGATCGGAAAGATAGCCACACAGGCCTTCATTCAATAATCTGAAATCAATGTGGAGATCTGCTGCACCGCACTCCACTGCACTCCACTCTACTCCACTCAGCATAAAGCGTGAACAACATCTGGACTTTCAACACTTAGTCAGCCAAGTAAGTTAGTGCTTCGATGTGATGGTTGAGAGACTTGGTGCGTCACGAAAAGCATTTCCAACAAACTACAGACATACATTATCAGCTGCCGCCTACGCTCACTCGATACTGAAGATCAGATGGCCGGAATAATGTTAATAAGTAACAAGGAGCTCTGGCTGGCCGGCAACGAACCAACCTAGAACCCATCGCCCAACAAATATGCAGAAGAAAGTGGAGATGGATTGGGCAAACACTGAGAAAGCCATTCAGGGACATCACACACCAGGTCAGTCACTCGAGTGGAACCCTCATGGAGAAAAACGAGTTGGGTGTCCGAGGTGAGGGTAACATGGAGGAGATCATGTGAGGAAGAAATGTAAGCATGTGGGCAGTCCTGGTTCCAGGTTGAAAAGACTGCAGAGAACAGAGTAAAATGGTGACGTGCTACTGAAGCCCTATATTGTACTAGGAACCCAAGGGACAATTAGCAATGATAATAATTACCCATCAACTCACAAGTTTATGCGGTATTTTGATTTAGGTTCCGCATCTGTGATAGTTTTTATGTAGTCTAGCTAATAGTAAAAGTTACTTAAGAAACTTTTCAATTATTCCGACTCACTAGGATTTAAAGATGGTTACCACTTTTGTAGTACCCAAATAAAAGAAAAGTTTGTGTGAATGTGAGGCGTTAACTAACTCAGCAAACCCAAACTGAATAGAACTATCAACTTGAACAAGTTTAAACGGACAAATATCTTGTCGGCTAATTAAAAAGCAGATGCTATGGCTTTCCTAACTAAACCATACTTTACCTCGAAAAGAAGCAGTCCCGGAATCAGTATCTAAGTGAATTGAATACAGGCAGTCTATTTGTAAACACTAGCTTAGTGAGAATAAGTGTAGTTAAACATTAAAGTCTGAAATTATATCTTCAACATCTTCATGGTTTCACTTATGAGGAATCCGTCTATTGTGCTAGTTTCTTGCACTTTTCCTTATATCAGATACCTGTTGGGTTTCTTGTATCTCAAGTATGAGTTTGACCATCGATGATATATATAAGACACTGTCGACTTAATATGAAATTCAAAATGAACGCCTGTGAAAGCGTGAAACTCATATGGAGACGCTACAACTTAAAGTCATACCTTCAAGTTTAGCTGAGCTAATATTTTAGCATGAGAAATTTAAAAACTACATGAAGGAAATACTCTAAAAACTAATACGATACAGTGTAACTTATATTACTCAAATCCAGCATTTTTTAATCATTCATCTAACTTACTGAAAGGTACTTAAACTCCAATATTGGATTGCATCATTCAGTAAGTCACGAACTTCTACTACTAAAATAGTTCCATTTTTCGACTTCATTTTACGTTTCTTTTCGAATTGTTGCCAATAGGAATTTGTTAGTTGGTTCGTTTCTGCCTCCTCAAGTGGCAAACTTGTAATAGACGAGCATTCGCTGCTATGATCATCACATGGAAGGCAGTTAATTTGACTCCTCATTTCATTAGGAATTGGTGTATACGGTGTAGGTGTCAGCAAAACGAATTGAAACTGAACCTAAAATGAAATTGAGTTCAGATTTCTTTCAAATATACTCTTCACGGGTAAAAAGAAAGTGTAGTTTCACAAATAACCTAATGTTTGAGTAAGACTGTTATAAGAAGGTAGCTAAAAAAATATTAGCTGACATTGAGAAGAGAGCTGTAAAAGCCTCAATGAGAAAATAATTAATGTTGGCGTATGAGTAAAATAACAAATAAGAACGACAAACTACTAGAGATATTATATGTAACCAAACACAAACGAAGACATAAGAAACTTGGTCAATAAGACAAAATGAAACAACCAGAATGTGTATAAACTAAACAGTGAAAAATTAATTTAACTCACCAAGTACAGAACTCAGTTGTTGAACAGATCAAGATATAACTTACTGTGTGGTGGGAAAATCTCTCAATGAACTCCTGCTTGTGGTAATCAGCCTTTAGCATATCCCTAAGTGACAAGCCAAGTGTCTCAGTGAAATGAATCGTTTATTTGTTCATTGTGTGTTCTTGAATTCATAGTCTATGTACAAATGACACTTTCAGTATTTTCATCCATACAGTAACTTTGATAACGCCTTAATGTTCTAGTCTAGAGTGCTATTTGTATAAGCAATGAGGTTGTAAAATGTAGTAAGATAAGATTTAAAGTTTTATGCGTTGTTTGTGAACCTAGGCTCTGGGAAGTTAAGTGGTAAATAAAGCAAGTTCACTGGTTAGCCTTTTTAAGCTGCCTGCAACTAACGCCTCAATTATTTTCTTATTTCACTATTCTTCTACCGACGATTGAAATTTGAGACATATTCCCACCCTTGCTACTTAAGTTTTGATTAATTTAAAATGATCATAATTTTTTTAAAGCTCAATATCCAAGAAAATCCTTGCTTTCTTGTCCTCTGACCTATTTTTTCGGCATCAACCAGCATTCCTAGTTAAAATTAATACAAATAAAATCAGTATCTTTGAATATATTTACAAGCGTTACAAGTGAATAAATACTCAACTGAAAAAATCCAACTCACCTTTTTATTCAATTCTACGCTTAATGCGTTTGCCTCCTTTAGATAGACAGCATTTTCCCATAATCGATCCTAAATATTCAATAATAAAATACACAGACTAGTTGATGAAAAGTTTTGATTTCAATATACAAAATGTTTAACAAAATTATTGTAATAACCCAGCTTCAATCTATGTTGGGACAACAAATCAGTGTGTAGGTATTCTGAATGCCATCTAAACCAAAATTGCTTAGCTTACATTTTTCGACGTCAGTCTACTCAGTGCATACATTTCATCTGAAAAATTATTCTGAAACATCTCTGAATAACATCGAAATTCATGAATTGATTTCCACCTAAATTTTGGTCTTAGATGATATAACCTTGATGAATAAATTTTCAGAAAATATTGATAAGAAGGTCACAGTATTCGAGGAGATAAGATAAAATAATTTTTTTAAAGTTTTACAAAAAGAGGGAAATTACAGGGCAGTTTCTTGAAATTCTGCATAACATTCGAAAAGATTGAAAGGCTGTCACTGAAATGTTATTCTTTTGCTTCTAATCCATAAAGCTTTCTATTACCTACTTACCTGATGAGTACTGATGAGCTGGTGAAATTATTTAATTAACCAGGGGACAGCAAAATCGCGAAACAGTCAGTGAATTTATACTCTTAAAGTCAATTTGAACCTTGAATGAAACTGCGGTCGATAAGGATTTTAGGGGGATTTTCGATAATATATTATGAGAAACTCAGACATTAGTGTATATAAAACTGTGTGCATTTCGATGAATGCCGCTGCACAACAAAGATGAACACCTCTAATAGCATCTTACTACAATTTGAATACCTTGACTGAAAGTCCTTACTAAGTCTAATGTTGCATGTCTTGATTCTTTAAAATTGGTGGTGAGGCTCATGATATTTAGTGAACGCGATTTCAGAACTTTACTTGAGCTCAAGTGAAACTGAATTTCATACGTTTTGCTAAAAGTCTTCAGCTAATTTTTCAATCAATCAACACAATAAATGGTACAACTTAGTCGAAAACGCATAAATATTATCTCAGAGCTGATTACATTAAGACAGACAGGTTCATTTAATCCTGAGAGATATTTCATATGAAGTACTAAAATGTTGCAAACAGTCTGTGTAATCAACTCATCCAAAAAATGTCTTTACGTATCCCATTTATTTTCACACAGATGGACACTCAACAGAACAGTGGACTGTTTTTTCAGGTCAATTATTGGCCTGATTAATCCATCTTTGGGTTAAAGAATGTAAGCAGCCATTCTTTGTATACATGTGACTTTACTGTGTTAATTGTCAGGCGATTAGTATCAGACTAATATTTCTCACTCAAAATCCATATACGCAAGGAACTGATTTGTTCATTTGCTGTTTTACATCAAAGTTCTGTGCCTGAGCACACTCCTAGAATTCTTACACAGCAATTTTTAAGTTTGACTAATATTTAAAGATTCATATGCTCCACAAAACGATTACCCGTCATCAGAGAATTGCGAGCAAAGTATTCAGATAAGTTGAATTTATCAAATGTAGTATTTACTGCCATGAACAGAACAGGTTTATTGTAATAGTGAAAATCATCACCAGAAAGATAAAGTTGTTAGAACCCACAAACAAACTCGACATCATTTTTCAGCAAGAAGGTACCCAGTTCATGTTGAAACATCGGGTCTTTACTTGAACGACTTTGGATTCGTTGTGATTACATCTTAACAGTCATTATTAGTAACAAGTAATCTAGTTCGCAGCATGTGCTTGCTAACCCATCAGCTTAATCTGAATGCATCTCTAGGTCGACCAATGTTATCGATAATTATTAGTATTATCGGTGTTATGCGTATTACCCCAAGATTCCTAAATTAAATACCAACAGCAGATTCCTATTTTAACTTGGCAACCATATGAATAGAAGTTTGTATTTCAGGCAGGTATTTGAAAGACCCGAATTTCGATGGGAACAGTAATAGAAATAAAAGTACTTTAATTAGGATAATATGAAGAGAATCACACATGTCTCATAAAATCTACTACGAATTACTACTGAATGTTACAAAAAGTTATTTTTTGGACTAATTTAATGTAATGAATTACCCGTAATGACGTAAACTGATGGTTCTTCCATTTATTGAAAGCCCACCAGGCTAATTTGTATTCTCGATTGCCCCAGATACACTCACCTAGTAATGAATAGGAAGAAAAATTGATAATATCAAAAATGAATAAAATTACTGTAACTCAAACAAATCCATATTCTTATTGAGTGTAACTAAGCTATTTAAATACAGAAGTACCTGTTTTATCGTAAATATAAATAAATTCACTTTGATTTGACCGAGTAGTATGATGTTTATGTAAGCGGTTACCTACTTGTGCTTTCTTCGTGTTCCTCTTCAGCTGCTGAATCTTCTTGAATCATAGATCCTAGCATTGACTGACGTTCAACCTGCTCTTGTAAACTTTGTATGCGACCTTCATACTCCTGACAGAACAACGAGAAAAGTAGTAAAGTAAAATTCAAATCCAAAGTAATTGAAATCGCAGAATAACATCAACTAAAAAATCATTGGAAGCCAGGTGTTGAGTACTCCTAACCTCCTAATTTGTGGTTCCTTAGGAATATATACATACTCACGATCTCGTATACCATAGAGCCGATAACCATCAGGTCTCACCAACTTTCCATTAAACAAGTGAGTTTGACAGTCTTGAGAATTATCTGTCAATGGTGGCTGCTAGTGGATATTCCTAACCGGAATACAACTGTTAGTTATTGCTACTAATTTCCAATAGTCGCCTAAATGAATTCACCCGGTAATGAAGACTACCCTGAAAGTAATTAGTTCACCATGAACAAACCACTCAAATGAAACTGGAAATTTCGTATGATTTATTGAATCCACCCTAAGGAAAAAAGTGACGAAACGTTGAGAACCTATAAAATTGGTAATTCAAACCAATAAATGAAAATTGCACACCGAATAGATTCATCCAATGCGACTCACTGAAGCAAAAATATGAATTAAATGGAAATTTTCAACCAAGCAAATGTTCAACATTAATAAATATAAGAATGAAATTTGTAAAATTGGGTTTGCTTCTTATTATAAACCAACAAAACCAGAAGACTACTGAAAACTACCAAAATACTCAAACGTGTACAAAGCCTACACTAAATGGATTACGTTACGAGTTTGATGTCAGTCCTATTATAAATCAAACTTCAGTGACTCACGTTCGAAAATCTGTTTAGCCCGTGATTCGACGCTGTCGTCATCTGGTATTATCAAATGAACACTCATTCACCCTTACAGTTGGTATCAGTCCATTATATAAAATTATTAGATCCCTTGGAAACTGGTGAAAAAGATCATACTTTAATAGCAATTAGTTATTGGTTGTAGATTATGCTTCTAATAGTCATCACTGGATGCACTGCCAAAAATTGGATACTATCTGCAATAACCATCGAATTGGCTACTGTTGAGAACTGGAAGTAACTTTATTACAGGCCAGTCTTTCAGCGTAACCATTCACACAGTAAACTGTGGACATTGTATCATTCAACTCATTAATGGCCATATTTGTCAGTTTACGGGAGTTTTGAAAGTGAAACAAGAAATTTTTTCAGTGTTTTTTCGTTTCCACTGATTCAGAATTCATTCTAGATGATTTTGTATTCTATAAAACCAATTTTTCATCATACCACCAATGGATCTTTTATTATCTTAACCCTTTAGCATCATTTAAACATTTTTGATGCTTTAATAGTACTTGTTCAAGAGTGTCATCAATATTTGTAAACAGAAATGCTCCACATAAATTAGCTTCCTTCAGTTCTAAATAATCTGTTCCAATCTGAAAAGTACCTGTTTATCACAGTGATTATTTTAGATTTACTTAATAATTCACTTTTTGTCACTTATTATGTCTTCATCTTGAGTGCGAATTCAATGAAGAGTACTGTTTATCTTATAAACTTGGACTTTTGATATATTTAAGGGTTAGAAATTATATATAGTTTCTTTCAACTAATTTTCAATGTAAATATCGTAGGTATTTACATTTAATTAGAAATATCTGTTACTGTAGTCTTGAGCATCATTTTTGAAGATTAAACTTCTCTGAGAAGAAACTAAACCTTGTCTTCGACAATAACTACTGACGCAAACTCTTAGCACTACAAGTGCATATATATTCGTGAAAAATCCGATCATGATGTTAAAATAAACCAAAGTAGCTCTATTTTTCTCTTTAATAAACTGAAGATGGAGTTGAAGATTCACAAACAGAGTACATGATACAGGTATCTGTTCATCAGTCATTCTGAATGAGTTTTTCAGTATTACCCCTCAGGAAATTTCCTTTTGCTTCCTTGTAACCTTTATAACTTACTTTTCTTTGCTCTGCAAATAGTCTATCGGATTGCTCTTTCTCACGACGATATTGTTCTTCTAGTTGGATTAGACGATCTTCAATTTCTTTTCTTAAATCCACACCTTGTTTCTCCAGCAGTTCACTGATAGCGTAATTCCAGTCAATTGGCTCCGTAACACTCGCTGAAAAGTAATAAATAATCACAGTAATAAGATAACAGTCGGTTATCCAAATATACTTCATTTACGTTGATAAACTAATTTCCTAATGATTTATCTATCATGAGAGTGAAGTGATTTGGTTTCTGCCAAGGATGTCTACCATCACCACTCTTGCTCACTTGTAATACAGACATCCCAAAAGTCGTTGACCTCTGGAAGATTTGTTTATTCTTTGGGGTACTTGGATGGCTTCGAGTAGGCAGATAACATTTTTTAGCTTTGCAAAGTTTACAGAGTGCGCTGACTGTCATGAGCAGAAATCTGAGTATACTTAGCATGACATTAGCATCTGTCAAATGTAGGATGATGCTTCGTGCAAGTATGGATCTCAGATATTCCCAGTTCAATGAAAGGTAGTGAAATGGCTATTGCACCAACCACTTCATGGCCGTTAAAACTAAAAGATATATAGAGCCTACAGGTTTCTAGCCGCAGGTATCTTCGTAGAACTGTTTGCGTATTGTGAAACCACCATGTGAGTAATGTCGTCATTTAAAGAGAGCCAACAGGAAAAGAACACAAGTCAGTCAATGAAGGTGTGAATTTCCACAAACTAAGGAGAGATGTATATGTGTTGTGCATGCCACGTCACCAGCTATCTCGAAGCACAATGTAGATTTGGTGGAAGGCCCAGAATAGCCAAACCAAGACATGGCACAAGTCCGCAAAGTTTCTCACTCTTAGTGAGAGCTGTGTAGAGAGGTGTAGGCTCCTTGGCCTGAGCATGTATGATAGTAGAAGTCAATGTTTGGAAATTGTTGGGTACATGTCGGAAAGTCAGTTACATTTGGGTAAATATATTCACTCTCTGACGTCTTCTAATGGTTGACAAATTTTACCAGCCTTGATTTTCACATTCCTTTTCCTCCCATACACCATTGTTTACTTTGATATCAATCTTTCGCTGCCCACTTGTGTCTTGCATGCTGCTATAACTCATGACAATTTGAACCGCTGCTCTTCTATGCGAGACACTAGGGCGACTTGGTCTCTCTGGCTGCCTGAATTATGCATCTTAAACTTTGTGACCTGCAGAGTAACATAAATTAACGTAATGAGCGAAAACAGGCTTTATAGTATTCCATAGACCTAATCACCGTAGTTTGTTAAACACATTCTAAAACTTAAATCAGAATGTATCTCATCTCTAAAAATCGCAAATAATCAACAACATTCTTTGCTTAAACAGGCCTTGTTGACTATTGAGGTTTCAAACTGTTTGAAATAATAGGTCATTTCTGAGACCTACTAGGTGGACCGAAGGAGTTTGTAAAAATAACTCAACTAAAACTTCATTATTGGGACCCGTTATTAAGGTATATGTGCCATGTCAAAGGAAAACGATGATGTCCAATGTTTCACTACTTCATCGTGCATTACTGCAGTCAAAAACATTACTACTGAACTACTTGAACAATGTATGGCCTTATGCTGCAAAACTCAGAAACAGCTTCTCCTGGTCAGTTAGACAATATGACACTTATTTTCTCCAGAGTAAACAAGCAGTCACCATGCTCTAGGACTACTAAGTAAGGCATATCTTTGAGAACAGTCAAAAACTGCATCCAAAATAAACTCCCATATATTAAAATAGATCAATAAGAGCAGTGGCACATTAATTGTGTATTGTTCCAAATAATGTCATGGTAGTATACAGAGAGGGACAGTGGCAGTAAAAATGTCTTTGGTATGAATGATAATTATGTTTTCAGGTTTAGGTGCATTAGAACTACTGAGATCAGTTCTGCATCATATCGCTTTGCATTATTAACCAAAGGTTTGAACTTTTTCATTGACTCCAATTACAAACCCGATACTATCTTATATAGCTGACGTCAATAAATGATTGGATAACATTTCTTGATCAGGAGAGTCTTCTTTCGCTCGGTAAAAATAAGCATCTGCCTAAAACCCTGTGTTTAATGCTTCTTTCGATATAAGGTAATAATGACTTGTCAGAACAGATGTAAGCCGTAGACTGAATGCTCACCGTTCAACTAGATCAAGTGTTACAACATGCATCCAGTAGTTCAATAATAACCAATATTGAGGAATCTTTACTGCTGCACTAAACCTGGCATTGATTGCATATGCCAACTAACTGCATAAAACGTATGTTTGTATTAATCTTTGCCTTTTCGGTAGTAATAAGTCGTATGTTCTAAGTATTGCCTTTTTCTGTGGAGCTCATTAACGTGAAAGTAGTACACTTGTGTCCCCTTATTCATCATTGTGCATTATGAGATCTATGTTTTCCCGTCATGTTCCCTTCTAAGCATTAAAACCATAAGTTTTGAAGTAACTTTAAGAGTTATTTATATCAGTTGTCACTGTAACTTAGTTGAATTTTCATCCAATATAAGGGAAATAAGTTCAGCATTAGTAAATATGTTTAATTTCACTTACCACACATATCGCCTGTAGTCTGTTTTTTCTCCCGACCTGTTAAAGTAAAATGTTTCAAAGGATATTAATTATGTTGTTATCATCATAACTTTGGGGTTAATTCCTTTTGAAAGCAAAGTGGTTAACACATCCACAGGTAAGTTAAGAGAGGGTAAACCCTAAGGCGATGGGTTTTAAATTCTACCGAATAGAACTTCAGCGTCAAAACTTTGTGTTTTGTACAAGTACAGGAATATAAATAAAGGTTGATTATCTAATACATCAGAAATATGTACTTCTGTATACAGTTTGTAGTTACTTCATAAGTTGAAGTCTTACGTTCAAACAATGCGATGAGAGATTATGGTCACTATCGTCCAACCACTCAGTGGGTATATAATTTAGGCTTTTTGGAGAGTGAATAACCAACCAAAACGAAAATGTCTAGGGTAGTGGAACCAAATTCACAGGAGGATGAATTATTTTATCTGAAAGCTGCAACGGGTCTTCTGTAAGTGCAAAAAATATACCTGTCGGTTTATGATGAAAACTCCAGTCAATAGGAAAAACTCTTAGTGATTGGAATGAGGATATGATGGACAAACAAGTCTCACACAATAGCTGATAGAGGATAAATGGCGTTTTTCGATAGTCTCTGCTCAAATCCTACCTCAACTTTCATTTCTATTTCACATTCAATCATCAACCCATATCAAATACACCTATCTCAGGTAATCTTATCGATAATGAAAACGCATCAATTATGTTGGTTGATGGTTGTGCTTAACTGTAAATCAACTGGTTTTTAGAATATGTGCACTTTTTAATGTCAACTCTTTCCGTAATATTCGAAAAATTCTCAGCGCGAGTATGTATGCTGTCTTATATTTGAGCATTTGAAAAGTCGTAAAGCAAAACGAAATCCATATAAATCGGTTAGAATTTAACACTCTTATGACCAATAATGTGTAATGGTATATTTCAACTGAAATTAATCAGCATAAAGTGAGAAGTCTACCATTCATTTAGAAAATTTATTTATCTATGCTAAAGATATCTGATTGGCTGGTTTTTTCACACTTGGTTGAAAAATGGCAATCCATTAAACTAGCTAGTTGCTATTTTATCTACCTAAATAAATGTAACATTTTCCCATGAACATATTCAGTTTATGGCATTTTCTTACTACGATTATATTAAAATAGATATTTGGCAATTAAGGTATACGATTAGTTTGAACTCTGAAAACACACGGTTGAAGGTAGTCTGTGGAAAATATACCAGCGTTTCACTTGATTTAGAATTCATTAGCCAAATCTCTTTAATTATTTATCGGTGTATTCCCAACAGATATGGGTAATGGTTCATCGTCAAGCTATTAAAATTTCAATATATATTCAAATACAATCAGTGCGTGAACACAAACATTTGTCAAAACCACAAGTTAACTAGTAGCAAAGCGCGGAAAATGTCAAATTCAAGAGTTCTTTGTTTAGTTAACTTCTAAATACCAGCTTTACTCAATACAATGATCATCCTGTATAACTGTAAGTGATTTATTCATAAATTTGATTCATTCACCTTATGAAAATAAAGAGGAAATAAAAGTTTAAATCCATAGTGCATTAAAAAGCTTACTTTGAACAGGATGGTTAAAACGAAACACATGGCTTTTGCCCAAAATTACACGAGCACCTGTTTGCAGTTGAACGCTTCCAAAACTAAACTTCCGTTCACATAACACTCAGCTTTATCGATTGGTACAAATTCAACTATACCTATACACAAAGATGAAGTGGAAATATACTTTTTTATGGAAATAATTTGAATAAGTTAGTGGAAATACAAAGTTCTTTGCTGCATAATAAACTCTTCGTCGCCTTTTAGTTTACGTATAACTCTGATTGACGGTATTAGTATTAGTTGATATCTGCTTGCTAAATGATTCTTTATCGACAGTAGACTAAAAGGTATAATCTATAGGGAAAATATGTCCTCGTTGTATTGTGTTCTATGAGTTAGGCGGTTTAATCAATCTAGGTCAGGGAACACAATGCAACCAAGACCATCCACCTGAACTACTGATATTCTCCACCATTTCACACTATGTCCACTGTTTCTTAGACCAAAACCCGACAAGTGGTGGATCGTTCATTGACTGCTGGTTTTTAGCAAACCTGCGTTAATTGATTAGTGTTCTCCAAGTTTTGATTTCTTTTCTTAGACGTTTTAAAGCCAGCCTAGGCGATTTCATCAGCATTTACTTCATAACTAGGTGAAGTATTCTTAAGTTACACGAATGTTTATGGGGGATATTCGCCGACATTGAGCATCACTGGTTTATCAGCTGGGATAAATACACCTTGTTTTTCATCAGAAGTTGGTCTTTGTAATTATTATTATCATTTGACCTACAGCAGTTATGAAGGTCAATTTAAGACGAAAAAGGAGGTGAATTTACTCCCACTGGCCAACCAGAAAGACTGAAAGTCGTGAATAAGCTTCCCAAACATTCTCACAATCTAAAAATACTCCACTTCTTTGTGAAATAAATCCTGATGAAGTCATGTACCCTTGTGATAAGGCGTTCAAGAATACACCTAAAAGCTAAAAGAAAAGTGAACATCTCCTAACCACATCCTGAACTACGAATCTTATCTCAAAATCTGTGTTAACCACATCATTCTTTACGGACTAAAACTAGGCAAGCACAGTTAATAACAGTCAAGGGGAATCAAGCTTAGCTTGAATGAATGTTTTCAGTGTAATTTGATTGACGATGACTAGCAGTTAAGTGAAGGAAATCAGTCATTCATTAAAATGCAGGAACATCCAGATGATAAATCTAAAATAGCGTGCGTGCTAAATTTCGCCGCTGGGTAACAACAGTAGAATTACATCGTACATGATCTTCAGGAGATTTCAAAGCATCTATGCAAAAGTTCATATGGCAAAGGCAACCGATCGATTTGATTTAACACAAGAGTCAAGGTGAAAGTATAAGCATTCATAAATAATGCAGAATCTTATTAGTTACACCAGTAATGATATGAACTGAACAAAATTAATTCTTCATACTTAGTTATTATCGGTTTGTTTATTGAGCATAATCACTTTATCAAATATCCTCATTTTTATATGTTCATTGTTTGTCTCAAATCTAGACTATATTACTCAGTATGAGCAGAAAGTAAAGATCCAAAAGAGAGGTAGAATCCCTAGACTAGCGTTTCATTCGTCTTCAGTGGAGGTGAAGTTTATTTTTACACCAAAGTGACCAGATAATTTTTGATAAGTTGTTATTTACTCAGTGTGTACTTAGCATATATACTATGCTTATATACTAAAATAAGTCGATTCCATAGCACTAAATGGTAGATCATCAAAATAACCAGTGACGTTTTTCGTTGAAGAATGAAACCAGCAGCTAACTAGTCAAAAATTAGTGGATCCTCTGTAAACTAGATAAAGCTCCAGCCTCCTAACCATCTGTCAGATGTGTTACCCGTGTAGTAATCTTCGCATTACTTTTGATGAGTTATGCATATCTGAAAGTCAGACAACACTTACTTCATCTTGCTGAAACCCTTACTCTCCTTATCATTATTATTATTATTATTATTATTGAAACTGGAGTTTTTCTTGAATATTTACAGATAGCCAGTTGGCTAGCATTTTTTTATTTTGATGTACTCCTAGTTGTGGTCTGAGTAGTGCCACGCCTTAACCCCAGAGAATGAAAGTATCAAGCCGTTGGCTAAGGTATTCATTTGAGTTTCTAGTTTCATGTGCAGTTACCTAGAAATTACTTTAATAATCCGTCCCTCATACAAGTAAAATCTACAACACTGACAAGTATTTAAATAATCATATTCTGGTAAGCACACAATGTTGAATGGCATGTAAGAAACACAAAATTAAGTGGACAGGCCGATATCTTCAGTATAATCCCTTAAATTGGTTATGGTGATACAAACCTTGAAACATTTCCCTACTTATTTCAAATGGGAACGTACATCTGAATGATATGCACTCATGATTTAGACAATACTCCAGTTGAAAGTGAGTAGGAAATAGTTAACATTCCAATGACTAGATTCAACAGAAAATACATCAAAGGTTTACAAGGACCAAGTTTAATAACATAATACTCGAAAACTGCTGATCATTGAATGTTCAGAATAATGAACAGATAAATAAAAGTTGCATACTATACTTAAACGGCTCGATGATTGAAAATGTAAAGTATCTATTAGCCACGGCAATTATTTTGTTCTAATTCAATTGCTATACTGTAAATATCATTGCAGAACTGTGTTTATATGTCTCAAAGGCTAGTTCAGATGACTTTCTGTTTGCCAGTTTAGCAGTTAAGAGTCTTCCTCAAAAGTAAGATTTCATGTTTTTGAATGAACTGATTCAATTAACCTGATCTTAAATAGACCTAAAGGTTCTTGTAGACCGACAAAGCATTTTCAGTAAGTCCTGCTTAGGCTGAAAGTAAATTAAAATACTTTTTACATCTTCTTGAGATTTTTACTGTTCAATTGGCTACTTTTATCAGCCCCTCAATTAAGATGCAGATTATTTAGTCTCTTATCATTGTATGTACTTCTGACTCTCTGAGTGCAGTTCATTTATTTGGTGTGTTTACTAAATTGGCATACTATAAATGCAAATATGTTTTACTTCCTTCCATCTGTATGACGCATATGGTTTTTTCGAAGGAAACTCTGGTTTATCTTGCTCCATTCATATTATAAGTTCTTTCTTAGTTGGTGTTTCAGACTCATCTTTCTACTCATCTGCACCGTGAGATTAAGATTACTAGGTGAATAAACTATCTTTCGATAGTAAGACAGATGGAACTAGGTGATACACTTCATATGAGACGGTCACTTTTAAGGCAAATCATTTTGACTGTTTGAGATAGCTGTGGTTTGGCAGACTTGCAGTATTTATACTGGGTAGTGATTGAACGTGAAATGAAAATTTTGACCTCTGAGTGTTTAAGTGAGCAGTGTCCACTTGCAAACGTTCACTGTTTTTCAGAAAAGATTGTAACAGTCGTAGGATTTCAAATCTAAGTATGTGCACCGTTTGTTGGATAGCAGTAAGACAAAAAGCAGTTACTGTTGTAATGTAAATTACTACACTATGATGGAAGTCCGCGAGAGAAGTCTTACTGCTGCTGGCTGGATGGGTTGTGACAGCAGTAGGGTGTCTCCCGACACTGATGCTGGTTTCTCTGTGTGAATGGGGGTTAAAGGACGTCGGCCCCAAAAATAGTACACTCCTCCCTGCCGCGCGGTCTTCTGGTGCAGGCGGTATGGGTTCTCTGCATTAGAACAACCAAACCTCAAAACAACAAGCTGTTTCCAACAAAACTTTCAGATTAAGTCAAAATGGGAGATGACTTCAACGCTGAAGTAGGGGAGCTGAGCCAGTCGGAAAGTCGTCTTCGTGGTATCTACAGAATCCCATGCAATAAGGTGACTGTTTCGTGCAACTGTTCTGACAAACATTTGTTTCTGACCAGCACCAGCTTTAAGTATCAGGAAAGACGCTGTCTCACATGATGTCGAGCGACATCAAACCAGTGATGGATACAGATAGATCAGATTTCTATAAGTCATCGTTGAAAAGGATCGGTGGATGGTAGCTGATCATTCTGGAGTGCTATTTTGGTCTCTGATCATGCGCTAGTATGGGCTCATTTATGTCTGCACCTCACTGATCACAGGAAACAGAAGGTGATAAGGCCTATATGTGTTCAACTGGTAGATAAGGAATCAGCTAAGCATTTATCTGAATATGGTAGCAGTGCTCATTCTGAGGAAACCTGGCATGATGTTGGGTCTGCTGTAGAAACAATGGTCAGACAGTTGATAACACATGCAAGAATCTTAGCAAACATCATTGGATTGCCGCAACATCATCTGAAGTGAGTGATGCAAGAAAACTGATTCCAGAGAGCTCTGACCACAACGAAAAGTACAAGAAACTGAAGAGTAAGTTGACCAAGAGTCCCCTCATCGATCGCCAGTAGTGACGAGTGACGTATGCGAGAGAGACGCGAAAATCATCATCGCTGGGTGGCACTCAACAACTATTTAGGTTAATTGAGGATACGGGCGAGAATAAACGATTGTGTGTGAAGCCATCACCGAGAAACATGGAACAATGATAACCTCCTAGGATGTTAGTCATCCAGTTGTCTTTGAAGATGAAAAAGCTGTATCGAAACTGAAATTATGTAAAGTTATAGGACTTGTTGTTTTATCACCTGAATTTTTCAAAGATGGTAGTAGGAAATCGCTAATTACAGTGACCAAGGTACTAGGTTGTGTATGGCGACCAGAGGTATTTTCATCAGACTGGTGTACTTTTACTGATCATCCTAGTCTATAATAAGGGAGAGAAAACTTGCAGTGACAACCATAAGATAATTAGCTTGACTAATATTGTGTCCAATATCCTGGGGTCTTCAGTTATCCGACACCTAACTGGAGTTTGAGAAAACCATGCAGCTTTCAGACTTGGATGAGAGGAAGTAAATCAACAAGATTTTCCCTCTCTGACAGGTCCGGGAACATAGACATACTTACTGGTGCCCAACACTCCCCATATTTCTTGACCTTAAAGCCGCATTTGACTCTGTCGACTGTGAGGTGTTATGGCGATCTCTGACTGTCCAAGGAGTATCGAGCAAGTATATAATGCCTATCAATGCTCTCACCTTGAATTCAAGCAAGCGTTTCAGGGCTTATGAAGAGTTATATTCAGAAGTGACGACAACTAGTGGTGTCCACTGAGTATGCCCACGATCACCGTTCATATTTAACTTCGTCACACCTGTACTAATGGACATAATCTTAGGTATGTCTGACTTCACAAGGACTGACTTACTTCATGGAGGTCACCTGGTTGATTTGAATTACGCAGACGATTTAGTCCAGCTAGGTGAAGACGCTGACATAATGCAGGGCCTTGTGAAAGCGTGTAATAGAAATTTTAGTATGTTTAGCATGCATTTCACACCCGTCAAACGTAAGGTGATGCTCCAGAGCTAGTCTACTGCAAGCACTCCCAGTTTAATAATAGGGAGGGAAGTGGTTTAACGTGTCGATCATTTCACTTGAGGAGTTGCATCAACTTGAACTGAGTGGTTACTGAAGAATTCCCAACTCGAATACAGAAGCTCGTGTGGCATTTGATAAATGAATCATCTCTGGCACTGACTGGCGAGGTATCCAACTACCTATTAAAGGACCAATATACTGCTCTTCAATTCATTCTATCTTGTGGTACGACTGTGAGACATAGCCGTTAAAAGAAGTCATGAAGCAATTACAAGGTTTTGACTATAGATCCCTCCTCAATATTGCTCGCGTTTGGTGGGATCACCGTGTGAACAGTGTTGACGTCAGGTGAAGGGTACTAGGCAAGACAGACAAGTCGACTGATAAGGTCATGAACATTAGTCGGCTGAAACGACTTGGACATACACTGCGCATTCCCAGCCACCGTCTACTTCTATGTGCCATACCAGAAGAAGTTAGACTGGTTAAATGAGAGTTCAGGGTGGCCAGATCAAGACCTGACAGCGGTCAACGAAGTCTCTTACTGTTGGTCTGAGTTGTCTTGGCATATGTAAACAGCCTGGTTAAGGTCCTCAAGCAGGAAGAAATCACTGGATGAGAACGGATCTTTGGTGACATGTCTGAAAATCGGTGACAATGGCGCAGATGTATTCACTCACTGACGTGTCGTGAAGCTTGACTATTTGCACTAACCATTATCTTCAGATTCTTTGTTGTCTCATACAAATTTGTCTACTTTTATTTCACACTTTTCTTATCCACTTGTTCTTCGTATACGACTGTTACATAGGGCAACACGAGCCGACATACCTGTGAGTGAGTTCCAACATTGATTTTATCAGTCAGTCAGTCGGTACTGTTTGCTTGCCTAAATGTCGCTCCTTAGGCTATTTTTTGTTGTTTTGTGTTTTTTCTAATCATACCTACAGATATCTATTCAAAACCTCCTGATATGAGTAATTTCGTGCCACATCGTATTTCTGTTGTTCCATAAAAGTAACAGGCCTATTCAAAGTGGATAACAAAACAACTGAGTTCACCATTGATAACCTATTAAACTGTATTGGATTCCCTTATCATGATGGTTCCTTAATCCATATCAGTCCGTGATTATCAAAATGAAAATAATTAATAGAACATTCATTTTTATACCCATGGTGCAGAGACTTTTTATTTACTTTTATATGTGATCACAAACATACTACCTTCTATTACTATAAGGTCAGCCAAACCATTCCCTTGAAAAAATTAGACAAATTTATGGTGGAGCTTTCATGAATAATAGTATTTTTCGAACTGAATATGGCATTCGACTCCGTCAAACAAAAGGTTCTTCACTAAAAAGAGTACCGAGAAGAACATCACAATATTAAATCTTCTGTAAGGGAACACTCGTAAGCGTGTAAGAGCCTATGGCATCTTGGTATCGTTCAAGAGAGCCCAATCTCGGTATTCTTATATAATTTTATCATAGACGTACTTATGGTGATCTGTCTCGTTGTCTGACTTCCCAGGAACTGATTTTATGAGAATCCTTGGTGACGCGAGAGTATGTAGTTGACAAAGTTCTGTCAAGTGAAAATCCACACAAGATGCAACGCTTTTTGGACTCATGGAGTGGCAATTTGATAATATTTTGTATTCGTTTTTCGAACACTTTGTTGCTGCCCGATTTATTCGCGTCTGCGCCCCGTCTATCAATTAGGAGCAAGCTTTGTGACCTTAATTACATCGAAAGTCAAATCAGCCCTCGTAGATCGGTGACCAACGAAACGCATACATGGATACGAAGAGCTCAACTGATCTTCAAGAAATTACGCTATTCGTGTGGCTGTCATGTTATCCAAGTATCTGTTGAGGGATGAATGTACTACACGGCGATTCGCTCTGTTTTACTATTCAGCTTTGAAACATTGTCAGTAAAGATAGAGGATATGAGGCGACTTCGGGTTTTCAACCACTGCCGCTTTTGTGGCACGGGCGGTGTACCAAGAAACTACCACGTCAGCAACGGATAAGTCAGGTCTAGAGTTCTAGTTGGAAGAGATGAGTCAGTTAATGAGGTTGTAGTTCTTAACCAACAAATGTAACTGGAATATGTTTTGCACACACCAAATCTCAGTCTCCCTGTTAGGGTAGCTGAATTAAGTTCAGTTTGAAAACTTGCTCAAAGCGGTGAAACTGAGAGGTTGTATCACTCTATGCAGTCTCTCATTGTTGATCTAAGCTGGAGGAGGCTATGTAGATATACTGGTCGGTGTCTATGTGACAACTGAAGTCGGCTTATCGAAGAGATTAGGTGATGGGTATGAGAATCGACCTCAGTGACGTATATGTACCTACGCATTATCTGTATCTTAGTCGCCAAACTGGGTTTCAGTATTCTCTCATTCTTACTTGATCTCTTTTCACTACTTTCTTTCATTTTGACTACTTTCTACTTATTTTTTTATCCGTTATCTGTTCCATAGATTGTTGAGTTCTCTTGGAAGAGAGGTCCTTATATGTTTCAAGTAGACAAACTCATTGTTTACGTTTCAGAATAAGTTTTGGTTGTAGTCTGTTAACCTTATCAGTTTCTTACTTCCCTAACAATGAAAACGATAAATATTATCTCAAAGTTATTGTTTATTCACTTACCACCTTGAGTGCGGAATATACAGTGTTCATTATTAATAAGGGGACCACTTAATCCTATATCAACTCCAGACTCAGATCCTAGTCGACCAACTCTGCAAACATAAAGTTAATTTTGATAAGTTGAAATAAACCAGCTTAAAGAAAAGTGTTAAAATCGAAAAACAATACGTACGGCAAACTGTTACAAGACTAGAAAAACGAAAGTTAAATAGCAGTTACAAAGACAAATTTCAAATCTTTGCAGAACTGAAATTCGTGGGCATATTAGGCCGATTCCCGGAACCGTATAATTTAACTGAACTTTCCCTAAATATGCTTTTCGAAGAAACAGTCATCATAATTTTCCAACAATCTCAGCTACTTTTTTACTAGCTAATGAAGGGAAACAACTTTTTTCCCCTTCATGGTAAATGTTGAACTTCACTTAAACAATATACTATGCAAATAAACTGATTCAGTTACCAAATAGCCATCCTGAGGTCTTATCTAACGTGACATTTTCATCGCTTATCTCTAATGAAACCAAATGAAATCATGCTCTGAGAATAGAACCTGTTACTGTAAGTTTGATGATGATACTGAAGTTACTTGTAGTTCTACAAAAAATGCATTACAACTGCTTTGAAAATTTAAAAGCGTTCAACCAAATACCAAGTTGACAATAAAGCATGAATATGAAGTCTAGTTTGATTCCTCACTCTTGATATTAAATAAAGAAAGAATAGTTTGGTTGAGAAGGGAACATGTAGAGAAGATAACTATGGATGAGTCAATGCCAAGACTTCAATGGCTTTCATACCACCAATTACCAGTAAGATCTAATCCATAGGGAAAGGATATTACATTCAATGACAACGACTTTAAGGCTGAACAAATATCTCAAGAAGAACATTATGAAGGAAGTTTTCGCTAAACTTTGTAAACAAAACGGTATTCTAATTCTTTTGTGAAATAATCCTATTTAATGCTGATTCAATAACGTTATGTTAGTCAGTCTGGCTCTAATCTCATCATTACAAATTGTCTGTTTTATTACTAATAACTTTTATATTTTTTCTTTCAGACCCCTATAGTTTTTCGCTGTCGCGTAAAATGAAACATAAAGTTCAACTATAATTCGTAAATCGTTTTCCCTCCACTCTCTCCTTATTCACTTGTCTCTTGTGTTTGATCAATTTTCTTTCAGACTTCAGTTTATCTCATGAATAAAATCTCAGTTTTAAAATAAAAACTCTGACAATGTGGTGTTGCGTAACTGGTGTTGTATAATTAAGTGTGGTGGACAGAATTGTTTATGGCCTCTAAAAAGGTTCTGTAATTACAGTGATTTTCAGATCACAATTGGCTTTCATAAAACTGGATTAGCTACAGAAATAGTTTATCTATCAGTGCCCGGTAGATATTTCATAAGGATGTATACGACAAGTGTAGGTAACTGACACAATTATCTCAATACGTAAGGTGTCTATGTTGGTCAAAATAGCTCTAGTTATTTATAATAAACTCAATCCTTATCTGAAAGGGTGAAGCGAAAACCAATTTCTACTTTCCTATCAAATTCATTGTCACTAACTTGCAAACAGACTAACACCATGTCAGCTTCAATTGAGAAGTGAGTTGAATAGTGTTCATAAGATGTCAAAAACTGAAATCCATTGAAAATGCAATCGTTTTTCGCTATGAATTTACCTAACTTTAAGTGGTGCAAGTGTTCACAGTTTTTCTGAACTTAAATAATACTACAATGAGTAATTTATTGAATTGGAAAGTCAATTTCGTGATTAGATCAGGAAAAATAATTTGCTTCCTGATGTTGACCTGCCTATCACCGAATTAATCAAATTTACCTAACAGTTCAGCTTCACACCAATCAGTACATACTACCAGATAAAGTGAAGATTGTTAGTCTGTGAACAACTGCTTCTACTACTTTTCTTAACATTTTGTGATCTAACAAAATGAATACCTTAAATTTCAATATTTGTTATGAATTAAGACAGTTTATTTAATGAGATAGGTGCTGAGTAGTCATAAGATACAAAGTTTATGGGCATGAGTATATCATTTGCAAATTTATAAAGCGACGGCTAGTGAAATTCAAAGTGTACTATGTGTAGAAGTGACCAATGACCAACTACTGTTAAGAAACGAAACTGTAAGTCATCATTTGTAAATAGCCAATAACCTGAAAAATAGTTGTGAACTGTTTCACTGAAGGGAAACAGTTTACGTGGCCGAATTTCCCAACACAATTCAAAGCAATCGGAAAGGAATGGAATGATATCACAGTCAACGAAGAACATAAGAGAGAAGTATTAAACTAAAAAGATATCGGAACTTTTGAAAGTGATAAAGAGTGAATGTATTTCCACCATAGTGACCGTTTTTGAACCTTGCTAACTACAGTCTGCAACAAGTGAGTTCTGGCATCTTGCGGACCCCAGTCAACCAGTCTAAATTACTCTTCACGTGACTAAGTCAGAGTATCAATGGATTAGTGGTAGGGTATGTTCTGAGCAAACAGAGTTGTTTTTTCAAAATAATAGTAATTTGGTGCTAGTTGATGATTGAAAGTGAAAGGAAAATAATGGCCGCAGCAGTAGTCAAACCGGTGACCACTAGGTTTCCTGCTTGGTGCTCTACTAACTTTGCTTCGAGACCCGACTGCTAACGATGTTCTTATCCTAACTACAATCACCACCCAATATCAATACAAGTCTACCAAACCACGGCTATCTGAGATAATCAAAGTGATAATCAATATGATGCTTCCCCTCTTCAATCCAAATAGATCTGGATTGGAGTGAGAAGTCCTGACTCAGTATCCAATGTGAGTCCGATCAAGCGACAATAAAGCGTCATGAACTGACATGGCAGTCGGCCGAAACCCTTTGTGATTGAAATGAAACCAAATCTGGTCAGTAGCAGAGGGCCATAACTCATTTGATAGAGCAGTGGGTGGGGAACTCAGTGGTCGCTGATTTGAATCCTGCCGCGGCCCAGGTTTCCATTTCATCTTGAATCATCAACCACTATCAATACGAGTCAGCCAAACCATAGCTATCTCAGACAGTCAAACCGATTTTCATAACACCCGAAAGTGTCCATCAGCAAAATCCATGAGTGGGAACACGTAACATATGGTTCGGATACAGTATTAACTAACGGGCTCAAAACTTCATCGATTAACTTGCTTTATTCATCTACTATTCTACGGTTGACCTTAAAATCATCAGTAAGATGGTTTCACGCTCGATGATAGAAATCCTCCTAAGTTTTGCGCAAACATCGACTACGAATCATAGCCGTAGATAACAAGAAATGAACCTAGTACATACGAAACTCTCAAAATATAGATATAGATATAAATACCGATCGGAAAGGACATTTTTATACTCGTTGTTCAGTAGTTGATTTTGTCACCATTGTATCCAAAACCTGCAGACGTTACAAAAAGTTTTCAAATCAACACAATGTTCTCACTTGTTCTTGCCGCTACATGTAATAAAACTGTGAATGTGCATCTGATCACTTTCTAATGGATGATGCGATGAAGTTTTCTTTAATTTCCAAATTGTATAAATCTTGATCATCACTGATATTGATAATATCTGGAAGAAATCTATGGTCAACTAGGTATTGAGAACATGATGAGAAGAAATAATGGTAAATTATCAATGCAGAAGGTTATCAAGAGTTTTTCTCATTGTGATAAGCGGGAAACAAAATTCAAGAAAATGCATCTTTTTTCAATAACCTTTCATCACATGTAGAAATCGTTCAATATGAGCATTTGGTACTACTCTGGATATTAGATTTCTAGTTCTAGTATGTGAACAAGAAGGTAATGCATAAAAAGACACTGACAATAACAAAATCCTGCAAACGTTTACAAAATTTTAGTAGCTAATTACTTTGGATCTATGCGTGTGAGAGTAAGAGAAACAAATTACCGGTGCATTGCGATTCAGTAATAATGTTCTTCAGTCCCTAATAAATTATGAAACGAAGGGTAAAAATATAAAATTTAAATCAAAAACAGTGTTTAACGATAATTATAAGAATAAGTTGGATAGTTTCTACATATAATTGTAAAATCTGATTAAAAACTAGGCAAGCAGATATTTCATTTGATAAAATATGTTTCTCAATTGCTTTCCTATCCTTTAACTTACACTGTATCACCTTCCTTGAGGTAGTATATGAGGCATTCTGACATGGCTGGATCTTCATTCAGGTTAACTAGATGTGGTGTCTGAAAAGAAAGACATAAACAGAAAAATAGGAGAAATCCACTTCAATATTACTGAAAGCAATAATTCGCGGGTAATCAACTTTTTAACTATCAAGATTCATTGCCTACATCAGTCTGATCCGAAGGTCATTCAAGTTTGTTACTAGTTTACGCAAAAAGCTATAGTGACTCGGTGTCCTAGTGGATGATGCTCTGGCGCTCGAAGCCACCGGTCCCAGTATCGGGTCGCAGTGGAAACAACGTTACTCACTGGGATGCAGGTACAATCAACTGACGACTGATCCAACATATTTTATTTAGGCTTTTGACAACTTTTACATATGTATTTCTCCAAAAAAGTGGCTTATGGGAATCTGTGAAACTCAAGGAATCCATGTTTCTATTCCGTTGGGATTCTGTGAACAAACTTATTTAGTGAGCTACAGTTGTTTTCATATTTAACTTGGCATCTTTCTACTGAAGAATTCTGTTTTCTAAGTTTTGCTTTCTGCGGAGGATCTAATTACTGTGGGTTAAGTACTCAGGTGGAAATATGTCAGTTGGTTTACGGTGTCCCTATCCTTGTTAGATACTAAGGGTTTCTCTTTTTCATAAATCGGTTGATGCTGAATTAAAGTATAGGATTATGTATTCCACAGGTCATGTCAGTTTGTACTGCTAATGACTTTTCAATAAACTGGTCTCCATAAACTATTCAAAAATCACTCTTTTGGTGAATACATGTATAATAATAACTCATTTGGGGTTTCACATAGTATCCGAAAGTATTTTTGAAACTTCATCCCACCACTTTATGATAGTACAATTTTGAAGGTTCTTTTGTTCCGAGGGTAGTTGATTAAAAGAGTTATCTACACATCTGATTTATCAAGATGACGCAAACATACTTTTCATCATCCTACTTGAAACCGTACAATCAGGTTTTATCTAGACTGAAACACTCTGTTTCTTGAAATTGGTCATGAAGGCCACAGCAACATAAAGATGTGTAACTTTTCAGATACCGTTGTAGAATGAATTATAACCAGTGAATTTATGAAACGCATCAACAAGATATTTATGTGTATTAAGTCACAACTCATAATCGATGTGTATGTTTGGTCCAAAAAAGCTACTGACTGCTGGATGAACTGAAAAATAATGTAATATTGGAAGTGGAATAGAGTGTAGTTCCATTTACATCGAATACACTTATTCTAACATGAAACCCAAAGATACCATATCGAATGTCAAAAATTGTCAAAAATTTCACCCTTAGAACAAGTCAGTGCAAGCAGGATAACCAAATGGAATTACTCTTTCAAATGTAGAAATGGTTAAAACTATGAGAACATTTATTCACTGCCAGTCTAATATAGATAATATACCGAAGAGAAGACACATTCGTTTTATGCATTACAATCACCATAATCATCAGATCATGAAATATACAGTCCATTTTTGTTTAAGAATGAAAGTAAACAAAACAATTTACATTGACGTACATTTTTAGGAGAGAAAACACCTTTGACACCGCCATCTCCTTGGATGGCGATTCCCATTTCCATCAGTTCAATCTCTCTGAAAGTGAACAGTATATAACAAATTCTTTAATGGTAGAATATAGTCTTATAATGATTACTCATGGAGATTTTATCCATCAGCACATGTTCGAACAATTAAACTATGATACAGTTGATATATAAGTAAAAGGCTAGAGGTTTAATTCAAGGGAGGCCTCTCGTTCATCGCACTAATCTGTTTTAAGATCAAAAAAACTTACTAGCGACGAATTCTTGAGTATGAATCTGTTTATGGGTTTTGAATATGTGATTCGAATCATATTCATCTAATAAAAACTCATATTTGAGTCATAATAGTCAGGTTTATAACACATCTCAATAGATCATTTATTATTTACGCTCCCACCAAGTATTGCTGGAAATTTCCTCTGGATACCGAAAAGTTATCTCAACAGTGAATCGATAATTTATGATTTCGACTTTGATGGATGAACGGGTCTATTGCCAATAGTAGACGGTTAATTAACTTCAGCACTCAATAAAAAGTATAAATGCTTTTTCGAAAAAACCAATTGATTTTCTGTAGAATTTCATGAGGTTCGATTTTTAAAAATGAAGTTTTGATGCATGGTAGCATTCCATTTTAAATAACGAAACTGAAAATCTGAGAAATATACATATATATATATATATATATATATATATATATATATATATATATATGTGACGGATATAGTTTCTGACGTGAAAATAAAAGCAATCCCCAATAAGTCCTTATTCACCGAACGGTGACATTATTTCAGAAGAGCTTACAAACTACTAGTGAAAAAGCTTAAAAATACCTTCTCTGCCCCGCGCCTTTGAAATTTGTTTTACAATCTGGTCACCAACATTTAGAGTAAGATCGGTCCGTTCCATGGAGTGTGTGAAAAAGGAACTACTGTGTATCCGTGACATTGTAGGTGAAAACGAATATTCCGAGAACTTAATTAAAGCTAACATTACGTGGATTGATGACACTGGAGAAGAAACCTTTGTTCGTGCAGCTACAAAAGAAGTTCTATCAAAACACCTAGCCAGGCCAGTCAATAGGACGCCTAATGCAGGTCATCTTTTCACATCTTTCAGTATTCAGTCAATGATAAATTCAAGAGTAAAGGATCACCTACCTAATTCTGGCTCATGATCTTGTATATTTCAGTCTATCTCCTCCTGTGGAACAGGTTACATAGGGTGTACGATAAGACAAGTGTGTCCCTAAATACACGAACAATAACAGGCTTGGGTTCGAAAAGAGGAGTGAAAGTGGTGAAAATTCCTGTCTTACTTCACCTTGTAAGTACAGAAAATTATATACATACCAATAAGCTTTCAGTATCATGTACTGTACTTCGAAATAATACCACATGAAGCTTCTCAACGCCTACTCAATATAGCTAGGCTGTGGCAACAAGAGTGGCCAAACCTGGACTTCGCATTCAGAAAGAACATGTTCAGGAGTTACTCCTTCATTGACCTATTATAAACTAAAGGCCATTTCTGTCTTGCTTATTTGTTGTCGCTCCCTTTACCATCATATTCTTCATCCGTTTATATCATCCTATTATTCACAAATATAAAAATAAACATCGGTCTTTTTACTGTCCCTGATTCTCATTTCATTTCGCCGCAAATCTGACTTCGTTTCTACGCTGTATAACTGCGCTTTGTAATTGTGGAAGTTGATGAGAGGTTAATGAAGAGAATATTCTGTGTTCAGTTTGCTTTTATATATTCAACAACTTTATTTTTGACTTCGTTTCTTTTGAGCAAGCCACTTTCTGCGATATATATAGGATACTTCTGGCCGATTAAAAATTTTGTGCATAGTTGTAGAAGTTGAGTTCGCATCACTTTAATTCAGATAGATTCTGACTTTAAAGTGCTATTTTACTGATATGTTGTTACGAGTAATGTTACATTTCCTAATCACCCTTTGTTTAAAATATGCTATTAGTACGCGAAACTGTGTACAACTGCACTGTGTCACCTGCCGACACAAGGTTCCGAAATATAACCTGATAACCACAAGTAAGGATAATCAGCCAAGAGCTGATCTTTATTTTCCTTTGAGTGAGTAATATTGGGGTTTATTTCGTACCAAGTACTACCCACATAAGGAATTTTACTAACTGAAAACATCGTTTGTTGACATCTTGTGCCAGCATCTGGTACTGATCAATTCTGAGAGATTTCGCATTGCGAAACAGTTATCAGTTAGCCACATCATGTAAATATTTACGACTGATATCCATATTATGAAACTCACTAATTCTTCTGCCATACAAGGCTTCATCCCTGTGATGTAGAAACTAACTTCGAGTCTAACATTGTACACTTTAAAAAGGCTAGCTAGATTGTAAATATTTTAAATTACTGGATTCGTCTTGATGCATAAATTTTTTTTTGGGTGCTTATACTCCTATCTACAGTGGAATGGCAAATAAAATTACAATATCAAAAGATCTTGGTTCAGATGACGTTTACAATTATGTGCCAACTACATTAAGTCAATTATTATTATATTATTTCCTGGATAAAATTTTGAGCACAATTTATGGCTCATAATCATATACCAAATTTACTGGACTGATCAAATTGAAATTGCACAGTTGAAAGCTGTTTTGCTGATTTTTAGTTATGTTACCAGTGGTTTTAAATTCCACTCTAGCAGACATCGAATAACCAATTAAGTATATTTTATAAAAACACTTAGTGTATAGAGAAAAAATGTTTATTTTAGTATTTATTGCGGTGGTGCTCAACTGCTACCTGTCTTACTAGTTACCATAGTACTAACTGTAGTTAATTCGTGACCTTCGATTAAGTTCAGATTGAATAAACACTAAAGACTAACCAAGGCTCAAAGAGTGAGGGCGAAACCGTACAAACAAATAGGAGTTCACCAATCAGAGCTCATGCATATGACAAAAGTCATGCTATTAGTCGGAACTGTGCAAACATATTGAAGTCTTATTTTGATGGATGGAACGAAAGAGTAATAACTAAAACCGCTGTCATGCATGCGGTACTCTACACTTGGAAAAAAGGCAACTCAGCAAAGCCGTCCACTGTTTAAGAAATGGTGTTGAATCAATCTCTGTAAACATTAGTTATAAATTTTAAATAAATTAGTGTTCAGCTACATCTATATTTACATAATACCTATGATGTACTTATGAACAACAGATCATATGATGTCTGACACTGTTTTTCTGCCTCAGTACTGCTCCACTTCAAAATATAAGTCTGAACAAACCTTTGCTCCCTCAGTTTTTCTGCTTTTCTCAATTTCATTTCCATAGTTTCATTTAATTCCGCTATCAGCTTCTCAGAGGCTTTCAATGCCTCTAAAGTTGATTCTTCTCCGTATTTACAATCATCTAAAGATTGTTGATGTGTTATGGTTGCTATAGAAACAGTAGAAGCTGCAAGAACAAGAAAAACCGAAGAATACTACAAGTAAAACTATTAATAAACGATTATGTGTGCTTGGGACATTGTTGAATACAGTCTAAGGAATGTTTAGTAGGTGACGAAATTACTCTCCAACAAACCCATAACAATGCTGACACAATTTTCTGTTCATTCTGTTTAGTGCGCTAATATACAATCGATAATGATTTCTCACCTATAAAATCAAAACACTTTGTCGTTTTTGGAGAAATTAATATCCTTCTAAATAAATATAACTTTAGCTAAACTGATATTTCGGTTGGTGGCGCACTAATGATCGATTTCAATTTTAGTTGTTATCATGAACTATAACCTACATCAGTACGCTTCATACAAAGACTGCATGAAATCTAATCTGAAATGTTTCACAACTTTGAAAAGTGCTGTAATAATGAACTTCATTGTGGGCCTCTATTGCAATATGGTCTCCTATGCGAATGCCTCGACATTGCCTGAATGTTCATTATGGTAGTTTGGTTGCTTATTGCTAACAGAAGAGTCCAGAATGTGCGTTTTGTCTTATTTGGGACTCGTCAGCTGGATATACCTGCACCCCAGTGAGTGATGCTGTTCCCACTGAGGTCGAACAATTTGATGCAATAAAACAACGGAGAATTACAAGTATGTCGATAAATATTAATAACTACTACCCGTTGCACAAGAAGTGGCTATTATTCCTCCGTGACAAAGTGGATAGCGCCTTGGCGTTTGAAGTAGTGGGTACGAGGTTCGAGTCTCAATCAGAACAACGTCACTCGCTGAAGCGCAGGTACAACCAGCTGAAGAGTCCCAAGTAGGACGCAACGCACGTCCTGGATTCCCCTGCTAGCCACAACTAACTAAATCACTATAATTTGCCGTATACGTTTTATTTCCCTACACTCGTTTTCACTAACTTTCAGCCTACTAATAGTTAGTTTATGAAACGAATGCATATGCGCGGAATGCTAAATGAATAATACATAAGAAGTCAGAAGGAAAGTTTGAAGTGTAGGGTTGTAGTAAAAAAGTGGGATAAAGGAAAGTTATATACGAAATAAGGATGATGATTCCTTGAAAATAGTGATAACCATGTGCACAGAATAGCAAGACGATAATCATGAATATAAAATAGTATTAAAATATAGATGCACTTATACGGACATCAAAGAACTGTGATCATCAGCAAAACAAACAAGAAATGAGGGAGTACAAGAAGGAAAAATTCTCAAACTTTCTTACTAATGAAATTGCAAGTTATCTTTTTAGTCTTTCTGACTACAAAGATCAAGCTATTACCTTTTAGTTCAGAAATCTTGAGGTAATGAAAGCGAGTTCTTATTAAACTACTCGTCGGTGATTTGATGTCGTTTTGGATGTTCAGCTAATGTCTTATATCAACCAAATGAACAACAAATGAATTATTGATGCTATTTGTTTTTATAAGATATAAGTTCCTTTGAAGATGTTTAAGAAAACGAGTAGCTATCCTTCTATATTTTCACTGCACTAGACCTGACAAGTACAACGTGAGACACCAAGGTAAACTTGATGTTAAGTACAGCTTTCAATCGACGGTTTTATTTTGTCCCGATACAACCTCTCCTGAATCTTAGCGGGGTAAACGCTTCCGAATGGATGACTGATCGAAAAACTGTAAGACCTACATTGAAATTCTTTGTGGTACAGTGATTTGCCAGAGTCTCACTGGAGATGGTGATATGGATTCTGTTGAAAACTAACCAATCAACCACACAAAATGTCGTCTTTGGCACAAAACTGTCCCCAAATAACGAAATATAGCCTATCTATAGTGTAAAATAATTCGTGGTTGAGCGCGTAAGTAATACACACCAAAACATTCAAGTGAGAACAACCTTTAACGAGATTGAATTTAGTCAAACCGATTCACCGAAAAATAGATGATCAAATCAGCATGATTGTTTTCTTACTGCTCACTGGCATATTTCGTCACTTAGTGGTAATTTTATCAGGAATCGAAATACGTGGACCCTAATAAAAACATCGTTTATTAAATTTCAGTTTAACAGTAAAAAAACTACACTGCAGTAAGAAATGTCAGTGCATGGAATACAATTTAGAATTTAATTGCGCCTTGAAGGTAAATCATAATGATTTATCACACTTGAAAAGTACGTCAAAAATACCTAATAATCACGCTGCATTGAAGTAAACATTTAGTTTGAACAGAATTACTTATGCTTGAATTGGTATTACATTTGATACTGCCTTCACTAAAACTAAGAAAAATAGTCAAACGATGCAAAAATAAATAAATAAACCTCACATTTTCTCATTTGATCTTCCTCTGACTTTAGAATTTGTTTCAAACGAGCAACTTCTGCTTTCAATTCTCTGATTAGAACAGCAGTAGGATCCTCATTAATGACTGCCTTACATACAATACTTTTAGCCCGATCTGCATAGCGTAAGGTGGATAAAGTTTCTTCGAAGTTAACATCTGCAGGTGATAAGGCCGCAATCATTGTTGTACGTGAATTTCCACCTGTAAAAATGTATTAGTGAAACACAATTTTTCATTTCAATCTCATGTGACTTTTTAAAAATAACTTAGATAAAAAAACCCAGTGCAAAAAGGTGATTTCGCACCCATATTTTTCTTAATTACCAACAGCTAATTGAACTGCGACTATATACTGATCCATAATCAGAAGCGTTTCAAAGATCCATTGGTTTTGGTCTACCTATTTAATCACAAACTGAAGAAAGCCTAAAGTTTTCTTACGTAGAGAATTGGATATTAATCATTGAAGAGGGTGAGTATTTGTCTATATCTCAAAACACCGTTTTCATTTCCATTTGCGATAAATTTAGTCTCAGATTATTAACTCAACTTAATGTTTATGCAAACATTTAATCTTTTCTTTTTTCAAAAGGTACATAGTATCTTCATCGTGTCAAATGACTGACGTAAAACAGGGAATGTTTCAAACAAGAAATCTTGTTCCTACATAAATAAGTCATAAGAGTACTGAATTTACGGTTAATGATGAAGAACAGCAGTATCTAGTTTCAGTTACAACTTACCTTTCAATAGTAATCAAATGAAAAATATTAACCCTTGAGCTACCACGGTTACTGCACCAGCAGTTAGGAAAATGAGGAACGAATGTTCACATGCAGGTTGATTACAGACGATCCCTGACCTTATGGAGGCCATGTCTTCAGACACTAAAGTCTGGTCCCATTACGGTTAAGGTGACAAATTGGACTGAGATTTCAATACATGCATACATACAACTCTGCTGCAAATAATTTTTCGTAAAATCTAAAGTATCATCTAAAAATAAGCATTTTTTTCGTAAAACACCTTCCAAATGAACCACAGAAGACCAATGTATCTTCTTTGTACATATGAATCAGCTAGAAGGTCTGTGTAGTGATAGACTAGAAAATTTCCAAGGTATTTACAAACTGTCAATGAAACCAGTCCTAATTATATCACTGAGAGTTACTGAAGAGTCAATTAAATAAAGAACTATATGCGAATAGGTAAATGTTTCAGAGGAACTATATGCAAGTTTATAATTTGGACTTAGATGCCTAGTTTGAAAATACTTATCATCAACTGAGTTAGCCTTTTCAAAATCTATGTAGACAATCAAAGTTGCTTGAAGTCTAAATAAGTTGATGCTCGCTCTGAATTTTTAGTTCAGGATAAAAAACAAGGAAACATTTCGAATTCTCAACACTTTAAATCTTGAAAGCAATGGTGAAACAGATATGTGATGATGAGGAACTAGGTGTGACTGTATTGAAGATAGCAAATAAATGTCGAATGTCTGGTTGGATGTTAAAAATAGAAAGGGAAGTTGCCTCTAGGAAAATAAAACTCAGTAAAGAGGAATTCAGCTCATTAAAATAAAAGGACTCTGAATTTTTGAATTCTCATGAATCACCTTAGACGTTGGTGATGTTATATTCTTTGAGCTGAAATACTCAGTCGCCAAGATTTGATCGCCTTACTAGATAACAAATTTAGCAATATTTTCCATAAAAAGATCCATAGAACAGCGTCATTCGGTCACATAATGAACACTAAACATCAAATTAAGATAGTTCATGTCTTCTCTGAAACACACCGAGTCTCAAATATTTTGCCAAAAGTCACGCTTTTTATGCATACTGGAAGCTATGATGATTAATAAGAGGAATCCAATACATCTATAAAGCAAGTTTAGCGTTCTCTTCCTTGTCCTAATATAGGCCCAACACAGATATAGTCATCATATAAACAGACTATGAAACCTTTAAGCTTTATTCTTCTTTGCTTCATTTCTTTCTACCCATTGAACATTCGAATTCTACAATATATTAATTTATTGTTATTATTGTATTTTTTGTTTGATCACTGTTATTAGTCACCTCTTACCATTACGTAAAGTTTATCCCATCTAGTTACTGGATTTATATGATTTTCATTCCACTGATTAAAACTTGTTCTTAGAAACCTTGATCTAAATATACTGCATGCCTCAGACATGAACACACATGTAACACTTTTATTCACACAACAGTAGGACTTAAGCACGGTGGCAGAATGTTGCTTTATTTTGGATGATCTTCATCAGGTGTATCACACAGTGGAACATTATTATTTACTGAATTGCATTTTGGACACTATACACTGTCCGTGGTGACATAATTGTGTTCATTAATTCTTAATTATGTAGTCTTATATAACAAAATGCCGTTAATGTTAGTTCCAAAATTTACTTGGGTATTCTACTCACATAAGTAAATGAAGTCTCATTTGGGTCTACACTGAGTTCACTATCAGCAGATACTCTTATAGCGCCGAAACCAACGTATTACACTCAGACACAATTTCACATGTAAAGAATGATCATAAAGTGAAATAAACTTTCTAAACATTCTTATTCAATGAAGAACAGATGAACTGACAAAGAGAGACTTATATGAGGAATGTACATAAATGGGGAGATAAAGAAACACTTCGTAAGTTCCTTCTCCTTCAATTCAAACGAAATCTAGCACAAACGCTCAACTATAGTAATGATGGATAATGGCTAGCTGTGGAATCCCGGATGCGCATTCCACCCTATTTCGTACTCTCAGTTGTACCTGCCTCCCATATGCCGATAGAGACCGATCAATTCGGTCCAATCATTGATGGTATAATACAAGTAATAATACTAAAAAGCCTCAATGACAGAACATTCACTCACTCACTTCATAATAACATGGGATCTTGAAATATTCTGCAACGGTTCAAGTTGAGAAACTTCAGAATACCAAGGTAATAGTCACTGAGACAGAATGTAGAGGAATGAGGTGATGAAAAGTAGTAGCAAGATAGAATAAAACATCATTGAAAACCAGTTTAACGATTGAGATAAAAATGCGTGGGTATACATGCATCACTGAGATCGATTCTGAGCCATATCACTTAATGCCTTCAATGAACGGTTTTGATTTTCACGAAGACACTAACCAGGAAGTCTACATTTCCGGCACAGATCAAACCAATAGTCAGAAACTGCATAGTTTAGTGCCACTTTCAATATTGGCCGCTGTGAACACATCTTTAAACTAAACCCACTTCAGCTTACAGCGCCTGGTGAGCAGAGATTGAATAGACATGCGTAACACCTATTCCAGCCAAATCTGTTCGTGAAGGCAGGTAGTTTCATCGACCGATTTACTTCTTTTGCCGAGAACAACTGCTTGACTTTGATGTTATTGAGGCGGTAGTTTCATAATACGAAACGTATGCCACGAAGTTCTCAGTGGTTGAGAACTTAAAACCTCCTAGTATGGTTTTTTTTCACAGTCATACAGTAAAACACAGTAAACTGTAGTGCAGTAAACTAAACCCTCAACGGACATGTGGATACAGCAGAGGTGCCACAAATAGCGTACGTTGGCTAAAGCTAATGGTGCCTTTTAAATACATGTGAAGATCCACCAGGACTGATTTGACTCCAATTGAAATCGAAGTTACCGTGCTGGACAACTTTACTCCCTGTCGTAAGTCGGAATGCAAACGCAGACAAATCGCGAAACAATAATATACGTTCGAATACTTGAAGAACACATCCCAAACATTCCCAGAATGTTATTCATTGTATCCAGAATACTTTGCATCTTGTTAGCATATTTACGAAACAGAACCACATCATCTGTATACTCTACATCCACTATAGAGTCTCGTGTGTCGGGATCACCTCTTACAGAAGTAAAATTAATGAAGAATGGAGAGAGAGATCATTTTTGGTAGGCAAATGTTGATGCACTAAACACACCTGATGCCTAATCATAGTCCATGCGATTCTAAATCTATAGTCTCTACCTAATGTGATGGACCAACCTGTTACCTTTTTCAGCAGGTTAGTTATTAAAAGATCTCTTAATCCACGGAATCAAAGGTCGAATTCCGGTCAAGAAATTCAGCTAGTGTTGGGTACAGGTAAGTGTACCCGAATTCTAAAGTCTATCAGAAGGTGAAGTTTTGGCTGATTCCTCCACGACCAGCTCCGAAACCCATGTGATTTTTTCAATTATTTTGTTTCTGTGCTCCGCGTAAGTGTCTTTTGTCGTAAAATAAGAGTTATGTGCTTGGAGAATTTGATGGAAGAATAACTGAAAGCTATACACAGTACCCTAATTGAACAAAACTATGAAATAAGTTGACAAAGCAGCATTTGACCACAAATTAGGAAAAAAAATGTATCTGAGCTGTAAACAAGAATACGCTTTACATAAGAATACAATTTAGTTGGGAAATTCTTAGCAACGTACTAATTTAGAAGATAAAAAGCTCGATCCAAAGAACTTTTAATGCAGGAAAATTGAGGCTATTATAATATCGAGGGCGACGCATTCACTCAACCCGGAACTCAATCAAATAATCAAACAAACACGACTGATGAAAGCAAGAGTATGCGTGCCAACATAATGTCACCACGATGGGCAGACGTGTCAATGGACACATAGAGCCCACCACGCACATTAACGCCATTTGTTTGTCTATTTATTTGTTTCTGTATTGTCACCACTATATGATACAACCTCTAATCTCCCACGCACATACACACATTCAGCCGCATAACTTTATCTCTCTTGCTCGCAGTCAAGTCGTCCATTACGAAATTTAGAAAAGCATGACTAGCAGCAATCCGTCCAACACGAAAGTTAGTTGATGTGAAATATGAAGCTGTTTAGGCAGTTTGTATGCCTGCATATATCTATTTGTGTAAATCACAGTGAAATGTTGAAGTGGATTATTTGGCCTAGGCTGAGGACTACTTACCGTGCTTGCCGGTCCGACTTCTCCTATAGAGCCAGTTATGTTGATCTATGCTTTAAGATATCCAATCAAAATTTCCAATAATAAAAATAATACTAATATGGTGATGATGATTGTGATGGTATTTAAAACAAAAATTATGTTTACATTTATCCGATAGAACCGGGAAAGAAAATGTTGATAATTGTAGCTGGAAACAATAACGTACATAAGTATTTTGTATGCACAATTTAGTTTTCAAAAATCCAACAGCTATGGTTTCTGATATGCTTAGTATACCTTTGGTTTAAAGTTTGATTTGGCAAATATGTCACAGAAAAATGGTATTCGACAATTATCTTGCTAAAAACGATTACTCATATTCGTGTGAAAATGACACTATTGATAACTGGGATCGTCCTTATAAAAACACTTAAAATCGTGAAATACAAATTAATGAACGATTTGTATATCAACAACAATTGAAATAAATCCACACAAATTGTCATTTAAGCAAACCCTCAGTTTCATGTGACAGTGAATATATCCATTTCGCAACTGTTGGTTCCTGATTGTATTAAAAATAGTAGGGTGAAATATGCTATAGAACTGTGCGCTTTACAATGATGCATGATATCATGTTTAGCGTGGATAACACAGTTTACACAAAACAAATAGTAACATTCTCTTTGAAATTTGAAAAATAAAACTTATCATATTTAAAGAGTAAGTAGTAAGTAATAATGAATGAATTTTGTTTTGGAGTAATTTTTTGTGTACTACCCTGGAAGCAAAAAACACTTACCAAGGTTTTCTTTCAATAACCATGTGAGTACAGAATCTCGATATGGTATAAAGTCACCTTTTTTTCGGCGTTTTGAACTCTGTAATGTATAACATAAAATATTTAAATACTTCTATTGAACAAATCAATCATAGATTCAGATTTTCAATCGCACTACAAAAAAGACTATAGTTTAATCCAATATCTATGTCCCTCTCTATATTCCATACAATATGTTTTTAAACCGAACTCACTGTATTTATACCAAACTACCTTCCTCGATTATGTGTACATTGTTAGCCATTACTAGTAGCGTTTTGTTACTTATTGTAAGCATAAAATAAGCAGTATATATTGAATTCATAAATTTCAGTTGGACTCGTCAGCTTTTAACTTTACATACGTGATTTTATATACTGTTGTTCAATAAAGGAATACATACATACATAATACAGATTAAGACATTAACTGAGGCATGACGACACGGAGTGAATCATTTAGTTATGTCAAACAGAGCTAAGATTTGGTTGGGAGAAGGTAACGAATTAATAATGAAAAATTAAGGGACTAGAGATAGGTTACATCATTCCGAATAAAACAATTAGTAGTCAACTAGACAGCCTGATAAAGGTGCACACTAAGAGAACATAGGTACTAGGTGAACGAAAATATTGATTTTAATAGTAATAATACGAGTGAATGATAATAATAATAATAATAATGAGAATATGAGTATTGAAAAGATTTAAAATTACTTCATTTTAAAACAAGGTTAAATGTACGTCAATTAAGAAGCTTGGTAACAGTTTAAAACTAAAGAAGGCTAGAGGTAACAGTTGGACGATAACAATGACAATAACAAAGGAGATAAGTCATTTAACTAATAAGCGAAGAAGTTCAAGAGGACATGAGAGTACAGTAGAATGATAGTGAATAGGTAAGTGTGCGAAGTATGAGAAGAAATAAAGTGGAAAAATCAGACAATTACAAATAAAAATAAATACGTTCAAAATACTTTAATACCTCTACCATGGTAGATTCAGGGATACTACAATCTCTTTCTGTACACATAGGCTCAGTTTACGAACTCTAATCGCACAAGCTTCCACAATTGCTAGCATTTTCTTATTCCGCTGTCTACATTAGTAGTGTCAGCATCATATATATAAACAATTAGGTGTTTTGTAACCGAACTCCGCGGGAGTTTTGACTCGGCTTGCCTCAATCATTTAGGTAAGTGCTGAACCATGCGAATAGACAGACGCCTTTCCGTACGACCCATGTATTTGCTTACACAAGCACAATGAAATTAATATGTACAGCTAGATTTGTCGAGGATTGGAGTCACATATTTTCAAATTTAATGCAACATCCCCTTGGTGGTGCTCAGAAGTACTAGCTTAGCTGCATAATAAGTTGTTTTGATAGTCTTGTTTAGTCTCCGCTAAAAGACTTGTAAGACAATGTCTCCATTAAAAAGCAGTTTAATAAAAACTGACATTTTGGGAGCCATAAGAACTGCTGTCAGTACATTTCTTTCTCCACCTTTCTTCAAATATATCAAATGTACACTCAGTTATTAAATTTCACACTCAGCAACAATTTACATCTTCATATAAAATATAATCAAGATTTGATCGTTTAGTATGTCAAATATACGATACTGAGTAAAAGGTTGACATTAGGTATAGAATTGTATTTGCGTAAATCACACCGGTTTGAAATCAAATAATTCAAACGTTTCGCACGGAAGTCTGGTCCGAGCTTCTTCAGGGAAATAATCAAAATTAAAATATCAAGGATGTTTATAAATGAATTCAAAAAACGTTTATTTAATCTCTTTGTCCCAATCCTCTTCGTATAGTCATTGTCTTACAAAATTATGATAACTAATCATTCAGTGTGAAATTGTATGTCTTTTGTTGCATGACGTATGTATGTATGTATGTACTCCAATTCATATTTGTCTTGATTGTAAATATCAGACAAAAAGGACATTGGTGACAGTCATTCGGTAATTTTATAAGTACAAATTGAAAAGGATGAGGTGGATGTGTAACAGTTTCAGTTGAAGTAAAGTGGTGAATAGTGTTAGCGAATTACTCTCCGCATTGATCAACCGATATAGAGTGTAAATGAGTTGTAGTTATGATGATGATGATAATGGTAATAAAATAATCATAATAAAAATAATAATGATGAATCAGATCAGTGAAGGTTGTGTTGTTGTTGATGCAGAAATAATGGAGTTGAGACCAGTGTTTTGAGTCACTCTTTCTGTTTACTAATTAGTAATTGCCAAGAGGCAGCTAACTGTACTCCATCTCGTCTGTTCAAACTGTCTGGATTAGCCTATATATGTAGGGCCTCGGCTGTCAGTCTTTCTTGGTATGACCCAAAACCTTTTTGTAGAAGCTTAGTTCCGTCAAAGTCGATTTTGTGTCCCACTTCTATGGAGTGTAACGCGATCGGGGATTTGTTTTCCAGTTTCTTAACGTCTGCAGAGATTTTTGGGATCTGCTTTAAGCATAGTCTATGTTCATTGACTCTCACATTTACCTGTCTGGCTGTTTCCCTTACATATACTGCAGTACAGTCTACGCATTTGGTTTCATAAACGCAGGTCTGCTGATTTTCTTTAGGTACTACATCCTTAACATTCATTAAGTTAGAACGTAAGGTATTTGTTGCACGGATGTAAACTCTTATGACGTGTTTGTTGAGAATCCTTCTTATCTCTTCTGAAGTCTCGTTTCTGTATGGGATTATGACTGTGCTTGTCCAATTCTTCGGAGGGATTTTCGCGACATACCTAATTTCATTTTTTTATTACGTCTAACGAAACCTTTGAGATAATTGTTTACTTAAATTTTGAGGGGGTTGTGGAGATTTGGAAATATTTCAAGTTGTTATTCATCGAAGACTGACATCAGTTGGAGGAACAAAGGAAACCTGGGAGCACTGGACAGCTGTTTCGTCCTAGTATGGGACTCCTCAGCAGTGCGCACCCACGACCCCACCAGCAGGGATCAAACCCGCGACCTTCAGGTTCCGCGACCAGCGCGTTACCATTGAGCCACTGGGTCAGAATCCAATGCTCCATATTTCCAACTTCTGTTAGCTCACGATATAGCGCAAACCGCCACCCAATGTCATCGTTGAGTATTTGTCCTCACGACCATCAGGCTTTGACTCCACCGGTCACGACTTGTCATTGGAACTTCGGGAATACTTCTCGAAGCTAGTCACCAACGAGCACTAGTTCAATTAAATTTTGAGGGGGTTGTGGAGATTTGGAAATATTTCAAGTTGTTATTCATCGAAGACTGACATCAGTTGGAGGAACAAAGGAAACCTGGGAGCACTGGACAGCTGTTTCGTCCTAGTATGGGACTCCTCAGCAGTGCGCACCCACGACCCCACCAGCAGGGATCAAACCCGCGACCTTCAGGTTCCGCGACCAGCGCGTTACCATTGAGCCACTGGATTCTGATCCCTGCTGGTGGGGTCGTGGGTGCGCACTGCTGAGGAGTCCCATACTAGGACGAAACAGCTGTCCAGTGCTCCCAGGTTTCCTTTGTTCCTCCAACTGATGTCAGTCTTCGATGAATAACAACTTGAAATATTTCCAAATCTCCACAACCCCCTCAAAATTTAATTGAACTAGTGCTCGTTGGTGACTAGCTTCGAGAAGTATTCCCGAAGTTCCAATGACAAGTCGTGACCGGTGGAGTCAAAGCCTGATGGTCGTGAGGACAAATACTCAACGATGACATTGGGTGGCGGTTTGCGCTATATCGTGAGCTAACAGAAGTTGGAAATATGGAGCATTGGATTCTGACCCAGTGGCTCAATGGTAACGCGCTGGTCGCGGAACCTGAAGGTCGCGGGTTTGATCCCTGCTGGTGGGGTCGTGGGTGCGCACTGCTGAGGAGTCCCATACTAGGACGAAACAGCTGTCCAGTGCTCCCAGGTTTCCTTTGTTCCTCCAACTGATGTCAGTCTTCGATGAATAACAACTTGAAATAATTTTTTACTTCCAGTGTGCGGCAAATTAACTTCAATTCTTCTTTCTTGTCCTCTTCCGTTGTAACAAGATGGTTAGCCCTTCTAATCAGATTCCCTACGACAGTTACCTTAGTAGTCAAAGGATTTGCAGACTGATAATCGAGATATCTGTCAGAATGTGTTGCTTTTCTGAATATATTAATCTTTAGTTTCTTGTAATCCCGTCTTCACACTATACAGACCATAAAGTTTAATTTCGACAAATCGGATTCAACTTCCTTGGTGAAAGTGATACTTTCGCACACAATATTTATGTGACTGATGAGTTCATCCAAACTGTTTCGTTTGACGATGACAAACATATCGTGTACGTACTTTAACCAAATTCTCGGAGGTGTAGAGCAATTTGCAATGGCGTTTGTCTCAAAGGAATGCGTGAATAAATTAGCTACTATTGGTGACACTGGAGATTCCATTGCTATATCATCTGTCTGTTGATAAAGATCTCATCTGAACGTGAATACAGTCGATCGTAAGCATAATTCCAGGGATTTTAAAATTTCTCCCGGATCTAATGCACAACGTGAACTTAGGTCAGTATCTCACAGCAGTAGGTTATGAATGATATCTAATGCATCTTGAATAGGCACGTTAGTAAATAAAGAGCAAACATCAAAACTTGCCATTATTTCATCTTCTTCAATGTAAGATGAAATGATTTTATTCATGAATTCAGACGAATTCTTTATCATATATTTTAATTCCTTTTCGTATGGCTTAAGGATTCGTGAAATGTATTTTGCTAAATTGTATGTGGGTGAGTTGGTAAAATACACAACTGGTCTGAGAGGTATATGTGTCTCCTGGCGATTACTAATTAGTAAACTCAAAACACTGGTCTCAACTCCATTATTTCTGCATCAACAACAACACAACCTTCACTGATCTGATTCATCATTATTATTTTTATTATGATTATTTTATTACCATTATCATCATCATCATAACTACAACTCATTTACACTCTATATCGGTTGATCAATGCGGAGAGTAATTCGCTAACACTATTCACCACTTTACTTCAACTGAAAC